GAATGAATGTGAAGTTGATTTGTTCGGTGAATTCGAGCCGCGTTATCGTGGTTTTCAAGGAGAGAAAGGCATGAATGTATTCTGTGGTTGGGATGCGGTATAACGGGGTCAGCCCAAAGTGAGTGAGGCCAGGACACATATCGAGGATCTGATTTGTTTGGGCTTCGAATAGCTTCTGATAGGCGCGTGGCACGAAGCAACTCAGATTGAGATGGCGGACAATAAGCCTCAGAGCGCTTGTGTTTTGAAGGGTGCGTGCCAGGGCAGGTACCTGTCCAACCCGCCGCAAAAAAGATATTCTTGTAAAGCATTTCGGTTGCTATCAGATTCCACTGTTTGCATACCAGAGCAAGTGACGTTTTGGCTTCTAAATCAAAGGATTCGAGGGAATCGGGGACTAGCTCCTTGATCCGGTTTAGCATCCACTGTGGAGGCACAACCTCCCGGAAAATCAGTAACAATATTTCGTCCGGCAGGTCTTCAATACGGATTCCTGAGCCGGACCCAGACACTCGTATCAGCGTCAAGTCTTCTTCGTGGCCATAATCTATGAGTTTGTTGGAGAGAAACCGGACCGTTTCTTTGAGTTCCGCATTTTCACGCTCAAGTTGTTTTAATGTGCTTACAAGCGCTGCCCACGCTTCCGCATCCTAATAGTGAGGATAAAACTTGAAGGAAGATTCACAGCAGTCAACTACCTGTGGGTCCTCAACATCCTCCAATACAGGCGTGGTCATGGAGAAGAGGAAAGCGTGATCAATAAAAACGTGCCTGTGGCAGATGATGCTGTCGCGATTATTACGAGTACTTTCGTCTATCAATATCTGTCGTCCGCGTTTCAGAACCTCGATCTTGAGACTAGAGTACACCTATTTTTTTAATGAAATTTGTTGACCTAACCCTAACCCTGGTGATGAATATTGTGATATGAAAATGAAGGCTTTTTGGACTTAGCTGTTTCCGACTTCACTTCTGTTTGCACTTCAAATTCTGTACGAGGTCATGGCTGTACTTTTATGGCTGACATGGCGCCACCCGGACCGTTGATGGGCTTCTTGGCTGCAGCCATCCCCTGGCGGGGGTGGCGGGGAACCCGCTTGCCGCCCACGCTGCTGGTCATCGTTGAGTTCTTGCTTGACGCAAATCCTCAGAGCTTGGCGAGTCCCCTGTTCGGCGTCATCGGGATGGACTGGAACAGCTTCCGGCCATGCGGGTTGCAAGCTGCGGGGGGCAGCAGGCCCACAATTGGCTGTATGTGCAGATCGTGCTTGGTAGTCAGCCAGTGTTCTTTTTTTCCATTGAATTAAGTAGTTATGAATACTTGAAGTACTCTTGTTCTTGCCATTTATTGGCCTCATACCCAAGTGAAGTGATGAGATAAGATAAGCAAGAGTCTAATTACGATCTATGTCTATATGATTCGGGACAGATATGTAAGAGCGTCATGGCATTAGGAGTTCTTGCCAGGCTTCCTGAATTCGACCGATTTGATAGTCTACGATGTGTCAGCAAGATGGCTCAACAAAATTTGATCAGCGCACCGAGGAAAGGACTGGCAGACGTCGCCCGGAAACGTTCGATTGCTTCCACAACGCGTGCGAGGAGAGTTTGTAGCTCTAGATGTTGTCCATGGTACCGAGTGGCCGACATTTCCGACAGTTCGTCCATCAACACCACGACAAGCAAGGCGCCAGACGGTCTACATCCTACTTTCAGATTTCGAATAGAGAAGAAAAACATACATACCCCCATAACTGGGTTGATCGATCCACCGGGAGAACAGTCGTGGTAGCAGTGAGGATATTGAGCAGCATTTGTGCAGCTGTCACACTCTTCCGGCGTGATTCTGGTCTTTCGCGATGGCGATGGAGTTCGATAATCGCGGCGTGAGCGATACTGTGGGCTACGACAAGCGCTCGGCCCATCGTGGCCGTGATATGGGAGAAACTCGTGGGAAGAGGCAGCGATGCGGTAAAATTGGCGAGCATAGCGTCCAAAAAATCGACAGCGGGTTGTGGTGCGGAGGAGCATTGAAGTGCATAAGCGCGTTGCCAGAGAAGAGACGCCTTGGCCAGCAGCGCATGAGTCGAGTTACCGGTGTCCGAAGTTGGAGTCGCGTTGATGAATTTGGTGACAGTGTTACTATATCGCTTCAAGAGTCAAAATGTCCCTAAGTAACATGGGTAAATGCAAAATATCCGGAAACTAAACACGAACGCCTTCATATTGCTCGATCTCGAGCGGCCAGGGTGTGTCGACATTTGCGTTAAGGTCTAAATGAGGACCTTCTTCGAGGGCCACAGCCCAGGTATTGTCCAGGATAACCACCGTCCACCACGCATGGATGCGCTCTCCTTCTTCAACAGCATCGCGAGAAGGAGCGAGCATGTTTGATGGTGACATTGATGTCGGCGAATAGTGTGCAGTCCAGTGCTGAGAGCAAGCGATACACAAGCCGAGGCGTGATATTTGCCCTCGAGGAATCGGCCCAGGCGAAAAAGTAGTAGGTGAGCAGCAATTCCGCTTGAAGGGTATGTAGAACACGATCAGGATGCGGCGAAGAAAGTCCATTCGCAGTCTGTTGCAACGCTCTGGCCAAGAAGACAGGTTCTTGGGCCTGAAGCATTGGCTGGTTAGACAGACGGAGGCCCCAAAGATATGCCGTCGTGAGTAAAGCAGGTAATGGACGTTGTGGGCTCCCAATTGGCTGACGAACAAGTGCACATTGACGGAAGCGTGAACTGTTGAGGAAGAATCCGAACTCAGAGGCTGACAACAGAAATGTGCTGATCCTGGATAATGATTAGCAACTGGTGAATGAGACATAGAATGGCCCACAAATTCTCGACCATGTCCATAGGCGGTTCGGCAGCAGCGGTCCAATTCACTGTAGTGAAATCAGATGTAGGAAAACAAGAAGTAAAACCACAAACAATTAGAAGGGTTTCCAGTTGCATATGGCGTTTGAAGTAAAACACGACCACTTTTATCTGGCTGTCTCTGACGAGTCGGTTGTTGCAGTTCAGAGATGCGTTGTTCGATTTGTGAGATGCTCTCCTCAAGCATTTCCGCTCTCGCACGACGTTGTCCATGAGTATATTCGCAGTTGTCTGGTCGGTTATCGCGTTGACAAGGTCCACAAATCGGACGCGCTCCGTCACATTTCTCGACATTTAGTTCAGAAAAATGCACATTCAGTTGTGTAGACCTACAATTTTGCGTCTTCTACAGTGAAAACACGCTTGGCCGCTGAAGATGGCCTTTCTTCGCGCTGGAGCTGGGTTCTGCGTTAGGCTGCATTCGAGTGGATTGAGATATCGAGCAGGGCTCACTTAGCGCATATATACTGCGCCCATAATTAGCTGAGACTGTCCGTGTTCCACCAGTCGGCGCGGAGAGGCGTGCACGGCGGCCTTGAATGGTGAGCAGTGTAATCGTGAAAGCCAACATTCGTCACTGCACGTGATCGAATTCCGCCTCGGTCATCGACGTCCATCACCGTGATAGCGCATAGCCCTGCTCTTTAACTGCTTCACCTGGCCGCAACTGGGCGGACGACGTCGAGAACTATGTACCTCCCGCAACTTCGCGCTCGTTCGGTGGTGTGAAAAGGTATCCGATGGCTTAGAGTAAACCCAGTCCTTGTTTCTCGCTCAACCGGCTGCAACTTGCAAACGACATGTGTTTGCTGGCCACACCTGCACATATGGTCGGCCTGTTTAGGGAATACCGTGGTCCAGCACTGCTCACGGAGAGGCCTTGACGCTGTTGGCCTACTCATACTCTCTGCCAGCCAGATTCGTCTAGATAATTCTTTAGTATGGACCGCCGTGGCCCGCCAGGGGGATAGCATATTGCTGTGGGCGGAGGCGTTCAACTCAATACAACCATCAAGCTTATCATGTCTGACTGCAACTGGGAGTCTGGGATTTCCGGAATTTCGTCAACCACATATAATCTGATTCATCACTCTCGACAGAAAACCGTGCCTACTATTAGAAACCCAACCTCGCGATAGACGTTCAGCCATATGAAATCGTCTTGCCTGCCTCATCCTGAAAACTGTTCAGCATCTGACACGTTTCCAAGCCCTTAGAGCCGCAACAACGCTGGTTCAGTTTAGACTGAAGTGACAGCCTGAAAATTCGACTTGCTCGGTATAATCCCAAACTGAGTCTGACGATGCGAGCAGCGCTCGGGGCCCAGAGTCATAACTGACATTGTTTATTGTTGGCGAAAACCCACTTCTGGCCTCTGACTAAATGCTCTACAAAGCAAGACCTGGCTTGTCAATAATCGTAAACCTCTAATGCATGCAAACCCAGAGTGCAAAAACAGTCCGCCGGTATCTGGGCCATAGCATACACACTCACCAACCTTTGTGCCGCGGAAAAGAAATTGACTCATGCGCTGGTGACAGAAAGTTGAAATCACGGACTGACTTGAGCAAAAAGTTGAAATCACGGACTGACTTGAGCCGCTCAGGATGGATTCCGGCCATGAACAACGACTGCTTGGTTGAGTCGAAGACCAGATAATTTCCAAAACACGTGCGTTGCCATAGCTTTGACGTGATTCCCAATACTAGTTGAAATTATTGTACCACCCTCTCGCGTTAACCTGGCTCGTCCCTCTGCACAGTGCAAACTAGCTCAGCCACAAGACGTCTGAACCCCAATCTTTGGGGTCCGACGTCACCGATCTGATCTGATCTGATTGCCAAAGCGTGAGCGGAGACGGCAACCGCCGTCCGGTCAAAAAAGTCTCACCATCCCAACTCGTTACACAACCACCACCGCGCATAATACTCGCCAACCCCCCGCTGTCGCTACCCCACCGGGTAGCTGGATTGAAACGTCACCTATTCGGAAAGGAAGGAAGGAAGGGACCTTGAGGGAATCACTGTCAGGAACTGAGGAACAGAAGGACTGACAGCCCACGCACAAAAATTCACCGGGGACTAGAGCAGCAGCCTCGTGTGGGCCACGCGTTGATTCGGTATGGCTGAAATCTCGATGGAGGGTGAGTAGTATACTATTTACTTGGTTGGTTTTGTGCTTACTGTCGCCAGGCTCACCCGGGCCCTCGCCGTACAAGGGACAACGCTATACCCACCGTCACACACAGAGTCTGGGGCTGCTTTCGCCTGTGCCAAGCCGAGACAGCTTGCTTGACTTGACCACCCCATCGTCGCCGTCGCCGCTGAGGAGCCCCACACCATTGAAGAGGAGCGCGACACCCAGTCGCGTGACCACGCCCGTTGCAGTTGTCTCCCCCGTCGTTCACCAGCCTCTGCCACGGCCCCAGCCACACACACCCTCTCGCTCAGAGCAACTCCTTCGTGACGCCCTTAGACGTGGGTCAATGTCTGCCCCACGCCCAGCCTCTCGCCAGTCCCAGACTTCAGTCGTCGTTGCCACACCCGAGAAGCGTTATTACGGCGGTGATGCAGAATTCGCGTCGTCTTCATCATCGCTGTCGTCGTCAACAAGGTCTCATCACCAACACCGCCCACGCACCATGTCGGTCACGCGTGCCCAGTTCGAGGGAGAGCGTGACCCAGCCCATGAGGCACTGCGAGCGCGTCTGGAGAGGATGTTGGCTTTGTCTTCCAGCCCAGTGAGCGGGTCTAGCTCGAGGAGGGGCAGTATGAGTGGCAGCGAGAAACGCGCTAGTACGCAGTCGGCTGGTCAACAACAAGACAGTGAAGCACAGTTGGAGTGGAATGCGCTAATCAGGGCAAATACGGAGCGTAGTGAGCGGGAACGATTGTGGAGAAATGGCGTTAACGTTGACCTGGTGGGTGTCATTGTTCTCTCGTATTCAAAGAACCTGATATAACATACAAAAACAGAACGAGGATGAGGTAGTAATGCCGCTGCCATTGGCAATGACTCCTCGGCCAACCGCAAGACCTGCCCAAGTCGGGAGCCCACGTACACCAGCCTCGTCTGAAGAGAGAGAGGTGGTCAGTCCAACAAGAAGGCGACCGTCTCTGCAGAACGTGAGTTATATTATTGTTTGCTTTATTTTTATGCTCTGTTCCTGGCTTCTGGTGTCTCTGGTATCCTTCGACTCCACAGGCCATTGCTTGCCTTGTTATGTGCTCTACGCTATCGCTCTATAGCAGCAATCCCCCCTTTTCTTCAGCTCCCCAATTCTCTTCTTCCTTTGCGCTTTTTGGTCTTGGCTTGTTTTCTCGAAGCAGAAAGCATGCGAAACCTCGGAGATTCGCGGACGTCGGCCTACGGGGATTGTTGTCTATGGCCCGGGCTGGGCCGGGAGCCTTCTTTTTCTGTCTTCTTAGCGTGTGCGCCAGAAAGTCGAGATGTCCCGATATTATTGGTATCGATACGGGTGATCTTCTCGGATGGGCTTTGCTTGGGGTCGATGCGCTGTTGTTCAACTCTACGCTACCCTGTGCTAGCGGTTTGTGGCGGCACGCCCAGAGAAAGACGCCGTTTTCACGTTCTTTTTTCTTCGCTCCGGTAGCTCCGTGCTACGCCGCGACTAGTCCTAATAATGAAAAGGTCCCGCGAAACCTTATTCTTATTTCCCTTCTTGATCTTCAGATCTTCTCTTTTACTTGGGATGGGAAAGCATGGACACGGACACGGGCGGGTTTCTCCTCGGTCCTCCTTCGCCCGTCTTACTCGTTGGTCGCTGTTTCTTTGACTAGCGGATGGGGTCGTACGATACATTCGGATTTCATGTCCGCGCCGCACTTTTCCCGGGACAGCCATCTGATGGCTGATGGCTCGCGGGTTAATACGAGTCTTGCATGACGCGGGGAAGCTGTCATGTTTTCTGGGGACTTTAGTGCCGCGCGGTTGCCGCGCGTCTTTCTTTGGGAGGATTCACACCGTACCTTGCTCTTTGCTTTCGCTCTACTCGCTCGCAACTGCAGCTGAACTGTTTTGTTGTAGTACACTGGGATCGCTACTATGTCGTCGCCTGTCCGAAGACACCCGAGCCCGCTTCCTCAATCGCCACATTCACGTTCACACTCGCCACATATCCAGACACGCTCACAGTCACCATATCGATTACACACGCCTAGCAACGCTGCCCACTCGCCCTATTCGCCTTCGCCCTATTCGCCGACCACCCACTCACCACATTTACCCACACAGCGACCCAAGACGCCCATAAGACACAACGCCGACGAGGACCGGCCCATAAGCCCAAGTGCCATAAGCCTCGCCAGGAGGCATACATCGCCTGCAGTGCCTGCTAGCCCTGTGAGGAACACCTTCGCGTACGGTAACGTGCAGGCTGAATCCCCGCGAACGCCGTCACGTGCAGGCTCAACAATGCCCGGGAGCCCGTCGATGCGTGCACGGGCGCAGACGGAGCCGGTGCCGGCGTCGCCTGGTCCCATCCCAACAAATCCCATGTCGCTATTGCTCGAGAGGGAGGCAAATGTGGATGGAGAGAGGAGACAGAGAAGGCACGTGAGGAAGAGCAGTGCATATGCAGCGTTGGCTGCGTTAAGCGTTGCTGCTACCAATGGAAGCGTAGGGGGGCATGCGGGGTATGGAGGAGCACATCCAGCCTATCCAGGACTGGGAGTTGGGAGGCCACAGGGTAACATGAAGGAGCCTAGTACCCCAGGGAGCACGCCACCATTGACTGGAGATGTCGATGCTGATGCTGATGGTGACGAAGAAGACGACATATCTGAAGATGAACGATCGCAACCGAGGAGGCTAGGGAGAAGTCAGAGCCAGCGCCAACGCCGACAGCGCAAAATACTGCTAACGCCGCCTTCGACGCCCCCGAGCGAGGATTCAGCATCGATGTTGTCGCTTCGTCACTCACATGATGATTTGTGTGCCCCTCAAATGGCGACCGCCACGTTTAATGCACGTAAGGCGTCGGCACAGTGTCGCCAGCTTGAGGGTTATGTCAGCTTTGCTGCGGTCGAGGGGCTCGGGGAGCCGCCTAGTCCCACGCGGGATGGTAAGTCCACAATTTTTTTTTTTGATATTGAGTTGACTTCCCATAGATGATGCGGATGCAGCTGAACGCAGACGGTCTGGCAAACGCGGGAGTCTCGGCGCTGGCATCGTCGGACTCTGGCGCGGGACGTTCTGGTGATCGCATCCTGCCTCGTTTTCTTCTCTTTCTGGGTTATTTTTTCTTTTCACTTTCGCCGAATAAAGAACGGGCTTTTGTTTCTAATCCAAACACTAATTTCTTCCTCCTGTTTGCTGTGTTGTGTTGTATTGCTCTCGACCATAGAATATGCCCCATCTTTTTGCCCCCCCCTTTGCTGTACATACGTGTTTTCATTCTTTCCTTCTTCTTCTATTCTGCTGTAGCCAATACCTGGGTGTGGGTGAGTCGTTTTTTTCTACCCCGAGTTTTTCGACAAGCTAACGCTCTACTATAGGTTGCCGAACAGAACCGCGAGTGACGGGATATGATGCTACACGAATCGACTCGACTCGTCAAGTGAACCAACGCAAACAACGGGGACCTTGAAGTGCCCGTGCTGATTGGCTCCGTTCCAACGGCACGGAGTTGGCTGGACGGAGACGTCGCATTACCCGTCCATCGTCATCCCCACCGTCATTGCTCTCTCAAGAAGCTAGCCAGACGTATTGTTTGAGGAAGACGCTGCCGCCCATCGAATCCCTCCCGCGTCAGGTGAGGACTTGCGTCCTTTTCTCGAAGTGTGTCTGAATGATGCACATACAGGCTCGATGACAGAGAGACTGCGAATACCCACGAAACCAACTCTGTTTGCGGCTCTGGTGATCATAACGCTACCGCGTGTGGATTCTTAAGCGTCAGGTGCGCGTTTTTGTTGAGGCATATTTATAGCGCGTTTCTGACGAGGCGTGCTAGATCCAGCGTGCTGAATGGGCTAGACCTGTGTTGCCGAGCAAACTGAACTCAACGCCAGATTCAGAAATCTGGGACGAATGGTGACAGCGGACGGAGCTCGGTAGTCCGTCGAAAAGTCAACGCTTGAAATGCTCATGCCCATACCCCTGTTCATGCCAAGTTGCCATTCAGCGTCATCATCTGCACACGGTTCGAACTGCCGGGAGCGTGGCAGTAACTCAAACTGTGTTCTGCGCCACGAAGTCGGGGGGGGCATCAGAACGAGGCTGGTTATGCGACGATGACGGACACTCGCCCGACCTGTTCAAGATCCGGGAACCGACAACCCAACAAACACTACCATATGATCCTTCTAATCAAACAACAGAAGATACTTACACTCGTTTCGTTTTTTTTTCGTATACATACCATAGACGGGTTTTCGGGAGGAAGAAGTAGAAACAGACAAATGTACAGTATAGTTGTCCAAGAAAGAAAAACACTTTGCGTGGTACAGTTCATTGACGACACTTTATCTACGCTTCCTTTGCTTGTTCTTCGTCGTCTCCGTCCCAACTGCCTTCTTCTCCCCATCAACCTTGCGAGCCTCCCCATCCGCCTTGCGTGAAGTGCCCGTTGTCGCGCGCTGGCAAGATATGATCAGCAGCTGATGGTCCGACAAATAAACATACCTGACGGCGCGCTGGTCGACTGGAATTGGCGTCAGCGTTCGGAGTGCGCGTCCGCTTGCCGAGTGTCACAGGCGGCTTCTTGTCGTCCTCGGAGTCTTCACTAATGTCGTCGTCGCTGTTCTGGGCATTGATGGCAGAGATGCTTTGCAAGGGAGGCGGCTTAACGTCCTTTTTCGGCGGCGCCTCCTTGCCCTTGGTGGGATTGAGTATCAGAGAGCATAAAAGCAGAAGACAAACATCTTCAGCCTGTGTGAGTGGACTGGAAGACGACACCCATACATTCAGGTCGATCATCGACTTCCCTTTCGGCGCGCCGTCGCTCTCTTTACCGCGTTCCTTCAAAAGACGTGCAAGCGTCGAACGCAACTCGTCGATCTGGGTCTGTTGCGAATTAATCATGTTCTCGCGCTATTCTTCCCGTTAAGGTTTTGGGCGTAAAGTGAACTAAAAGAACTCACTCTCCGGAGTTCGTTCTCCTTCGTGACCATTTCTTGCTCGTGGGCGGAATTCGACAACTGCATCAAAGAGTTGACAAACGTCTTCTCCGAATCACTCTGAGAAAAGCTCATGAGGCGAACATTTCACACAAATCCAAAGTACCCACCAAATCCCCGACTTCGTATCGCTTCTGCAGTGTCCTCCCCCGGCTTTGAAGCTTCGAGTTCTCCATCTCTAGTTCCTCCATCCGTGCCTGGAGAACGATCGCCTCTCCATTCGGACTTGCGGAAGCAGCATCACGCAATCGTTGCTTCATCTCTTGTGCCTCCTTCCGTGCCGTTTCGACTTGTTGCTCCAACTGTGCGGCAACTACCTTGGCCTCCGCGGTCTCTTTCTCAGCCAACTGCGTTTTGTGCTCTTGTGCTTCGACGAGTTTGGCGTGCATGTCCTTTTGCTCGGCAATTTTGGCTTCATAGTCGACTGTCGCAGCAACAAACCCAGCCCGTTGGATGGCAGCGTCTTCAGTGACTTGGTTAAAGCTTGCTTGAAGACCAGCTTTCTGTTCGCGGAGCACCGCAATCTCGGTGTTGCATTTTCCAATTGTCGATTCAAGCTCAGCCTTGACGCCTCTCAGATAAACAGAGCAATATTAGGAAGATGCTCACCGCATGACTTTTCTCGGCCACAAGTAAACGCTCCTGCAGAACAATTAAAGTATGTTCATTAAGAGAAGAGAAACTTACTTGGAGATCCCCACTCTGCTCTTTGGAGAGTTTCAAGGTGATGGATTGAGCCTCGAAGCGCTCTTGGAGTATCGCGACATTCATATGAGCCTTTCTTAAGCTAGAGTGGATATAAGCGACTGATCGGAGCAAGTGGATGGAAACTCACTCCTCCTCTTTAACTAAGGTATCTGCACTCAGAGTGTTGACCCGCTCGGTCAATTGGGAAACCTTCTCTTGCAGCAACGACTCGCGTAAATTTGCGGCAGCCACCATTTCAACCCTGGAGAACGTTGACATGCATAGAGGTTTATATTAATGTGAACGTACGCTGATTGAGTTCCCGCTTTGGAATCATGGAGCTCTCCTCGTATGCATTGTACTTGTTCGTTAGCCTGATCCAGTTCCCTCTTCAGCTGAGTTGCCTGTGCAGCTTGTTGGACGTGTTGTAATTCCAGTTGGCGAGCCCGATCGGCAGCTAGCTCAAGTTTTGCCGTCGTCCTAATAAAGAAGTCAATTACCTTGTCATTCAGGACCCAGAGACTGACTGTCGATGCAAGTCCTCGGTTGACACCAATTTGGAGCAACTGTCCGTCAATTGGGACTTGAACGAAACAAGCCTTTCGGAGGTTAGAAAAGGACAAGTGTAAAGAGATTCCCGTACTCGTCCTTGACAAGAGATAGTTCTTGCTCTAACAATGTGATATGGCTCAGATGCTCCTTGACTTTGCCTTGCAGCACGTCATTTCTGCAGAAGAATGGGACCAAGCAACACAACAACAACAATTTGAGAACATACCCTTCCTTGAGAGTTCCCGCCTCGACTTCAACAGCTCTTAAAGTAGAAATTATTTCAGTCTGTTCTTGCACTAAACGCTCCAAGGAAGCTTTCCTGGATATCCATGTTATGAGCATATCACATTAACTCAATGTGCATTGCCTACTCGGCTTGCAAGCGGTTCGTGTCGGAAACTGCCTCTTCAAGTGTCGCATTTCTCGACCTTTCTTCTTGCAATTGGTACTCCAGCTCGAGTTTCCTGGGAAGGATTGGTAGGACATCCCAATAAACGAACTGGCCAACCTTTCATTCAATAGTGCCACTTTATCATTGAGATTGTCTAACTCGATTTCTCTGGTCTTTCGGTTGTTCATAGTCTCCAGGAGCCTGGAGCCAGTCAGTGTGCAGGTTGAGTCGGAGATGATGAAATATATATACTTTTCATTGCTATCCTTCAAACGAGACTCCAATGTTAATTTTTCTTCGAACCATCGAGCGCCTTCTTCGGTTTGTTTGGTCGTCGCGGAAGTAAGCTCCTCCAGCCGAGCCTCTGTTCAAGGGCGATTGGTTATCAAGTTTTGAAAAAGAAGAAGGTGCATACCAACACGCTCAATTTTGCCCTCTCTTTTCTGCTCTAAATCCAGAATCCGTTCCTTGGCTTCAACAAACTGGGCACTTAGGAGGTGGAGCTTGTCGCGTAGCATATCGTTCACTTGCTGGGCTATGCAGTGTCAATCAGAGGTCTCAATGAAGAAGGCTTCGAACAGCTTATAAGATCCTGTTGGAGTTCATCAATTAGCGCTCGCGTTTCCGTTGAACGGCTGATATCGTCTGCGGCCTCGATTCCTGTTGAAGGTCAGTAACATGGCGATCAAGCAGAGGGTCCTCTACCTCTTAGATTCTCTGCGACATTATTTCGGATGGTGTTGAGTTCGAGGGAAAGGTTTTGGAGTGACGCCTGAGAAGCATCGTACTGGGTCTTGAGTTCTTTGACATACGTTTGCAATTCGTTGTAGCTAGACAGCAGGCATAAAGAGGAGTAAACAGGGCTATTCGTGGACGCAACTTATTCGTTAAACTCTCAACACCGCTTTTTGCAGCCGTTCGCAACTGGTTAGTTTGGATAGACAGCTCTTGGAACCTTCTTTCTAAGTCGTTTGACTGAGCTTTCGCCATACGCAACTCTTCTTCTGCTTGAGCTCTTCGCGTGGCTTCCCGATCTTCTAGCTCATTGATTCGACGCTTGAGGGTGTGTTCCGAGGCTTCACTTGCAGCAAGCTGAGAAGATAGACGAGATTCAAGTTCGGTATTGATTCGAAGCTAGAGGTTTTGATGGCATATATGTGGATAGATGTCCGCGGCTCTTTATTGCGACGCACTTGTTCGGTAAGTTTAGCCTTGATTTGTTTGCTATCCCGTAGTCGTGCCAGCAGTTGGGAGACGTCGTCATCCTCAGTGTTGAGTTCTTGTTCTAAGGCAAAGGACGGTGAACGAGATGGAGGGAGCTTCTGGGGGTTGTGGGGCTGAAGATGGGCAAGTTCCGATACATGTCGAGAGGCTGGGTTTGGAGAAGAGTAACGTGGTGTAACTAAACTGCGTGAGGATTTGGAATGAGGGTCAAGGCAGATAAATCATACAATGCTGGTCCTCAGGCACCGCATTCCCCATCGTAAATGCTCTGACTTTACTTGTTTGCGTTTTTCCCTGTGGCTGAGGTATGGCTTGACGATTTGCAGAGAACATGATGGCATCGTGGGGTTCTTGTTTGAAATTATGTGTGTCGAGCGCATGTCGGGAGCCAGGGCCATGCGCTATATGAGAAGGGGGAGCTAAGCGGTTTTCGGTTTGGTTTCTACTTTGGGTGTGAATAGAGGCGAAGGGCTTTCGCGGGTTGCTAGGCTTTTGCAGCATTGAAAAGGGAGGGTTTGAAGGCATTGGAGCTGCATTGCGGAGAGCCTTGTAATCAAATCCATTTGGGTCCATGACAACTCGGGGCAAGAGGCGCAGAGTCTGAAAAAGGCAAGTCGTGATATTCAAAACACATCCTTTACAGGCAGACACGAGCAAGTACTAGTAGTAATACATGTAGCAGAACTTCATAGAGGATGCCATGTGAGTATACCAAGAAGAACGAAAAGAGGTTTTTTAAACGTTAGGTCATCCTGAGCCACTGTCAGAGTCAGGGTCGTCGAAATACGACTCGTCTTCGGGATCTTCATCTGGAGTAGGATGTTCGTTGACGAACGAGTCCATCTTTCCTAGAACAAGGGCATCCGAGACTGAATCATGGCCTAGATGCTGCCTACCCTCAGTACCACAAACATCGAGCAATTGAAAGTATACCCACCTCTAGCCATTGCCCCATATCATATACAACGATCTTGCATTTGTGACACGGGTATTTGGGCTTGCTTTGGAAGATGGTCTGAGGGCCATGAGTTTGGGAACGAACTCAGGCTGAGCATACACACCAACAGCGAAAAGCGCTTGTTTGAACTCATTGCAAGGACAGGAGGGGGGGCGGGGAATCCTATGCTCCTCCTCGCTCCGAGCCCTTTGCTTTATACCAGTTCAAGTCTGCGTTCCTGAGACTGAGACCTGCATTGCCGCATTTTCCGTCGCTTGAAGAAGACGGGAAAATGTCTCAGGAATATTGATAACAGCTTCAATATTCTTGAAGAATAGATGCCTTGAATATCCAGATGATTCCGGGCAATGTAAGCAGTACTAGAACTAGAGCAGCAGACAGAAGGTTTTGACGAGCAGGTTGGTAGTCACGAGGTATCATCTTTCTCTTTTGACATGCAACCCCCACATTCTTTCAACTCGCGCCACAGCGAGACACGCTCCCATCGTAGATGCGCCTCAGAACCTCTCTCTCCTCATATTCAAGTCCATCCACTCATTTCCAACCAACCACGTCCACGATATTCGTTCCTTCCGACGCTCTCTAGAAAACCTCCACCAACCACAGAAATATATAGCCCCCATCTTTCACCCCGAGTACCAACGCAACATTACCCACCCACACGAATTGGACAGCCTGCACTCAAGCTCGCCGCTATCAAGGAACGTCTGGCAGATCTCGAGGCCACCAATGAACGCTTTCAGCAACGCATCAACTCGTATGAGACGGACATCGAAATGCTCAACTCAAGCGTGTCGTATTTCAGCAGTGAATACTATTCTGGACTTCTTACCATCCGTGATCTCCGTGCTCGAACGAAGAGGGACGCAGAAGTTCTCAGTTCACAAGAGTATCAGCTGTGTCAACTGAAGAAATTTGTCGGTCTAATGGTGGAAATTGGCCTTCATGAACCTGTTTTGGCTCGAGTGCACAGCGACGTTATCAAGGGCACCAAAGACTTCGAAACCACACTAGTCGAATCCATTCGCAGCGCCGCTGCAAGACCTGGCTCAGCATGGTCCCATATCCTTGCGAGCATGGTTGCTGCCGAAAACATTCCAGTCAACGATTCACAACCCACTTCCACGACCACCACCTTTGATGATGCATGCAGCAATGCTAGCACTGTTGATGATCTACTACAGAGTCTCAAGAACGGCGATATACCTTCAACGAAACATCGGTCCATATTCAGTCAAACAAGCAAAGCCAAATCTCCACCCCAACCAAAAGTTAATCTCAAGTCACCTAAAACGCCCAAACCCCCTTTTAGTATCAGGCCTGCCCTCGCAAGTCTCGATCCCAATCGTGTATCCAAATCGTCGTCGAGTATTCAAAGCCGGGTTCCGACTACGAAAAAGGTACAACGAACTGTGATTGTGGCTTTTCTGACGTGGGTTGGTTTTAGTCAGCTACCGCTCGACGCGTTGAATCACAACGTCGTCCAAAGAAGACTAATGGAGCACCTGCTGATATTAGCGCATCTTCAAACGGCGCTCTTGCGTCTCTTCAACGTATCATTGATCACTTCAGCAGTGGAAGCCTTGGGTCTCTTGAGATGTCTACAGAGGGAACATCACAATGCGAAGACGTCAACGGCGGCGCCAGCTTGTCACCCATCCGTATATGTATCCGCCCACCCACATCATGCTCAGGCCGTGAGCGTGCAACTCGTTCGGTTGCTACTTTGTCTCCAACAAAGGTGACCACGCTCGATTCACCGTTGTTTATCGGATCCCCACCACAACGACGACCTCGCCTCCGTACCACAACAGCCTCGCCCTCTTTGGGTTCGCAGTCACGTAAGACGAAGAGTGGATGGCGATGATTTCCAGTCTCGTATTTTTTTCTGTGTTTATAAATACATTGGGCCAATTGTTGAGAAACTACTTCCAGACGGCGATCAGCCGATAAGCATGTGACCTGTTCCGTCCCATGTGCCGACCCACGGTCGTTGCTCAACACTGGTCATCCTTGTTCAATTTTCCAACAGAGCAGCTTCCATCGTCGGCGCTAGCAACGTGCAACTATACGCAACGAGAAATGATCCACGCATGCTGAACTGGCCACATGTGGACATGTCAACTCGTCTTCTCCGACTTCCCCATACTTAAAATGGTTGCAAGTCGTCCTTCCTCCAGCAGGACCTTGTGTCTCTCTTGCTGGCCCGACCACCTCCCTTCTTTCTCTACTACAATCCCCTTCCCCGTCAGACGAAATGCTCTTCACGCTCCTTCCAGTCTCTTTGCTCGCTTCCACTCTGCCGATCTGGGCTGTAGCTACTCCTCTCGATGAGAGGGAGCCCGTTGAGAAGCGGGCTGTGGATTTTAACAACCCCACTTTAACGGGGGGCTCTTGGCTCGATGCCTCTGCTGGGCTCGGCGAACCGCTCAACGTGGGTGCAACTCCACCAGATAACGACCGGCTGACTTGCCTGCGTGCAAATAGGTCGTGATTTCTGCCCAGAGCTCGCCTGAAGTCCTCACAACTGATGGATTCCTGAAATATGCTAACGCGATTGGATTGTGCGAACCACCCTCGTTTTCACTCACGACGAATTCGAACTAATCAACTTGGTAGTGACAAGGAATGTCTGGGGCTCCACATCGGTAACCCACAACAGGCCAACTTGGGTGATGGACGCGGTTGGGTTAACGAGACGGAGGTTCTCCGAGAGGACTTTGGGGTTCCCGGCTCCATTGGGACTTGTCTGGAAAGTCTGGAGGGTGGGAATCATTTCAGAGTTTGGCAGCAAGCCGGGACCAACGCGATCTTCTTAGCGTGAGTTCGGCTTTGCGGTCCCTTTCACTCAATGGCCTGATGACTCTATACAGTGTCTCCAAGGAAGAAGACGCAGAGGACTCCCATAACATCATACCGGACGGGTTAGTAACCTCCTCTGCCCTGCACATAGAGCTCTAATTGAAGCTGTTAGCTACAATATCGGGCGAGACCTTTTAGTTGCTGCAGCGGTCGGAAAGAAGACTTGGTTCGACATCTCCAAGTTCAAAATCGTGCACTACACGACGGTCTTAACCAACTTGACGGGATTCCTTGCTCCAGGTTCCGATGGAATCAACCATGGTACGGTCTATTTCCAATTTGTTTGTTGTCGCGGCACTCAAACACATCATAGGCATCGCGCAAGACGGAGTCACCAAGCTGCTTACCGTTACTATCTCATAGGAATGACTTTTTCTCCAATGAATATATCCAGGCTTCTACATTGCTTACCGTTTACGTTCTCTACATCTTCGACTTCACGTGCACGCTCTCTCCTGACGCTGCATTGAGATCACGGAACTTGTAATAAAGCTTCAACGACTCGGGATTCGCCACAGTACCGCTTGGCTTCAAGTTACTTCCCGAGACGATTTGCTTCACGGCGATCTCGATGCGTTTCCCGTTGACCGTATACTATAAATCCCTCGTCAGAATTACCAGCTTGAGCCTACAAGAATGACGCACCGGAATGTCTTCGATAGGCAAAATAAACGCGGGCACGTGACGAATGCTCAATGCAGCGCGAATCGCGTCTTTGATCTGTTTTATGAGGTTGTCGTCTAGCGTGTGTCCGGAACGCATCTTCAAGAAGAGTAGCACACGCTCGTCCTTGTCCGTCGCGCGACGCTGGCCCACACAGAGCGAGTCGTCGATCACTGAAGAAAATTGTTCAAGGACATTGTAGATTTCGCCGGAACCAAAGCGGACGCCCGAAGGGTTAAGAACTCCGTCACTGAGTTTCAGCTTTAGTGAAACTTTGAACAGCGAAGCAAAAAAAAACGCACCTGCGACCCAGGATCATGAGCCCCTGGGTCTTAGGGTTCATCACGATGAAGTCGCCCTGCCGCCATATTCCTGCCAGAGACGATGAATTGAACGATATATTACGCACAAGACAATTCACTTACCAGGATACATGTTGTAGTACGCATCGCGGAACTTTGCTCCGGTCGTGTCCCCCCAGAATCCGAGGGGAAGGGAGACGTGTGGGCGCGTACATACCTGTGACAATCAATACGGAGAGGTCTCAGAAGTCACGGTCCTACCAGTTCTCCAGCAACACCAGTTTGTTCAATATTCTTGCCCTCCTGGTCGAATATTTCAATGGCCATCCCAAGAGATTTGCATTGCATCTCTGTTCGTTTCTTGTGTCATAGATTGATGAGTGAATCACCCAGTCAACTGACCTCCAGAGTATACAGGCAAGCTAGGGCACCCTCCTACGACTAATAAACTGTGAGCTGGAGTCACGCGGGGATTAATTTTGGGATACTAACAGCCAGAACAAACGTCAGTGCCGCCAGAAGGAGACAAGATATGGGCGCGGGCGCCAAAAGCCTTGTGAGACCATTCGAACATCGGTGTAGTAAGGACCGCTCCAGTCACGCTCAGTGTCTTGAGGTCCGCAAACGAGCCGATGTCAACTACAACAAAGTCAATGTCAGTTTATACGGGTTTGGTTGTTTACGTGGGTTGATTCCCCGCCCCTGAACCTCTGCTAGGAATCGGGGGCTAGTGCCGAACACCCCAACACTTGTAATACACCGTCAGGCCATGCGCATCTAGAATCTGAAGCAGTTACCGCTGGTCATTAATGAACTTGAGATATGCGTGTAGATCTGGGTGAAATGGGGAGCCGTCATAGAGGAGGAGACGTGCACCGAGTGCCAGACCACTGAGCATGAATGTCCACATCATCCAGCCAGTCTATAATAACGCTGAGTTGGGAGTTAAGTGGGAGTATAGATACTAACCGTCGTGTACTGGAAATATGCTTCGCCTTCCTCAAGTCCGACATGAAGCTTGAGTTCCTTTTGATTTTGCAACAAGACACCCTGTTTATTGTGTTCAAGTTCGGTCCGAGAGAAGACCAGTGAAAAAGTACCCCGCCAGAGTGCACTATGCATTTCGGTGGTCCCGAGGTACCGGAACTGTAGAGAATGAACAATGGCGCACTGAACGGCATTTGTTCGAAGACAAGAGGACTCCCATCGTCCACGCTCAAAAATTGGGAAAGTGTTTTACTGCGTTAACAATGCATCAGAAACCGTAATCTCTTAGTGGGAATGGACGCCTCACCTCTGAGACACTGAGATTTCCTTCCCATTGATCAAACTTGGCAGTGTAATCATCTGCTCTGCCCCGTATTTTCGCAAATCTTGGAAGACTTGGGTTACTTTGGGCAGAAGATCGATGCGTTTGCCAGCATAGGTGACCTCTGTTTCGGAGAATATGAATTTAGGAGCAATTTGGCGATATCTATCGAGGACCCCTTGAGTTCCCATGTCACTTGCGGTACTCGAGAAAATGGCGCCAATGCTTGCAGTAGCCAAACAAATAACAACAGAAGTGATGGTATTGTTCACTATTGCTGCAACACGATCGCCCTTCTGTAGTCCGTGCTTACGCATAGCACAAGTCATTTGTCGGACCAACTCGTGTAGTTCCCGACGGGAGTAGTGGGAAACGCGTCCAGATTCGCCACCAGCAGTAATCACAATACTGTCGGACTTGGGCCGGATTAGAAGGTTCTCTGCATAGTTGAGCCGAGCAGCTGGAAACCAGCGAGGCACTTCTGGTAGGTTTCCTGGCTCCAGTATCTTGCCAATTTATAAATAGATGAGATAGGGCGGCTGGATTCAACGACGAACCTTGTCACCAGGTGGAACTGACGAAGAAATCTCAAGAAAGTCCCAGAGGTCAGCCCAAAAGGCGTAGTCCTCGACGGAGTACTTGTGCAAGGCGTGGAAGTCCTCTGAGCGCGTGTTCCGGACGACAGAACAATTACAATGAAATTCATACCTAGGTTCAACCCGTGTTTCGTGTTGATGAACCGACGAAACCGCTCCACCGCTGTCCACGTAGGTCTCGAAGGAGTCCAGATGAGTTTCGAGTCCGCGAAGTAGGTCGACATGGTGGTAAAGAGCAGCGATCCGGAATAGCCGAAGTCAGCAGCGATAACATAATTGCTATAGTCTGCTGACTAGCGCCAGAAATACGATTGCGGTCGATTTATTCGCGAGGCCTGAGAAGAACATGTTCGCATTTCACAGGCCCATCCTTCGTATCCAAGGCTCTCATTCGTCTCCTCATTCTGACTACGTTAATATTCACGGAAAGGGAAGGCGGCCAGGCAATGCAAGGATATAAGCAGATCGGGTTCATGCTCTGTACGGTGGCAACCTGTTTGCCACCTGTCGACAGGGTTGACATCGTTAAGTCTTCACTGTCCTCCTGGGTCCTTGGAACGACTGGAAGTTGGACCACTATTTGGGGTGATTTAATGGGGCAGTAGAGGAGGTTTCAAGTATCCACTAGCTGTTCACTAGTGCTAATACGTTGTGGAGTTCGATTGACGTTCCAGAGCTGAAGCTAAGTAATGAGCACTGAGCAGCCGCCAGCACGATGAGGAGGTCGTCGTGACACATGTGACATACCATTCGCCTTGACACGAACTTCCTGGCCGCTAATACCTGGCTTGCATTCCACCATATACCACGACTATAATGGACGCCAATGGCCCGCAAGGAAAGCTAGCCAACGGCCATGCCGACGCCGCCTCAGGGCGGCTCCAAATCATAAATGACGAAAAGAAATTCACGTAGGTGTTGTTGAGCAACTATCCACATGTTGCGCTAACCCACAACGCAGACCGGAGCTCACAGCGCAACTCGAGAAATGGGGTCTACGCGACGCTGGCTTCGGCTATAATATTGTTGCGGTCTTTGGTTCGCAGTCGACGGGCAAAAGTGCGTTCATATCCCTTACTCTCTGTTGTAAGGCTAAGATACGCAGGTACACTTCTTAACCGTCTCTTTGGAACTACATTCGATGTTATGGACGAGACACGAAGACAGCAAACGACAAAGGGTGAGTTCACCAGTCTGCTGCTTCTTTGCTCCAACACGTCATAGGCATCTGGATGTGTCGTGGTCGGGACATGAATATCATGGTCATGGACGTTGAGGGAACAGATGGTAGAGAGCGCGGCGAGGACCAAGACTTCGAGCGCAAATCCGCCCTCTTTTCCCTTGCTTCCTCTGAGGTTCTGATAATAAATCTTTGGGAGCATCAAGTCGGTCTCTACCAAGGCGCGAATATGGCGCTTCTCAAGACCGTGTTCGAGGTCAATCTCGGCCTGTTTGGAAAGAACACGGCAGGGGGGCGGACACTCCTACTTTTTGTGATTCGCGACCATATTGGGCAAACACCGCTCGCCAACCTCCAGGCAACACTGACCGCAGACCTGATGCGTATCTGGGAGTCGCTTTCTAAGCCTCCTGAGCTTTCGGACCGCCAACTTTCAGACTATTTTGACCTCTCCTTTACCGCGTTGCCGCACAAGATCCTTGCTGCAGACAAATTCGAATCCGAAGTTCTCAACCTCCGCAAGCGTTTTACGGAGAAGGAGTCGTCTGAATATTTATTCAAGCCTGTGTATCACAAGCGTATTCCGGCTGATGGTGTTGCCTTTTACATGGAGAACATATGGGTACGTATCACGCTTTTCATCTCACAACACAAGTTTTCAATTGCGATCCATAGGAACAAGTTCAAAGCAACAAGGATTTGGACCTGCCGACTCAACAAGAACTTCTGGCGCAGTTCCGTTGCGATGAAATATCAACTGTTGCTCTCGCTGAGTTCAATGAGCAAGCAAAATCACAAAAACGTCCAGTTGAAGCTGGTCGGGTGGTTGAGGGACTTGGTGAACTCATGAGCAACTGGAGGACAGATGCTCTAAGTACGTCTTCCGATGGCTGCTCTTCTTGTGGCTTATGGTTTCCAAGCTCGTTATGACCGAGATGCCTCGCGCTATCATCAAGGCGTCTACAAACGCAAGCGTGCCGATCTTGTTGCCGCACTTGATGCAGTTCTTACCCCACTCTTCCTCGGTCAACTGAAAAATCTGCACAAGACATGTCTAGTTGCTTTCAAGAAGGAGATGCTGGATGGATTGCGCGGCGAAGGATATAATTTTGCCGACGTTGTTTCCAAAGCGAGAGTGAAATGCTTGGGAAGGTTTGAGACTGCGGCCAAGGAGGCGCTGATAGACGGACCCGATTGGACATGGCAAGATGAGCTGGTGTCGTTGCAAGAGGAGGTGAGGAGTGTCGCCGATCAGTGCAGGAAGGATGAGACCAAGAAGATGGTCAACCAAATCGAGGTTCGCATTATTTCGTCCTCCTTTGCATGTAGCTCACGTATTACTGCAGAGGACTTTCAAGAAACAGATTTCAGAACCTGTCGAGCTTGCGTTGAATAAAGCAGCGCCTGACATGTGGGATGACATCCTTCGTACCTTTGCGCAAACTTTAGCCAAAGCTGAGGCTTCTTACCTGACCAAAGCTACCAGTGAGTACTAAATGTATCCATTTTTTCTCCTACTCATTGTGCCCAGGCTTCGATTGTACTGACGAGGAGAATTCGACATCTCTCGCGGTTCTAAGACGACGTGCATGGCAAGCTCTTCGCGAGAAGGTTGACGAGCAAACTGCCGAGCCCGTCATGTTGGCGAAATTACGTGGCCATTTCGAGGAGAGGTTTCGATATGATGCAACAGGCGTGCCACGGGTATGGAAGCCGGAGGACGATATCGATGGGGCGTTCAAGGTCGCCAAGGACCAGGTTTGTTCTCCACATTCAACTGAACTTCAGGCTAATTGAGTATTCAGACGCTCGACCTTATCCCATTATACTCGAAAATTCAACCTGCCGACTCAACATTGGAATATACGCTCCCTGCGGACTCGATTGCCATCACCACCGATGCTAATGAGGAGTTTGACTTTGCGTCAACGCTCGTGATCTTCACGGAGACCAAAGGCTTGGAGCTAACCCAAAAGTTCCGGCGCGAAGCAGACGCATACTATGTCGAGGCCAAGCGGAGCACGGTTGCAAGCATCGCTCAAATTCCTTATTGGATGTATGGTGTGCTGGTCGTGTTGGGCTGGAACGAGGCCATGGCCGTCTTGTTTAATCCACTATACTTCACATTCTTGCTCATTGGATTGGCTTCCGCGTGAGTCGTACTCATGACTTGTCCTTCATCATTCTTACAGGCTTCGACAGATATGCCATCGTGCAACTTGGACTTGTAGGTCCGTTGTTCAGCATAACAAGGACTGTCGGTGGAGAGATCCAAAGGCAGGCGGGCGCTCGTTTGAGAGAACACTTCTCGCAGCCTGTATTGACCGAGCCTGTACCCGTGCGGAATCGCACCTCGTCACGACAAGAAGAGGAAGACGAGGATGGGGTGTTGGAGCGTCGTCGGCCACAGGTCATGTGAGAGAACTCGGAGTTGGTCTATTGTTATTATTCACGAATCTTCATTACCGGCATAAAATATGAACATTGGAAAGAGAAAGCTGATTCGTGTTATGTGAACTGTCCTCAGAATTGCATGCATATGGGAGGTAAGGTCGGTGAGGAACTAAACGGCATCATTCGTGGTCAGAAAGCCGTCTGCACTGGGAGAAACCGATTAGCCTGCCCCTTCTCCAGCAATTGCCGCTGGTGGTCGGTTCGAGCCGAGGATGCCGACCGCCATCTGAATCAATCACCAAAAATTCTCCAATATAAGCGTGCGGCTCAGATTCCGAAGGACCTGGTGAGGTAAGTCACCTATTTCAGATTTAATCATGGTACTGCCCTTACTTATATTCACATATTAGGTGTATATGGTTCTTGTGCGTGCTCATGATTATGAACCTGGGAAGCCTACAACTGGTGTTCCCACAACCCACTGGTACACGCCGAATTGTTCATGATGTAATTGGGTTGTATGCTGTTGTCGCTTCCGACAAGCCCAGACATTCGCAGACCCGTGGAATTTACCAAGCGAATGTTCCTGTATTTAGGCAGGTATTGCCAGCTTCAAGGCAATACTTTCGGAACCGACATGCACATACTTTCCCTGAAATCCATTACTCTTATGCTGGCGGCAGGAGCGGCGATGGCTCAGAACAACAGCAATGCCGCTATCAAGACGATCGTTAACCAACTCGATATGCAGCTGCATCATTTTGGGCCAACCGTTTGTAGGCCGTCGTCTCAGCATTATTAACAGGCCAGATTTTTATGCCTTATAGTGACTCTGCAAGCTAACCACACTCTCAACGACATAACACTGGGGAATCAAATGATCACCATTGGGGCGGCCTTCTTGTAAGCCGACGCCGCTCTCGGTAGAACCCCTGTGAGCACGGGCTCAACCACGGTGACGCCCACAAACGACGACATTAGTATCACGTACTCGGATGTTATGGCGTACGTACCAGCCTCCGAGACCATTGATGGTATGTCATGATAATAAACGTCCAGTTTACTTTCAACAACCTTGTCGGGCGTAATGAGCACTGGTACGATTAGAACTTTCTCGAGCATGGGCGCCGTGCTCGACCCAATCGTCGCCAATACAACCCTTCAGCTCAATAAAACCTTACCAGAGTCCACAACTGTTGTTCAAATTATGTTTGTAGCATTGTTGTGAAACAACTCCAAATACTGAAGTGTTCACAGGATGAGGGATGCGAGACAGTTTTATGTTGCTGAAGGATTTAACAAGACAATCACGGCGTTGGGCTTCTGACTTGGTGTTGATAACGATGAATTAGAGACTTGGTTTATTCTGTACTCTTGGAGAATCACCGCGACGAATTTCCGAGCGTACTAGTTGAGGCATGATAAGTTGATGGTTGTATTGAGTTGAACGCCTCCGCCCACAGCAATATGCTATCCCCCTGGCGGGCCACGGCGGTCCATACTAAAGAATTATCTAGACGAATCTGGCTGGCAGAGAGTATGAGTAGGCCAACAGCGTCAAGGCCGCTCCGTGAGCAGTGCTGGACCACGGTATTCCCTAAACAGGCCGACCGTATGTGCAGGTGTGGCCAGCAAACACATGTCGTTTGCAAGTTGCAGCCGGTTGAGCGAGAAACAAGGACTGGGTTTACTCTAAGCCATCGGATACCTTTTCACACCACCGAACGAGCGCGAAGTTGCGGGAGGAACATAGTTCTCGACGTCGTCCGCCCAGTTGCGGCCAGGTGAAGCAGTTGAAGAGCAGGGCTATGCGCTATCACGGTGATGGACGTCGATGACCGAGGCGGAATTCGATCACGTGCAGTGACGAATGTTGGCTTTCACGATTACACTGCTCACCATTCAAGGCCGCCGTGCACGCTCTCCGCGCCGACTGGTGGAACACGGACAGTCTCAGCTAATTATGGGCGCAGTATATATGCGCTAAGTGAGCCCTGCTCGATATCTCAATCCACTCGAATGCAGCCTAACGCAGAACCCAGCTCCAGCGCGAAGAAAGGCCATCTTCAGCGCGGCCAAGCGTGTTTTCACTGTAGAAGACGCAAAATTGTAGGTCTACACAACTGAATGTGCATTTTTCTGAACTAAATGTCGAGAAATGTGACGGAGCGCGTCCGATTTGTGGACCTTGTCAACGCGATAACCGACCAGACGACTGCGAATATACTCATGGACAACGTCGTGCGAGAGCGGAAATGCTTGAGGAGAGCATCTCACAAATCGAACAACGCATCTCTGAACTGCAACAACCGACTCGTCAGAGACAGCCAGATAAAAGTGGTCGTGTTTTACTTCAAACGCCATATGCAACTGGAAACCCTTCTAATTGTTTGTGGTTTTACTTCTTGTTTTCCTACATCTGATTTCACTACAGTGAATTGGACCGCTGCTGCCGAACCGCCTATGGACATGGTCGAGAATTTGTGGGCCATTCTATGTCTCATTCACCAGTTGCTAATCATTATCCAGGATCAGCACATTTCTGTTGTCAGCCTCTGAGTTCGGATTCTTCCTCAACAGTTCACGCTTCCGTCAATGTGCACTTGTTCGTCAGCCAATTGGGAGCCCACAACGTCCATTACCTGCTTTACTCACGACGGCATATCTTTGGGGCCTCCGTCTGTCTAACCAGCCAATGCTTCAGGCCCAAGAACCTGTCTTCTTGGCCAGAGCGTTGCAACAGACTGCGAATGGACTTTCTTCGCCGCATCCTGATCGTGTTCTACATACCCTTCAAGCGGAATTGCTGCTCACCTACTACTTTTTCGCTTCGGGCCGATTCCTCGAGGGCAAATATCACGCCTCGGCTTGTGTATCGCTTGCTCTCAGCACTGGACTGCACACTATTCGCTCGACATCAATGTCACCATCAAACATGCTCGCTCCTTCTCGCGATGCTGTTGAAGAAGGAGAGCGCATCCATGCGTGGTGGACGGTGGTTATCCTGGACAATACCTGGGCTGTGGCCCTCGAAGAAGGTCCTCATTTAGACCTTAACGCAAATGTCGACACACCCTGGCCGCTCGAGATCGAGCAATATGAAGGCGTTCGTGTTTAGTTTCCGGATATTTTGCATTTACCCATGTTACTTAGGGACATTTTGACTCTTCGAAGCGATATAGTAACACTGTCACCAAATTCATCAACGCGACTCCAACTTCGGACACCGGTAACTCGACTCATGCGCTGCTGGCCAAGGCGTCTCTTCTCTGGCAACGCGCTTATGCACTTCAACGCTCCTCCGCACCACAACCCGCTGTCGATTTTTTGGACGCTATGCTCGCCAATTTTACCGCATCGCTGCCTCTTCCCACGAGTTTCTCCCATATCACGGCCACGATGGGCCGAGCGCTTGTCGTAGCCCACAGTATCGCTCACGCCGCGATTATCGAACTCCATCGCCATCGCGAAAGACCAGAATCACGCCGGAAGAGTGTGACAGCTGCACAAATGCTGCTCAATATCCTCACTGCTACCACGACTGTTCTCCCCGGTGGATCGATCAACCCAGTTATGGGGGTATGTATGTTTTTCTTCTCTATTCGAAATCTGAAAGTAGGATGTAGACCGTCTGGCGCCTTGCTTGTCGTGTGTTGATGGACGAACTGTCGGAAATGTCGGCCACTCGGTACCATGGACAACATCTAGAGCTACAAACTCTCCTCGCACGCGTTGTGGAAGCAATCGAACGTTTCCGGGCGACGTCTGCCAGTCCTTTCCTCGGTGCGCTGATCAAATTTTGTTGAGCCATCTTGCTGACACATCGTAGACTATCAAATCGGTCGAATTCAGGAAGCCTGGCAAGAACTCCTAATGCCATGACGCTCTTACATATCTGTCCCGAATCATATAGACATAGATCGTAATTAGACTCTTGCTTATCTTATCTCATCACTTCACTTGGGTATGAGGCCAATAAATGGCAAGAACAAGAGTACTTCAAGTATTCATAACTACTTAATTCAATGGAAAAAAAGAACACTGGCTGACTACCAAGCACGATCTGCACATACAGCCAATTGTGGGCCTGCTGCCCCCCGCAGCTTGCAACCCGCATGGCCGGAAGCTGTTCCAGTCCATCCCGATGACGCCGAACAGGGGACTCGCCAAGCTCTGAGGATTTGCGTCAAGCAAGAACTCAACGATGACCAGCAGCGTGGGCGGCAAGCGGGTTCCCCGCCACCCCCGCCAGGGGATGGCTGCAGCCAAGAAGCCCATCAACGGTCCGGGTGGCGCCATGTCAGCCATAAAAGTACAGCCATGACCTCGTACAGAATTTGAAGTGCAAACAGAAGTGAAGTCGGAAACAGCTAAGTCCAAAAAGCCTTCATTTTCATATCACAATATTCATCACCAGGGTTAGGGTTAGGTCAACAAATTTCATTAAAAAAATAGGTGTACTCTAGTCTCAAGATCGAGGTTCTGAAACGCGGACGACAGATATTGATAGACGAAAGTACTCGTAATAATCGCGACAGCATCATCTGCCACAGGCACGTTTTTATTGATCACGCTTTCCTCTTCTCCATGACCACGCCTGTATTGGAGGATGTTGAGGACCCACAGGTAGTTGACTGCTGTGAATCTTCCTTCAAGTTTTATCCTCACTATTAGGATGCGGAAGCGTGGGCAGCGCTTGTAAGCACATTAAAACAACTTGAGCGTGAAAATGCGGAACTCAAAGAAACGGTCCGGTTTCTCTCCAACAAACTCATAGATTATGGCCACGAAGAAGACTTGACGCTGATACGAGTGTCTGGGTCCGGCTCAGGAATCCGTATTGAAGACCTGCCGGACGAAATATTGTTACTGATTTTCCGGGAGGTTGTGCCTCCACAGTGGATGCTAAACCGGATCAAGGAGCTAGTCCCCGATTCCCTCGAATCCTTTGATTTAGAAGCCAAAACGTCACTTGCTCTGGTATGCAAACAGTGGAATCTGATAGCAACCGAAATGCTTTACAAGAATATCTTTTTGCGGCGGGTTGGACAGGTACCTGCCCTGGCACGCACCCTTCAAAACACAAGCGCTCTGAGGCTTATTGTCCGCCATCTCAATCTGAGTTGCTTCGTGCCACGCGCCTATCAGAAGCTATTCGAAGCCCAAACAAATCAGATCCTCGATATGTGTCCTGGCCTCACTCACTTTGGGCTGACCCCGTTATACCGCATCCCAACCACAGAATACATTCATGCCTTTCTCTCCTTGAAAACCACGATAACGCGGCTCGAATTCACCGAACAAATCAACTTCACATTCATTCTCGCATCTGTCACGCAGCTTTGTCAGGGTCTGCGTTCTCTCAGTCTCTCTTTCACCGAAAACTATCAGGACTCGTACCCCTACTTGGATTTTCTGAAGCTAGAAGAGCTCCGGGTGAAACAACTCACACAAGACTCAGATGAGTCCATGTTAACACCTACCCTCTGGAATTGGTCGATGCCAGTCCTACAACGACTGTGGTTTACTTCGTGTCGAAGCGATGATTTTTCCGAAAGCTCATTCACCTTGCTATTCTTGAAGAAGTATGCAGCGTCTGTTATTTTTCTTTCCTTGAGCATTGCTTGTTGCATACCGCTCCAGAAAGACAATCTTTGTCCCAAGCTTCAACACCTCTGTGTTGAGGTTTCCAGTAGGCAAGAGACATGGTTCCCAGTAGACGGTCACACCAGCCTTGCATACGTAGATGTATGGTGTCAACCTAACCGTGCATCCAAAGCCATTCCTCCTGACCTCAAATCCCGCTTCCCGGCTCTTAAACTCTGTCGACTGTTTGATTGGAGTTTCCGCTACTTTGAGGAGCTTTCTGTGCAATTCCCGCCTGGCTTGCCTGCGATGCGAAGCGAACTTGACATGAAGCAGCGGGGGCTCCAACAACAACGGCCAAGCTTTCGTGCTCTGCTTCAAGACGCAGAGCAGTTACCTCGGCCAGCATGGATGACCGCGATTTTCGACGTCATATCGCCCGCGTCCGTAAACGGCCAATCCAACTTGGACGACATCGAGGGTGTTGTTTTACCTGTTGATGAGAATCCGGAAGAATGGACGGATGGACGGTTTATTTATCACCGCGAATCCGATGGGGACTCCGATTCCACCGTTGATGAGGGAAGTGTTGGGTGTTTGCAGGACGGACGCGAATTTTATCAGGATGAAGATTGGCAAGCGGATGCAGAAGAGGCACTCGATATATTCTCTTCCATGCAAGAGTAGAATCACCTTTTGTAAACCACTGAAGCTGGTCTGTCGCTCTAGCTGGAGGGTAGCAAAAAGATAATTCTTGGGGTGAAGAAGATTCCGAGACACGTGCCGCTCACTGGTTCTCTGTTCACAACGCCGAATTTCAAGCCAGGGTTCCGAAAATGTCACCCTCTCTTCTTTCTTCCCTGTAAGAACACCGCGGAGAGCGTTTTTGTCAGTCCTCAATGCCGAACGCACAATGCTAGGGTCAGAGTCTGAGGGTCGATTATAAGGTTACACTGGTACTTGGCTACACATTCGAGTCATCCTGCTCTTCCCCTCACAGCCCCTCATGTTCTCGCATTGCTAACGTACATACTTGCTGTAGAATCCGAAGCGCGTTAGTCAATTGGCAAGACCACGTTCCGCTCACCTGAAATTCTTTGCATTCCGCGTAATACCTCTCCACGCTGGCCGCCACCGACGACGTCCCCTCCAAATCGGCATCTAATTTGCGCTGGAAGAAATCATAGCGAGCGGCCAGTCTATCGCGCGTGTCAAATCAAAATCGACGAGGACCATCCCAACGCGATTGGCTTACCTTCGCCCTTTGGCGAGTAAATCTTGGTCTGCGTCTGACTCTCCCGAAGTGAACACATCGAGCTGGATCAACACTTCCTCGACGAGGGCGCGGGCAGCGATGATGGTGGTATATGGGTCCATCGCTTGAATGAGGCCGAGCCCGTGGTGAGGATGGTGCGGCATGTCGAAGCAGGATTCAACGTCCGAGTCGTCGCTTATATCCCAGTCAAACCCGTGAAAGTCGCGCATTGACATCGGCATGTGTGTGGGTGTAACTGTGGGGAAGGCGTGGGTGGATTGGTGTTGGTTATCGGTCCGTTCGCGGCGGGTGGCAGAGGGTATAAAAAAGTTCGAAACTTTGAAACTTGCGAACTCTGGCCCCGCTCTTTATAAGCTGTTGCGCCCGAACCCGCAACACGCCAAAGACAAGACAGCAAAAGGCGCGGCAACAGCTAACATGGCTCGTCCTCAATAGTGACACGCTTCTTAAGCTTCTCGCTTCCCGTTTGTTCGGCCCACAAACGCTGCTTCGGGCTTGGCTTCGGCCAGCAGTCGACTCTATGTGACTGTTTTTACCTCCCTCTCAAAACCATGACGGGGGATCACGGAAAAACGGGAAGACGGAAATAGACTGGAGAGAGGTAAGGTCTACAGCGTAAGACAGCAACGTTGTGTGCGTGATTTCTTTCGACAAGACGCCGTTGATGTTAACCGAAGAACAAAGCTCTACAAAATATATGCTACAGTAAACGCCATCCGTCTAAGTCTCTCCACTGTCACATCATGGCCACCCAATCGGAGTCTTGGCCGCACACCCGCCTTGCGCAGCCACTCGCGCCATCTCACGGAGCCCGTCTCGATGGCCCCTCATGGCACAATAGATAACAACGTGCCATATCGCATGCGAGCCTGCAAGTAAAGAAGTGAGGCTAAGGGAAAGATAGGGCAAAACACGGACCGGCGCCTAGATCATCAACCAAAAACTTGGTGATTCTCCACCGCTTGCTCTTGTCAGTGCCCAGAAAACACTCTGGGAAGCGGGAGCCGTAAATCGCCATGCCTATCAGGTAGAACACGAGCGAGGGTATGACGGGGGCGACAAAATTGATCATTGAACTCCAGCCTTGGAGTGCCGCGACACCAAGCAGCGGGGCAAAGCCGGAGAGAGATATACCGAGGAAGAAGAATACGCGATAGGCCTGAAGTTTCATTAAAACGAGCAATTCACGTGGAATTATAGACAAACCCGATACTCTGGACCGTTAAACCAGTCGCTGAACGCTAGGTAGTTTGCAGAGACGCCACAAATGAAGCAGAGGGCCATGCAGGTTGACCCCCAAGGATGGTAAGTAAGGAACGAATCCACCGCATTAGAGACGGCGGAGATGAGCCACGATAAGCCAAGGAGCGCGGAGGAGAGGGTTGCAAACAGGAACGAGGATGGGTCTTGGCTTGTCGGTATCATGTATTTGAGCAGTGATTCCGTAGGGTGAAGAACTTTGTGTCCTAACGGCGTTGCATCGAGGGCAATTTCCGCACACATGAAGCCGTGATGGACAACCGACGACACCGACCCAGCACTCAACCAGCCAATGCCAACATAGTCCAACCGAGCACAAGTCTCCATTGACTTCTGGTGGGCACAGCCAGCCATCGTGTGCCAAATGACACTACCTAACAGACACCCCAGCGCAAATATCGAGAAATATATTTCGTTGCCATCAGGAGCTTCGTATGGTGAAACGGGTGGATAATTGGCGCTGACGAGCGACCACGGAATCGGCGCCGTTGAGTTTGAAGCCGCGGTGAAAGCTATAACTAGTCCGTGGGAGCACGCGTTGTGAAGATGAACACATACCAGAGAACGGCGTATAGCGCAAAATATCCCGTGTTATCCACTTCGGAAGAACCCAAGTCAACGGCGAAAGGACGGTCGACAGCGATTCGATTGCGCTATCGACGAATGGGTACTGCCCTGGGACGACAAATAGACCAGCGAAGGACGCTATCCAGAGTACAAGTGGGATGAGATGAGTCTGAATATTGAGCGTGTCGTTGTGTAATCGAAACATGGACAATATTAAGGCGGGCCAATTTGACCACGGAATAAAGCTATTATGAGGGGGGGTGAACTTGAGTGGAAAGCCTGAGCGGGGAAAAGTGCTCACCGATAACCACCTAGTACAAAAGGGTTGTTATGCCATGCAACAGGAAGATCGTCCAAATCTAGTAGTCGCCTCCCGTTCTCCGAGATCTTCAATGCTCGAGCGATTGCTGGATCTTCGTCTGGGGCTCGCTTTGATGATGCTCTGGTGAATACCGAAGGGAAAGAGACACCTAGAAAAGCGTCTACATCGTCCTTAAAGGTGTCCAACACATCGGCAAGGTCTGGCAGGTGGTATGCGCTGCCGTCTCGAGCGAATTCAAACGCAAACGAGACTTCCGCGTCAGCTAGATGTGAATGCAGGCGACGCAGACGCGAAGAGAGAGTTGGGACATAGGAAAGTGGTTTGGAGAGGTCAAAACCGGCGACGATGCTCTTGATATCGGGAATGTGCCAGTGTGAGCGGACCTCGTCACGAATTGAGTGTAATGTCTCCAACGCTGTCGAAGCTCCAGCCCGCTCAGCTTCCAACAACCGCTCCTCTAGATCGGCCAGACAGGATAGAATCAAAGTGCGGAGCGATGCTAATGCCTCGGTTGGTGAACCAGTGGGAAGGTCAAGTGCTTCCAGCGAGTGTGAAAGCGGTCGGCAAGGGGGCAGTTGCGCACTGCTGCCTTTGCGGGGCGAAGGGGCCGACATTCGACGGCGAGCAGCAGTGGTCATGGCCCCCCGGAACAAGATTGGATAGAGAGGAACGAGCAGGCATCGGTATAGACATCGCAGTTCAGTGATTAGAGTCGTGACACGAATCGATATCACGCGAACTACCATCTGGCAACGTTCATCCTACAATTGCTTCTCATTGGCTCACCGCATGGGCTGCTAACTAGCTAACCCACGTTCTTAGAGTTCATTCCAGCTGATAACTTTGTTTCTTGCCTTCGAGTAAGGTGGGGACCCCGATAAGATAATAAAAGAGTGCTTATTCTTGGCTCACTACCACACTTATTCGGAGGTGTCGTGTGTCCGGTCACCTGAAACTTCCAGCAGCTGTCGAACATACTGGAGCATCTCCGAATAGCTTGGAGATGGTACTCGTGCAAAGCTGAACCGTGCGAACTTTGTTCTGAACTCCCACTCTCTCGCTGGAGTGTTACGCGACGATGCTGCTAGCCTAACGTGCGCCGGCACTAGCAAGTATACGAGCGTGGCCAGACAGAATACCGAAAAGACGCTTGTCAAGACTGTCAATACCATTACTTATCAGTGGTTTGGTTATCTGATTTGAGCATGATGTCAGGACTTGCAATGTAACACGAACAAATGACGAGAGGAAGTTATTGGTTGTTTTGTAAGATCTCGGCTCTTAAGAGGTAAACAAACTAGGTTTCGCAGCAATCTTCGCAAGGAAGATTTTCGTCTCCGCGAGGATAACCAAACGACCAGGGCCAGCAAAGGCCTAAAGAGTTTTAATATGCTAATATGTGCAGCTATCAAAGGAGAACAAACCATGTTCGCAGATGTTGTGCCAATGAAGAATTTTCCAATAAGAGTGCCGTCTGGAGCCCAGACATGTACCCCATCGCCACAGCCCGCATAAACATTGCCGTCTGTGTCAACTTGCACACCATCAGGTACGCCAGAGTCAACGAACGCGAAGGCACGGCGGTTCATGAAAGCCTGAGTGGTCGGATGCACGTCAAAGGCATATCTATTCGAGACTTAACCACGATGAATAGAGGGGTGTATGACTTACATGGTTGCTGGTTCTGTTTGGTTGTTTCCGAGGAAGCCACTGGTTGATCCAGTGTCCGCACTAGAAACAATGGGGTCAGGAGTTAAATCCATCAGAAACAAAGACACAAACATATATGCGATAGTCCCATCGCCGTTGAATGCGATCCCATTAGATTTGTCGAAGTCGGTTGCAGCGATTCGAACAGCTCGCGTGTCAGGGTCAAGTCGGTAAACTTGACTCGGAAGTAGAGGTTGTGGGCGGAAATGATTCAGCCAGCCATATCTATCCTCGAGGTTAGTTCAAGAAACTCCACGGTAACAAGAAACGGACACTGTGTCAGTGAAGAAGATTTTGCCCGACGGATGAATTTTTACATCGTTAAGTGAGTTGAATTGCCTTCCAAAGTAATTGTCGACTAAGACCGTGGCGTTGTGCGGCGGATTTGGGTTGACGAGGGCAATAGATGGGGGCAGGTTGCCGCGACCCGAGTTTATAAGGATGAGGTTGCCACGGAAAGGACCCGTGCCGCCATTGGTCATCTGAATACTGTCTGGGAGGTTTAGCTGCAAGAGCAGTGTCATCTTCAAGCCTGAAATTGGGCAGGTCAAGATCTTACCTCTGTCACCGGAACTTCAATGGGGGTCCCGTTTAGATTTGTGGGAATAGTTTTCAAGTTTATTGTCCCCACTTTGTTATTGTGGTCAATATCGCTCATGCCGAGTGCCCCTCCGTCGTTGCTGGCGAAATACATGACATCCTGCTTGGCGTCATAGATCCTGTTACCAATTGTGAGTATGAAAAGCACAACGGCGGTATTCATGGCCTTACGGAGCTTCATGAGCGAATGCAAAAGTCGCGTTTGACGCAATCGATGTAATGGTTGCGCTACTCCCTAAGACCTTCAAAAACTTCTTGTCGAATACTTGAAAGAAAGGAAGTGCTGTTCCTGTAGGATTGAACCCAGCGTCAAACGCATTGGTGCGAAAAGTTCCGTTGGCGCCGAGGACTGCAAACGAGGCTGGGTCTACCATCTACCAGCAAAGACTTGAGCGTTGTCCAGATGATCCTTGTAGGACTCACGACTGCTTGTGGAGGAAGCGAGGTCACGTCTGTTTCTCTTGCCCATAGCGAAGTCTCCTTCGCAAATGAAATCGCGACATACGCTACAGCGCAGACAACAATTGAGATGAGCATTGTAAAAGAGCCTGAGTTGGAATGAGCTGTTGTCGGTGGGACTTGTTCGTTCTGTTTCTCAGGGCGCGCCATGCTTTATATATGGCTGAGTTCAGGCTTCGAAGGGAGTGGCTTCTTGACTGGTCACATTGCGATGTTGAGAAAAGCCGACAATGACGTGCGAGGAGCGGCTGTGAGAAGAAAAAGGCATCGTTTGTGAGTGACTGAAAAGATTGGAGGATGGTCGAATCTCACCTACGAACCTATTGGAAGCCGGAAAACGCGCGAAGACGCGTGGAAGTGACAATGTTCACTAACCAGATGGGAGCAGAGACAAAGTTGAAGTTGCACAGCCATCATCATCCAAAAATGGTCGCACGAATAAAAAATCAAGCACACAATAAATAGAACACAGATTTTATGCTCTTAGTAGCCTACATTTATCCGCTTATCCTCCAGCTCATTCCAACGGTCAAGCGAAGTCGCAATGAAGTGTGAGACATCGGCCCTTGATATCGTGTAGCATCCAAGCTCTTCTTGCCCAAACCGATAACCTTGCTTGTTTTTTCCTTTGAGCTCAATCTCGTCAGCCTTGGACTTTCCATCCGTCAGCCACGCAGGACGGACGACAAGAATATGTTTAAGAGAGCCGGGAGCAGGGAGTCCTGGACGCTGTTGCCAGTTTTCTCCAGTTATGTCGCTGTCAGGCTCGCCAGCCGCTGCATCCCACGTCCACCCGGCACAATGCGCCAACACGCGCTCTAACCCAAGTTTGTCCTTGTGCGGAGCGTCAAGCATCGAGTATAATGGTTTCATCAAGAGTGGAAGCGATTTATGCGCTGATGGGGTGAGTCCGATGGAAGAGATGGCAATAATTTTGGGCTGTGGTGCATTCTGATAGGTGGGGATAGTGCAAAGAAGGTTGAACATGCACTGGGTGACAAGGTTGTGTGGGTTTATGGTGATTCCTTTGATCCCCAAGGATGGTGTGCCGCCTGACTTTAATTAGCTAGCGAAACATCATAAGTAAAGGGCTTACCGACGGAAAATATGACCGCATCGACCGTTCCTGCAGCTTCCCAGGCCCGACGAGTATCCTCTTCACTCGTCGCGTCGCCCTTGATAAGTCGAGCCTTTTCGGTTGCAACAAATTGTTGAATGACTGAATCGTCGTCGAATGTCGATGGAGAACGCAGTAGAAACGTAACTGTAGCGCCTTCATCTATAGTCAAGTTAGATGCGTGAATTGGGGGGTAGTCACTGAACTTACTCAGAAGTCTGATAGCAGACAAATAGCCAATATTTCGAGACGCGCCGATAGCGAGGATGTTCATGCTGGGGTACAGGATTTGGGAGTTGAGCGTTGACTCTCTTCTCGTCGGCCTTTTAAGTCAATCTGAGCAACCCACTGTACCAACTCAATTTGTTCCGTTTCCCGTGTATCCGAGCGACCAACCGCGTTAGCGTCTCCGCAACGTTGAGCTACGGAAAGGATTCGAACCACAGCCTTCTATTCATGTCGTTGTGCCAGGCGTTGAGATGAGCAATGCTCTCATTGGACGTTCTGGTTGAAAGAGGCAGCAGATATCGATGCGATCAATGCTAAATTGATGATCCGGAATCTGAGCTGATAGCGGCAAATGTTAACTTAGAGTTTGGTTTGACTTGCAGCACAAGCGGTTCTATTGCCGGAGGGGAGCATTTCAGACGGCCTCTCTCACCTGGAGAATACTTATGAGTATCGCATTGGAGTGCATGGAAAAATTGTCCGAATTGTGATCATGAGTCACCCCACTCCGAAATGCACCCCGGGCCTTCGAGGATGAAGTGTTAGTGTTCTCTCCGGCTCGGGGGAAAGGAATATTATGGTCAGGCCAGGTCAGCGCTCTCCGGTCTAAGAATGCCAAGCCCGAAGATGGCTGTGGCCGTTGGCCCGAATAAGTGAGAAGTAATTTTAGCCACAGAAGACTGAAAACGAGGCCATTAGCCCTGCGCCGAGCCGTTTGCTGTCTCCTTATGACGGCTGGCGGGTTCAGATTTTGGGCTTAAATAGCGGGAAACAAAAGTCTTTACTCACATACACCTTAGACCTTCAGCCATGTGTACCTCTAGCCGCACCGCCGAAATAACCAACCTATTCAAGGCACTGCCAGTGCGAGCAAGTGCTGCTAATCTTGAGTGGGATATCAGAGACGATTCACAATGCGCTGGGCTTCACTCCGACTCCTGCTTCGGCATCCGACTTTTGGATTGCGAAAACGCATTAGACTGGCGACTTATGGAGACGGACCCATATACCACGGTTATAGTAGCTCGGGCGCTCGTTGAGGAGGCCATGATTCAACTTGACGTATTCTCACTGTACGACTCGGACGGCAACCAGGAGTTGTTAGCTCGAGGAAGAAGGTCAGCATGGTTGAATTACTTGTTGTCCGTATTAAGCTGTCTGCAGATTAGCTGCCCGACACATTTCCTTGCAGCGCAAATTCGAGTCGAAGATACGAAGAACATGTTCGGTTGCTGCCAGAGCCAAGAGATATTACGCAGACTGCAAGGAGTTCCGGGTGAGATTCAGAGCTACTGGGGATCATTTTTCTTTGTGAACTGAAGGATTTCAGAGAGCTTGTGAGGCGGCAATAGAGGACTGGGAAGACTTGTAAATGCAGAGGGTGGTCGTCGAGTGGATAACTTCAAGGGCTGCGTGTTTTGTTTGATCATATGTACACACTATCGCGAGTCGCTCTAATCCAACCCATTTTTTGGTGTCGAGATTGAGGTAGGAGAGGATGAGCCGATGTTGATGCCTAGTTGATATAAATCAACGTCAAACGCGATTTTATCTCACGATTGTTCTCTCAACCAAGCGTCCATCCAACTTCGTGCCACTCTACGCTTTGTTCAACAAGGGTTTATAAACCGAAAGTGTGTTACCTGCTGCTCTCTGACTCTTCACTAAACCATGGAAGACGATCCCAACAAGACCCCACCTCGGCGGCCCGTCTCACTTCCAACTCATCTTGCGAGTTCCACTGGTCCACACAGTACACCTTTCAGGCGCAACCCATACACGAACATCCAGTTCGCTTCAAAGACGGAGCTCACCAAAAAGAAACGTAACCCAGTGATGCCATTATGGAGGCAACATGTCAGTGCAGGCTTCACTCGCGTCGTTGAAGTGCGAGAATTCTTGAATGTTCATATGAATGGTGGTCTACCGGGAATAGAGCCGACCGAGGATGATATATCCACGATGGAGACGAACGGAAACTCTGCGCATCAAAAGCTGGTGCAGGCGGTCCGCCGAAACGGCCATGAATCTCGTCTGTACAAGCCTCTGGTGCGCCTTCCAACCCAACATGCCGCCGATGAACCTGACTATCATATTAGGCAAACTATCTCAATGCTTTGTTTCAACATTTCGACGCTGAGGAACGTCCATACTTTGCAGACACCCACTCAACGGTCTTCCAGCCCCTCCACCCAACCGACCACGATTCGATGCCAGACATCGCTCACTCTCTGCACGGAGACGAACCCGATAAATGGCGCTGGCTGGAGACGCCTGGTGTCGTGGAAGCCAAACCAAAGCTCGGCGACATGTTTGACCCAAACAACAAAGCGGTCGGAAAGTCCGAGGAGGCTCGCAACAGTCTACTTCAACTGCTACACAACACCCGGCGAATTATGATGGCTCGTCGGTCCTGTTATACCTTCGTGGTCGCTGTCTTTGACAAGCACGCTCGATTCTTCCGAGTGGATCGTTGCGGATTTGTCGTGTCTGAAAAGTTTGATTGGACGAAGGAAACACGGCTCTTCCCGGAATTCTACTGGCGCCTCTACAAGGCCGGTGGCAAAGGCGTCATCCTAGGCGACGACTCGACCGTTACGATCCCCACAAAAGAAGAGCTGTTGAAGATGAGTGACGTGCTCAAAACCCTCACTGGCGAAAACTCAGAGCTCCAACCGACGCGAGAGACTCGGCCGGCCAACAAGCAGTCTGTTGTCCATCCTGACCTGGTCGACAGTCGTTGGATTAACGTCATGATCGACAACCAAGTTCGTCGATGCCTTACTGTTGGGCTCCCGATTCATCAGTCAACGGGCATGTTCTCGCGTGGCACACGTGTTGATCGCGTACTGTTGGAAAATGACCCACACCCGAAATTCTATGTCCTCAAGGACTCGTGGCTGCAAGCATGTCGTTACCCCGAATATGTCTTCTACGAAATTATTCAAAACTATGTCAAAACGGCGCCTAACTTGGACGCGATGTCGCAAGGGCTGACGACTTGCGTAGGCAAATATGATCTTGGCCGTGCTGATAAGTATGCGGACGCGGGTCACTGCACCATAACCGCGCGACTACGGGACGATGGCCTCGCTGGTCAAGAGCGTCTTCATCAGCGGACGCTCACTTCCGACGTTGGACAGCACCTTGATGAACTGAAGTCGATGCAGCATGTTATACTCGCCCTCCGGGATGCCGTTCGTGGTTCGTTGTTCTCCTACATACCACTCTATTCTCATGTTTTTCAGGTCACAAAGTTGCATGTGACGCCGGTGTTATACACCGCGACGTTAGCATCGGGAATATCCTCAAAAGGCTTGAACCACTTCTCGCAGGGTTCCTGCATGATTTCGATGTTAGTTGTCTCACGGAACAAGGTCTAGCAATGGCAAAAAAGCTATTTCCTAAGCTTGAGCACGGCGACATGGACAAGAACCTTAAAGAGTTGACGGTGGGATATATTCTATTTATCGTGTTCTTCAGCTTATCTTTACTCACAGGGAACTTACCCATTCTTGGCCATCGACCTCCTCGAAGCTCGTCGAAACCATTTGCCCATCCAGCACAAGAGCAAGCACGACCTCGAATCTTTCTTTTGGATTCTCATTTGGATCGTTTTCCGTCACACGAACCACTCTGAACCTAGTGGGGTTGCGGCCGCAAGTGAGCTTTTTGACGCGATCGACGATTATACCGCGAGTGCTGTCAAGATGCGCTTCTTGGATGGTCGGATAACATATCGAAATAGGCTCGTCGTTCCGGAGAATCAACCTCTTTCCTATCTCATCGACGCACTTGCCGCTCTCGTTCGAAACTCTACGGATCTGAAGTATGCAAACCCCACTATTCCTCTCACCCATGAAGCCTTCCTCTCCTGCCTGGATTCCGCACTGGCAAAGCCCAATTGGCCAGAAAATGACCTGTTAGGCTTCAAACTTCCATCCATCGAGAAGAAGAAGGAGAACGAGCCTAGCTTTCCTGCTATTGGTGTGCGTTGGGCGGTTTCGACTGACACTGGTCATGCCCTTCCACTGGACGACGATGAAGTCGTTGAGACTCCGGAGGACCCTTTCAGTGTTACGTCTACTGGCCGGAGTAGTTCTTCGAGGCCTGCCACTGGAGATTCGTGGTTGAAGAGGAAGCGCGAGAATGAACCCATCCTCGGGGATGGTCAGCTGTCTGACGATGAAAACCAGGCATTCAGGGCGAGGGAGGAGAATCTTAAGAAGCGCCGCTTGGAGCTCGAAGCAGAGGAAAAGGCTCTAGAGGCTGCCATACAAGCAGCCGTAGAAGCACGGAAAGCGCGGGTTTCGACCTCTGCGTCGTAGTGTTGTATATGGTTACTGTGCGAACGTTCACAAACAGAATGAAGTTCGGAGTGTTTGTGCTTATGGGTGACCGAAAGTGGGACTGAGTGCTTATCTAAAAGCACACTCGTCAGCAGCTCTGGACCGGTCTTTGATAATCAATCACCACAATCACAGGCTATCACTCCCGGCATGCTGCAGCATCGTGTCCCCGTTGGTCAGGGTAGTATGCAGGTAGAGGGATCGTTGAGCATGTGGCAACTGCGATCCAGAGGAGTTGGAGAACAAGAAAGCACTGGCAGTCAAAGGTAGTGTACTTTTATTGTACAACATGACGTTCTGTTTGCTGTTGTTGTTACACGGTAATAATGCCTCCCCTCGAATACCCGACCATCAATTACTCTGCCGCGCGTCGGCCTTATTTCATTAAATTCATAGGATCTTGTAACACAGTAAGTAAGCACCGGTGTCGTGAGAGAATATTGTCCCACAATCCATTTGGTAATTAGTCGTATGCGATACAATTGCAATAAAAGAAAGCTACTGCTACATCAGTTACATGAAGCTATCATCTGAAAATCGACTCAATGCCTTCCTCCGAGCACGTTCCTTCTCCAATTCAACAGCCTCTGGCGACAATGGCGCACTTATCGCGAGCGCTGGCGCATTGCCGAACATACGCGGCTGGGATTTCACCCGCTTCAGTTGTCTCCGTGCCAGCTGCTGTTTACGTGGCGCTCGTGATGGCTCAGCAGGCGTCACAAGAGCCCCTTCTGGCCCGACAACTTCACTTCCATAAGAGGTAACGGATGTTGTGGGACTCTGTGGGCGAAATGGGGCCAATGGATTCTCGTCAAGACGCTGCATGCTTGACTGTGACTTGGATCGGCGATGCAGAAGCTTCGCAATCGTGGTGCTGTTGTTATCTGGAGACGAGGCGACCAACAAAGTTGGCGTCGGAGCACGAGAGCTTGGTGTCTGCGAGCGAACAGGGAACTGATTCATTCGTTGCGACTTTGCACGCTGGTGGGTATTAATGGGCTCGGTCACCTCCGTTGTGGCTGACGAAGAAGTAACCGACAGTGTCGGAGTTGGAGCACGTGACGAGTCCCCGCTTGGAGGAAACTGGTTGATGCGCGTGCTTTGCGATTGCGATCTTCCTCGTGGTGGAACACCATCGCCAAAAGAGGATGTTGAAGGTGCGGTGGAGGTCATCGATGGGTTTGGAGATGGCCCACGAGTAACAGTAGCGGCCCGCAAACGAGACGGTCTGACGGGGAATTGACTCATTGTTGCTCTTGCAATGGAAGAACGTTGCGGTTGCGATTGGTGGGGAGGTTCGAGTTGATTCTCGAATATCTCGGCAACTTCCGTGGCGGAAGATTCGAGATTTACATTATCTTCAACCTCTGGTTGCGGTTGTTCGGTTGAGATAGGACGCTTCAGAGCTGAAAGCATTTCCGCAGTCGCGAGCTCTGCTTCTGTGGCCATCATACTCTCAGTCGTGATGGAGAGGGTTGAAGTCCGAGTTGACTCTACTACGAGGTTTGTTTCGTCGACTTCCATTGTTTGTGCGGAAGATGCTAAACCAGGAGGTGAAGTTGGGAAAGTGACGTCGGGCTCAGATAGAATTAGGGTGGGCTGAGTGGGCGTAGCCGCTGCTGATTCTGCTTCTTCTTCTTCCAGGTCGAAGTAAAGAGCGAGTCCGACACCAGTTCCTTGTATTGGTGTCTGGGCAGCATCATCCTCAGACTGAGTGCTCTTGTTGTTCTCAGCTCCAACCGGAATCTCTGTAGCTGTCGCGGGAATCTCCACACCCGTGAAGGGGATCTCCTCATCCTGGAAAACTTCGATAATTTGGACATCATTGATCGAGTCGACGTCGCTTCTCGTGGCCACCGACCGAGTGTCCAAGCTCCCCAAAACCAGCTCCAAATCGAGATCAAGAGCATCCAGCGCTGCCTGATCTCGATTTTCTGGCATTGCCATAAAAGTGCGCGGGGTTTGTGGCTCTTTGACCTGCCGAAGGGATCGCTGGGACCGTAACGGGAATGGATGATCACGAGCTTGAGCAATAACCACTTGTCCGCCGACAAAAGGTGCTGCCGGCCCACCAACGTTAACACTTGCAACAGTTGATTGACTTGCAGGACGCTCAAGCCCGCCGTTTACGCCCGTTTGCATCATGCCGAGTTGCTGCCGTTTTTGATAATATTCAAGAGCCCCGACTGCGATGGGCACACGAGAAGGCTTTAGTGCATTTATCGGAAGAGCAGCAGGTTCGGGTTGGGGCGATGTCTGCGGCAAGACGGGGAACGGTGGTCGGGCAACGACAGGTTGTGGTTGAGCAATTGGCATCGTTGCAAGTTGGCCCTCTTCCACATCGGAACTAGAGCCACTGTCTGTGCTATCTGCGACACTGTTCGAAGCGAGGCCACTGGGTCCAGGTGAGCTCATGGGATTCGAGCTTGGGGTTAAGCTTCCATCCGAAGAAAGTGCATCACCATCCACTACAAACATAACCCTTCTCTTCGGGGGCTGAAGAGTGGAGGCGGGTGTAGGGAAAGTAAATTGAGTGTTGATTATCCCTGGCCCCGTTCGCTCGGGGGTTGTATTGGAATTCTCTGCCCTCGTTTGTGAGGACTGAATCGCGTTGAATGTTGTCATATTGGGCCGGGGACTGTCCAAACTCAAGTCCACAGTAACTCTTCGGGGTATAGTTGGCCGAGGCATGGACTCGCCATTCTCGCCGCCGTCATTCTCTAGAGGTCTGGGCTTGAAATCCACACTAGTTGGCGACGAAGATTTTTCGCTTGTCAAAGAGCTGAGACGGGTATGAGCTAAGCTTTCGCTTGCGATGATGAGTAGGAGAAGGGCCGAGGGGTAAGCGCCCTAGAATAGAGGTCTGTGAAGCAGCGAGAGCAAGTCAAGACAACATACCGCTATCTGGACAGCAACTGGCTCATATAAATCTGCCAGTGTTCCTTCCCGCAAAGGAACGACGCTGGAAATGAGTAAAAGAACCTAGAAAGGGCTGATGAAAAAAAACAATCGGAGAAATGTTGGCATGCACACCTCGAAGAATAGATACACCACACCAGATTCCGCAACAAGCCCAAGAACCTGATCGGGCCGGGAAAACTGAAATTCTCCGCCAGGAAAAGCGACCCCAAACTCCTTCCGGTTCCGACTGGCCGTTGCACCCACTACCGCCGCCGTACTGAGACTACACGCTACGGAAAATGCCAAAGTCAACGTTTGGATGATGTCCACAATATTGGTTGGAACGCCAGGGGGTGATTGGGCGAAGGCGACGAAACGCAAGATGACAAGTGTAAGCAAGGTAACTGATTGGTCTCAGTCAGAAATCGGGGAGAAGCAAAAAGACACACTTATTGTCAGGCCAAGAAGCCCAGTGGGTACAAGCAAGTATTGGCGGAGAGCTCGATGGCAGATAAGCCGGGCACGCCAAACAAGAATGCCATTGCTAATTATGAACTACGCATCCTCAGTATATGGAAAACGAGTTGGATGACCACGTACGTTCAGGAGAATGGCAGCATTAACGACCGGAGACCAGCTAACAACAAAGTCGTCTCTTCCTATGTTGCTTCCTTGTGAGCGTTGAGACGCTAAAACAGCTTGATCAACGCGGTCGGCGACTAGAGCAATACTGAAGCTCCAATAAAGGGTGGAGATGATGTAGAGAACGAGAGTAACGAAAATGAGGACGCTTCGGGTCGTGTCTCGTTGCTGGCGTCGTCTGTGAGTGCGGTTAAAATATGATAAGATGAACAGAAGAAGGACATCACTCACAACAGGGCTCGCGTTGAAAGGAAAACCAAGAGGGTATACAAGCCGAAAAAAAGGGTTTGGGCAACCAAACTGAAGACGAAAAAGGCCAACGAAGACTGGACGCCCGCCATCTCGGGTCGGGGTCGTCAGGGAAAGGATAAATTACAGCGGGGAGAAAGAAAAATAAGGCGCGGTGCCTCTCCGGAGAGACACCGCGAAAAGAAGGAAAAAGGAATAGTGGAGGGCGGGAGGCAAGCGGGGGTTGTTATTTGCCAATCGCATCAGATCTTCGTGTGGTCTGGTAACTCAGTCCATAGCCATCGCGAAGGAGAACCCGCTCAATATAGACGGCCAGGGCCCAGAGGCAACTACGATGAGAAGAAGAAGAAGAAGAAACAACTCCATGTCAGGATGCGACTGGCACAAACTTTCGAAGAGAAGTTAGCAGAGGCAATGATGGCCGGTGGCTGTCATCTCCAGTATGGACCATGATGAGAGTCCATCCAACAGCAAGGCCAACTCAGAAGCTAATGAGCTAACTGAGCATCGACTCGAATCTCAGTCAACACATTGACAACATCGCATACATATCTCAGACTTGGTACGACTTCATGGACAGAAATGCGACTCTTCCTCAAGGGCATTGACAATTGCAACCAATCCAAGTATCACAACTCAACGCTCGGAGTCGAAATTAGCTAGTTACATCGAAACTAGAGCAAGCCCTTGCTCAGCCATTCATGTCGGTCTGCTCCTACAGATAGTGGCAGAGCGCCTCTCGAAGACCAAATCGGACCTGAATGGTACCATGGACTGCTTGACGCGAAATTCGAAGGGCAGTCTATCGGATATGAGGCACGCCATGACCTTCAGTCTGTTTATTAGGTCCTTGGCTGGTTCGCTGATGCGGTGAGTCGGGCTTTCGCTCATGTAGTAAAAAAGTCAGGGTGGTTCAAATATTCCAGTTTCAAGATTGAAGACCGCCCAGTGTTATCATCATCAGCTAGACGAGTGGGCGAGCAATTGTGATATCCATTCCAATGGCGCAACTGGCGTTCGTTTGAACCATACTGCTGCTGTTGCGACGACCAAGCAATCAGACTGAAAGTTGGGTCTGCTGCATCTTAAGACGAGCAATAACCATGGCAATTTCAAGTTGACCTTTTACTTGGCCTAGTACGCGCATCGCCCAAAGTGAAAAGTGTTGCCAGTTGGAACTCGTGGAAGAACTCGAGCTAGGAAATATTGTCTGTTGGGTGGGATGTCTGCTGACAAAACATGGTATTTTGGGACCAATCTTTCTCGCAGAAGTGTAAACAAATATGTGCAATCCCAATGGATTCAAGACAAGTTGAAAGGGTTAAGTACAGCCAGTGGATAGATATTGATATAAATCTCTCAGGGTGGTGGGTGGTTACAAGCATGGGTTAGTTACTTGAATCGGTAGCGCTACTTAGCTATAGCGATGGAGAACTCGCGAAAAACCTACTGCGACGATGGAAAGATAACAGAGGTTGTCACGATCGTGACGGCATTTTTTGTCCCGACCACGAACGACAACTGCCAGAAACTTTCGAAGACAAGAAGCCGGCAGAAGCACAGATGGCCGGTGGCTGTCATCTACCACGATGAGCGCGCGTTCAGCAGCGAGGTCCAAGCCACTGCCCAAAAGCTACACCGAACAGCAACTCGTTTTTCTTCGTAGGCAAGTAAAACACCCTCAATCTCCATGACGCCACTTCACCGCTGCTAACAGCCATCTTGCCGAATATGAACGCCGCTCACATGGCCCAGTGAGAGGCGATGCAAAGAAATTCGCGCTTGAACGGGCCGCTGAGTTCATTGTGCGTTTTGGACTCCCTGAAAACGTCGATGTCAGTCATGACACAGACGCTCGGTATAAAGAGGTGTGTAGCCCTACTTCTCTATGCTATAAAGAGTTCATCACTCCGACTTGCTAGCAACTGTACTGTTGGTACAAAAACACCTCTGGGAGGAATCGTCGCAAAGCAGATGGCAAGCCAAAATCGTCGGGTCGAAAAGATACAACAGAGCAAGCACAATGGGAGCAATTCTCAGAGCCTTCTTCTTCGTCGTCGCCAACTATCACGTTCACCGACACGACACCAGCGAATAGCAGCAACGCCCGAGCTCACTACAACAACCCGAGCAGCACACTCGCCAACGCTCTTCAGCCATCTCCATCGCCTCCTCCCCCCGTAACTATCAACTCTCTTCGGGAAGCTTTCCTCGCCAACGTCGATTCATCGCTACTTGCTGCTCAAATTCAGTCATTCGTGATCACCAACCCTTCCCAGCTTCCACTCGCACCAGTCCTTTCCGCACTTTTTCAAGCTATCACTGTTGATCATGGCACACTCCCAAACGTTTATCTGAACCGCTTCCTTTCAGCGACCAAGTATTTCTCGGCTGCTATTAGTCACGCTGGGGCTATCGGTCCAATGGCTGGTGTGCGAGCGTTGCACATGCAGATTCGCAAGGCCGCAAAATGGTCTCCGACTTCCGCCGCCGTCCCTTCTTCAACTTCAACATCGATGTCTGCAGAATTGCAACGCATCACACTTGATCGGGCACGACGGAAAGAGTACATTTTGTGGGCCCGTATCCACGCTGGCGCTTTGGATATTGGTGCTTTCACGTTTGGCTACGAGCTTCAGCAGCAACAACAGTCATCATTATCATCTCATATTCAAGTACCTCCAGACGTGTTCAATGAATCTCGCGTCTTTAGCGAGATTTTTGCGGCTGATACAGTCTGGGAAGAAGACGAAGTTGAATGGGTTGCTGGGGCACTAGTCCTGCAAGCACTTATCCGGTCGTACCTTAATCATCTTCGCACCCTCCATGTGCAACATATGCGCACCGACAAACGCCGCAAATACGAGGAGCTTCTAGCCCGCTATGAAGAACGTTGGAAGGAAATGAAGGATGAGACGAGACAAGCAATTGTTACTGTAAGCGTTCGACTTCTGGAGATCGTCGAAACTCAATGTTTCTAGGAGGCTCTACTGGCGGCAAAGGCAGATCTAGCACGCTTTGGTCCCTAACACCACTTGTTCAAAAAGGCGACTGAACGACGCAAAACATCCTCGGCGTGTTTCCGCTCGACAAACCCATGTGGTTCTCTAGGGTAGACCACCAGCTCCGCACCGTCCTTTCCTCTTTGGGCAGCACATCTCTTGAGGCCGCGCCAAAACCCGATTGACTGCCCCAACGGAACGCGTTCATCGCGATCGCCATGGAGAATCAGGCAGGCAGTGGTGACGCCACCGACGGAATGGACTGGCGATGTTTTTCGTTCTGAAGTTGGGATAAACTTGTCGAAATCTTTCCAAGGAATGCTCCCCCCAATTGCCCCCTCTAACTCCGGAGACCCGCTCTCCATGACCATACCTTCCCAGTTTGTCGCCCCGGCCCCTATAATAGCTGCCTTGAAGCGTGTTTTTGTTTCGGTCACTCCCCACGCTGCTATCGACCCACCATGGCTCCAGCCCGCGACCGCCATCCGACCTGGATCCACCAGTCCACGATTTACCAACTCGTCGACCATGCTGTCGCAGTCTTCCCAGTCTAGAACACCCACTCCCAAGGCTGATGCACTGGCAAAGTCGTGTCCGCGGCCTTGGCTGCCACGATAGTTTGGCGAGATCACGAGGTAACCCGACCAGGCAAACATTTCGCGCCAGTTGCAAAAATAGGGCATGTAGTCAGGTATCATGCGACGATATGGGCCTCCGTGGAGGAAGAGTACTGTTGGTAGCTTGCCAGACTCATATTGGGATGGATACCGAACAACACCGCTCAGGCGCGTACCGTCTTTGGCAATCCAACGCACGTTCTCGGTCCGCAATTTGGGGGTATCTGCTAGCCATTGCAAATGCGAAGACACTTTGACTCGATTGATCAGCCCGCCATCGGTGTTGATTCGGAAGGTATATGCGTTGAGTGGTTCGTGGCGGATTGCCGAACTGAGGATCGTCGCGAATGCATAAGAGACTTGTCCAGTTTCTGCCTCAACAAGCCGCTTTGTATCCCAGGCGCTAAACCAGACCGCATCGTCTTTCGTTTCGAACAGTCGCACCGATCTGCGGACTTGGTTATCTTTGGAGCAAGTCACCACATCTATGTGGGTATCAAGGTCGTTACAGACTTCAACAGCGATGAACCCTTGCTGTTCGGAATTATCATCACCCGGCTCCATATTCACGATCCGCACTGCGTCTTCGACATCGCCATATAGTCTCTTTGTTGAGCCTGTCCCTGTTGGCGAAAACGGCTCGTCCACCGGCGTCACAAACAGCGTTCTAGCGTCAAGAGTGTTGCTGGGCACGTGATTGTGTAGGTCTGCGATATGACCAGACCCAAGCCAGATACTCTGGCCCGCAGGAGAACGTGGATAGGTCGCAATTTGAAGGGGCTTTCCGGCGCCAGTGATGTCGATCCGTTCACAGATGATTGGCATTTCAGCGTATTCGGGACCCTTGTTTTCCCTCAGCCGATAGAGGATTTGTTTGCTGTTTGGACTCCAGGTGAAGCTCTCAACATGCATGTCGCTTCGTACCCCTTCCAGCGGTCTTGTTATGCCAGTTACAAACTCGTAGAGCATTATACGGGCCAGCCCAGTCTTTTCCGAATACACTCTTGCATCGTCCTTTGTTTTGATCCTCGCAGTATACTCGTCTGGCGCTTCCGCGGGACTGAGAAAGGCAATGTACTCTCCATTCGGCGATATATCGAACCCTTGCACCGTCTTGCCGTCTGTTTTGATTCTTTTCGGCTCCGTTTCCGGGCCGTCAACAGCATATTCCAGCGAATACAGACTCGCCGCCTTCCCAGGCGTATCGCGGTCGCTCAAGAATACGATCCGCTTTCCGTCTGGATGGAACACTGTGCTGCCATGGAAACAGTTTGCTTTTGCGAGAGGGCGGGCACTGTCGGGCGCATCGAACTCTGCGACCCATAAATCAGCGTGGGTCCCCGCGCTGTCGCTGGGCTTGTACTGGTACTGGTCCTGGTAGACCACGTGCCGCCCATCACGGCTGATGCGTACTTCGCGGACCTTGCCAGCGGCGCAAATGCGTGCAGCCAGGTCGTTGCCGTTGTCTTCAGGGATGGTTTCGTTCATTTGTGGGTAGGAACTCATAGAAGAGCTTTCCCATATACTTGCGCCGTGTTGGTGGGAAGAAATATGGGTTGCATCTGCCTCCGTCAGTGACAAACGCGACTAGCATTACTTGGACGATTTGGCCGGTTCCCACAAGGTGACTGATAGAAGGGCAGCCATAGCTTGGCTGGCAATTTGAGGAATTACACAGAACAATACAACAATGAGGAACACTTTGCTCTTTAGTTAGGCTATATGCAGACGTGATTCATCCCATTCAACTCCCATTCAACTCCCAGCCACCTTTTAACACGCTGTGTGGTCTGCAACGGATACGAGCGCCAAGAGATGGGAGGTGTCAGCGGGCCACGGACAACAATCATTCTTGCTTGTGGTGGTGGTTCGTGGGTGGAGGGTAGACGATGGGGTGAGGTTCGGACCGAATCCCAATGACCAGTCCAAGTCAGATTTTTGGCAGTTATTAGGCACCTGCTGCACCTCTACACATTAGTCGGTCCAACAAGTTTCAAATTACAGCTATTTGTTTAGTAATATACACATAACTACTAGGTAATACAACAAGTTATTCGGCCGGAAGTGGGGGGTCCACAAACATCTTGACCCACCCCAGAAACAACAACGAGCATCCTCTGACAAATGAGTCAGCTGGCTGCCATTGTTCTCTCAGCGCAGACCTACCCAGCAAGAAGAATCGCGCCGCCCCAAGCCGTCTTCATGGTGGAGATATCACCAGGGACTAAGTCGATCACATTATATGCAAATCGACCCAGGCCCAAAACACTGCTGTCGCAGTAGCACCTGTCAAAGAAGGACACGAACTGAAGAATGCACGTCAGAACGATCCAGACTGCGTTGACTGCGGCCAAAAGTTTGCCCAGGCGGCGGAGGACAATCGAAATATTTGCAGCAAGACGGGAAGCGGTGCTATAGATTGGTTGGTCGTCTTCGTCGATGAAGGTCGGGTGGTCGGAGTAGTGCGCGAGTGCGCTGGATGTCACGAGCATCACCCAAACAATCGTGGACATTGCACCATAGAGTACATATGCGCCGGAACGACATCCAAGACCTGCGAAAGGATCAACCAAGTACAAGCCGCGCAAGACAGTCAACAACAAACCGACTGTTGGCGTAAACCACACAATGATGACCGCTGCACCCGTCGTTGACCAAGTCAGCATCAAGGCAAGAAGCGAGGCCACGAAGAAGCGGGAGAAGACTTGAGGCCCCCAACGACTGCGGTTTTTCTCGCGCCTCCGCACGTACTCTTCCACTTGGATCCTGGTTCCTCTCCGGTTATTTGGCTGCACCTTCCCCGATCTTACATGCTGCCACAGCACTTCCGGGTCAACAGAATCGTGTTTATTGGCTCGGTATGCTGCTGCCTCGAACACATCAAAGACCTCGTTGACAGCCTGAACCCAGGGGAGGAAGCGGGCGTAGTTGTATATTGGCGGACTGCATTGCTCGTCACGGAGAACGGGACCAGAGTGTCGCTTGAGCGAAATGGCAAATTCGACTTCAACCTCTTGCGCAGGAGAGGGGCGCTCCTTATCAGTGGCGACGAAAGCAAGTTCGTTGACTGATTCGACAGCATGGTGGAGGCGGAACGAATCGCATTTAGGTCCAACAAGGAGCCATCCTGGTCACATATTGAGAAGATCCGAAGTACTGTTCGCAAAATTTGTACCTATGACAATGGGCAACAACCAAAGATATATTGAGCCAACACCTTGGCCGTTGGCGTTCAATGTGGATGAGTCGATGGTACCTTGGGTGATGTTGAGAGTCAAGATGTAGCACAAGAAATGCCCTCACCAGTGAAAGAGTCGACAACAGTGAAAAGAAAGGCGACAGTGACCCATAATATAGAGGCAACCGACGAGATTGTCCATGTATGGGTATACTCGAGATCATGGACGAGCTTTGCCCACCACTTGTCATTCTCAGGCAGCACAACTAGCGACGCGAGGAGAGCGTCATCAGATATGATGCGAATTGGGGTTTGTTGTAGCCGGCTAAGGATCTGAATCGCATATCGGACATTCGGGTAAGAAAGCTGGGAGAATCGGCGAGCAATCCAGTGGCCATTGAGGACAGTCAAGGCGAGAGAGTATGCGGCCAGTGTCGGAGAGCCCACAGAGAGCAACACTGCAACGACATTGTCAAGCTTGTCTGTGGCGCCGAAAGGCAATTGGGCCATAAGAGCCAGGAAGGGGAGAAGCCACGCGCTATTGGACTTGCTAGTAAGTAAGATTCCACGAGAGTACAGTCAACCAGCGCACCTGAACTGCTGACTGAAGATATTCCAGACGAACGGCGCAGCCCCGGCCCCGCAAGCCTTAGATTAATGAGTTTGATGTGTTACTCGACATCCGGCAACACACCTTCAGGCAGAGATCATAGGTTACAGCAGTCGCGTCCGAGATGTTCTGCACGGGATTTCCCTTGTTGTCTGTCCCACCAACATGGCCGAAGGTACCATTGCGAACCTGATTGATGCAGGTGGCGAAATCAACAGAAGCTCTCGCTAGAGTTGCAGTGAAGGAGAGGAGGATGAGGAGGGCTCGATTCATGGCATAGACCAGAATGTTCAGAGAGAAAGCGAGGTGTATTGAGCCCTCTAGAACGGTCTTTTACAGCTTTCACAATGATCCCTGTCAGAAATTGCGTTTGTCATGACAGTTCAGCACCCGACTTGGGTGGACTCTGATTTTGTGAGGTAGTGGAGTGGTAGTAACCAGGAGCGGCATTGTAAACGGTGTAGGTAGTTGGGATCGAAGGCGGCTGCAAGAAAAATCTGGCTACAGCCAATCATTCGGATCATCACCAGTGTGATTGATATGATAGCAGAATAATTTACGGTCCGCAAAGATAACCCAATCTACCAGACCAACAACAAAAAGGACACTCTAGCGCAGATTTGAACCAAGCAGTAATGGCCTCCTGTCCGAATGTGGGTCGCGCACGGTTTGCAAACTAATGGCCTTTCCAACACTCCCGCCTTCAGTAAATGCGGCAACATCAGTCGTACCCCCATGGGCCTGCCGTCTGAGGGACCGACGGTACGTGAAGCGGTATATAACCGCCGCAAACGTAAAAAGTAAACAGACTGAACCAATACCAGCGGCGATATATAAACCGTGCCTCAGGTTTCTACACCTGGTCAGAGAAAACGTGATATAAAATTGACGAGCAACATACGCATATCCCTGGGCTCTCGGATCGGTAGGAGTTGCGGAGGAAGGAGATGCAGCAGAGGTTGAACTACCGCTCACAGTCGGGCTCGAGCTAGCAGCCGGTATACTGGCCATCAAGGCAAAGTCGATGGCCAAGTTGTTTTGTGATCCGGAGGGTTGGTTTGTGAGGACGAGCGTGTGGTTCCCTGACCCAAGGGAATCTGTCTGGAAAAGTGCTTGTTGCGAGAAGTAGGTGGGATTGTGTGCATTGAAATTTCCAGCGTCGCTGCCATCGAGTTTCACGGAGTAAGCACCTTGGGAGGGCCCGACCGCGCCATAGAGGACTAATGATTCTCCCTAGCAGAGTTATAGGTTCATTGCGCAAAGCATATGCAGCACATACGGCAAATGTTATGGTCACAGAGGCGTCCTTAGCATCCGTAAGGCTACGAATCTGTTCAGCACATGCGCATCTGTTCGCAACGGCATGGGCACGCACTGCCCTGAGTTATTCAAGAAATTCGAGTATGATTTCCCGAGGTCTGTTTTCCATGCATCTGCGGGTGAGTAGGCAAACAAGTTGGAGTTGTCGTCGAAGTTGTTTGCAGGCAATGGCGAATCGGTCATCCATGTGATGAAGTCAATGTCGAGGAAGGATTTACGCGTGTCGTTCGCTGTGTTTGTTATTGTGACAGTGTGTTGTTGTTGTGGGAGGGTGTCGGAAGCAAAGAGCGGTTGGTTGAATACGGGAGAGGAAGAGAAACCGTTCAAGTCGGTGCTTTTGCCATCAAGCTTGACGCTATATCCACCTTAACCAGACGCGTTTATTGCAGTATCGACCGGCAAGCAACTAATAGACGCACCGTGATTATCCCTCTTGGCTCCAAATACCCATACTCGCGTTCCCGTAAAGATGAATGTTGCGGAATCGCCTTTGGTGGAAGAGACGGTGAAGGTACCGTTATTCGAGTATCTAGTAAAAATGTCTGCGATAATCTTAGCCTCAGAAAGTCCACCAACTGCGAAGACAAGGAGTCGGTCTTGCTTCCCGCAGACCATGAGCCAGAGTACTTAATGAGCGGGCTGATATCGTCGATGGTGTAATTGGAAGGCATGTAGACGGGAATTGGAGGAGAGGGAGAGCAGAAATTAGCGGATCCGACTCAGCAAGTCTGCAGTGGGAAGATATGTCAGCTATGCATCTTGCTTGTTGCAATAGTTGAGTTGTTATGGCTCGGGTGTTGCGGGAAAGTGCCAAGCGACCGACAGACAACGAAATCTTCTTCTTCTACATGGTGCAAATTTGCCTCCGTATGAACGGCTTAAGACTCTCCGGATCCGCCGATGAAAGCGCTGGCGCAGTGGAGTAATCGTAAGTAGGGGTAAGCTAACGGCCGTTTCAGTGGCCGCGGTAAACTCTTGTGAGAATGCCGATTCGGAGCCGGGACTGAATCGAAAGACTCGTGAGATTGTCGTTTCCACAGAGAGGTTGAGTGATTTTGATTGCACGTGATGTCGTGACACTCGCGTTTTTTCCTAGATCCCCATCATGGCATCGCCGAACGACGAAGAGCTCCAGAATTGTGTCCGATCCCTGAAGGCAGAACACCCAACACTCGGGATTCCCAAACTCCATGCACAGCTGCGGAAAGATTTTCCCCAGTGGACAGTGAGCGAAAAACGACTGCGAAAAGTACTCGCTATGCTGGCCGAATTGTCGTCAGACCAGCCGCACCCAACGTCGAAAGTCGTAGACGGCTTGGATGTCTCTCACTGGAGCCCGCGAGTCGAAGTCTGTGTGTTTGATGCAAAGAAAGGCAAGGGGTTGGTTGCAAAGGAAAAGATAAAGAACAAAGAGGCGATTTGGGTCGAAGATCCGTTCATCATCGCACCGGAGTGGTAGGTTGAACGCGCTACTGGGTTGACATTCATACTCAGTCCAGGGAAATATACGACAAGATCCGGGCTGGGACTGCTTGTTCCCATTGTACAACACTTTTCGCGCAACCGTCCGATGCTCGGGCCCGATGTGGCTCTATTGGGTGTCCCGCTGCCTTTTGCAATATCCTGTGTCGTAAACGGGCTATGGAAAAAACCCATCCGATTCTGTGTCCGGCCCAAAACCCGGCTTCACTACCACTCTTGCGGTGGGCGAGAACTCGTGAATGGCTTGCAGTCCATGCTTTGACACAGTGCGCCGCCAGACTGGTTGTCGCAAATAACGCTGGGAGCGATGTGCTGGCAGCGGATTGGGCGGTCTTTAGAGCTTGCGCAGCTTTGGGAATGGAACATCGTGCGAAGTCAATTAGAGTGCAGCCAGACCACACTACCTGGAGAGAAGCATTTGGCTTGTTTTGCGCTGCATTTCATCGGCCATCCACAACACACAAACCTTCAAGTGAAGAGAAACGTGTTGCTAGCATTTTGCAAAAACCGTTACCTGAAGAAATCGAAACAGCTTTGTTCGATTACGACAAGGGCTTCCTGCTGGGGCTGGGCCGTATGAGTCTGAGTAAGTTTTTCTTCTTTTGCAATGGTATCTGATCGCTTTTTTTTAGATCTCGAGGCGCATGGCGGTTTATATACGCTTCATGCACATTTAAATCACAGTTGCACTCCAAACGTGTCCGTCAGACATCTGGACCAACGCAAGGCGCTCTCCCGCATCACTCTTAAAGCCCTCGCGGACATTGGCTCCGGAAAAGAGCTATTCATCAGCTATGTCAATCCCACCTTAGGTTACGCCGAACGACGAAACGCTTTGGCAGAGTGGGGGTTTGTATGTCAGTGTAAGCGGTGCTTGGAAGAAGCCCGTGATTGGAAACCGCCGGAGCAGGACGATCTAGAGAGTGAGTTGAAGGCTGGCTTTGGTGTGATGTGAGGTATACTTGGAAACATGCCAACCCAAGAGTCTATGTATAATCAACGGTGCAGCCCATCTATACGCATACAGAGAACGCTCTCATATAGGTCATCATGAATGAGAATACTTACATTAAAATTGGTGGGATGTCTAATACATAGTGTCTACTCTGCGCCTCGAGATGGGGATGCAGTAAATTGCGCTGTTCCAATGCGCGCTCGTTTGGCCGCTCGCTTGAACTTTCTTGTCAGCGCTCTGACCTCCTGAGCTTCCTTTTCGGCCGCCAGGCGTCGTTTCTCCAATTCTTCGTACTCCTTCTTTTCATCTGCTGTCATCTCCAGCTCACCATCGTCATCGCTGACACTGTCATCCGATAGGACGGCCTCCTCGTATCTTCTCTTCAGCCACGAGTTGCTGGTCCCAGGGCGTGAAGCCTCAGAAGGTGCAAAGAAAATGTCATCAGCGCCAGTTTGAGGAGCGGATGGTGTAAAGTCGTTGCTGGAGCTGTGCTCTCCGGGAAGGTCCAGTGCACTGGCAGGTTTGGTCGACGGTCGAGAAAGCGGGGCTACAGGTGCGTTTGATCGTTCGCTCCTTTGAAGAGTTCCAAAATTGGGGGCCTTGAATTCGTGAAAGTCATCGACAGGCCACTCCATCGCCAATACATCGTCGAAGCACTCGAGAAAAGCCTCATGAGTAGCAGGCATGGGCTGCTGGTCCACCTTGTTACGTGAGAGACTTTTGTCGACGATGACAACCAAGCGTTGGATGAGCAGGGAGAGAGGTATGTTTTCCGGAACGATGGGATTCGATTCACCCTTCTGGCATTGCTCGGTCAGCCAGTCCGCTTTCATTCCACAGGCAACCCGGTCTTCCGTCTGGTCGAAGAGATTGGCCGCCGCTTTGGCTTTGTCGGTCAGGATGTGAGCTCCATGTCGGAGCGTAAGCCAGACAAGAACATAGAAGAAAGATTCTAAGTCGTGCTTGACTTGGTGCTCAATAGGGCGTTGATGAATTCGGGCATCGAGCAGATCAATGGCCAAGAACGGATATGTACCCTGTCGAGCATCAACATTTTGGAGCCGAAAGAAGAGGATCACGCACGGTAACGTCTTTGAGACTCTTGTTGAGATTAGGGCCTGTGGGTTCACCGAATATGTCCTTGTAGCGCTGTTCACCACTTTCCGTCAACGCACTGACATCGAAGTCATGCAGAAACCCCGTTAGTTGCAAAATCTTTTTCAAGACATTGCCGATGCTGACGTCTCGATGTATAACTCCAGCCTTGTAAGCGACTTCGTGTCCTACATGTCCTTGTTAAACAAAATGAGCGAAGTAGGGGGTTGAACTGACCACGAATCGCATCTCGCAAAGCACAAACAATGACTTGAAAGGTCATTTGTCGTTGCCGCGGCCGCTCATCCAAAGAGCTGCCGACTTCCTTCAGTAGTATTCGTCGGTGATGTCGTTCCAGGAGGGCAGGATCGTGCTTGAGGAGGACAGGATCGTGCTTCCGCGCTCGAACGGTCACAGTTCTTTGACCAGTCCGCTCCGCGTCTGCATCATCGCCAAGATCCAAGCTCCCTATGCAGGTAGCAAGGCCAGGGGGTCGGTTATTGTTAAGTTCCTTTTCGACGTAATCATCGATGAGCTTGTAAAAAACTGATTCGGGGTAACGACAAGCTTGTAGCCAAGAGTCTTTGAGAACGTAGAATTGCGGGTCCGGGTCGCCTTCGAGTAAAACACAGTCCACTCTTGTCCCCCGACAAAACAGGCCAGTAGATTGATGAATGGGACCATTAACGGTTAGACATCGCCTGCGTTCACCATTTATCTCGATTTCTACCCAGACACTATTCTGCAGTTCAAGGGGAGGTTGTCGCGTGAAAATAGTTTCAAGGTGACTGGTTTTTTCTCCGAGCCGCTCCAGCGCCTGCCGAAGTGGTTCACGCATTCGTTGGAGGTCTTCGTGTGTCGGGATAGATACCGTGGGGTCGTCGCCCAACAAGCCACCATGTTGATCTGCTCCATGAAGAAGACGCCAGTAAAATTCGGGAATAATACGTGCGTTGGATTGGTCTGTGTAGTCGAAGTCGTGAGAGACGATAAAACCCGTTCGATCGATACGGTAAAACCGAGCCCTTCCATTGACGACAGCAACCACGAAGGCGAAGCAGGTGCGACGAGCCATCATAGCGCGACGCCCGTTATGCAGCAGCTGGACGAGATCTTTGAGGAGCTTTACGTCCTCCGATAGTCTATCATTGCGTCGGATGACATCGTCATTTGGTTTCATTTCAACCGTGCCACCGATTTTGATCCACTGATCGGGGAGTGTTTTCGCACCCGGTAAACCACTGGTGACGTCTGGCTGCGATGTAGGGTCGGTAGGATGAAGTGGAGGAATTGTTTTCCGGTGGGTGTCGAAGAAATAGAGGCGATCTTTCGAGTCAAAGCTGTTCATCAATTCATTGAGATATGTTGTCTACAAGATGTTAGAACAGAAAGGGTTCAAATAGTTGCATACCCAAGGATTATAGAGACGGAATTCAGTCCCCGTCCCACTCACAACACGGCGCAATGCCGTGAGGGCAGAGGCCCCATATTTAACCATGCGGTCGAGGGAATCCGCCGGAGGCTCAATTTCCCCCATATATTGAGAGAAGAATTCTTCGATGGGAACTATGGCCGACAAGCCGGCCTTGACATGAGCTATCCAACTATCCATTGAAGGGTTCTTGTCGAGGATGGTGAGTTCGTGACGAGAACCGTACTGCGTAAGAGTATGCGGTTTCTTGGCGAATGGAGTGCGACCGATGTCAATTTCAGCTGGCCCAGGGTCGATTTGTGAGGGTTGAGGTTGCGAGAGGGGATAGGTAGGTAGGGAGGCGAAGGCCTTGGTGATATTGTCACCAGCGGCTGGTTTTCTGTGAAATGCGCTCATGAACAAGAGAGATATTGGTCCCATAAGTAACATACCCTCAGTTATATAGCGGTTTCCTTCGTTCAAAGCGTCGGTGGCACGAACTCCAAAAGTGGACACGTTGGTTTTGGACAATGCGCAATGATGTGACTCATCAACGTGACGACGTGACATCTCGTGTCTGACAGATCAACTTCTTTCCAGCTTGTCAGACCACATAAATTTCGTCCTATGTTGTCTCTTGATTCCTATCGTCGTGAACGTAGTCGGAGAAAAAATAAGTTTTTCAGGCAACGGGGAGTGAACTTCCTCTTGTTCCTTTAGTTTTAGTTGTAATACATGTCAACTCATTCTGAGCTATGTACAGTCGTCATTAGTTGAAACTGGCGTAGTCCTCCATTTGCAGATCGGATGACCTAGAATGAATATACTAGAGATTCACAAAATCATGCATTTCCTCAATCTATTCGAAGATGCTCTTCATAAGTTTTCCCGGAGAGTTTTTATAATTTACGCACTGCAACAGGCATTGCAAAGTCTTTGTCCAAGGGTAGTTCCCCCGGGGCCCCCGCAGATGAGTGCTGATTGAGTCCGTTCTTGCGACCGCCAGAGCTCTTCCAGTTGCGTATCCGAGTGCAAATCGTTTGTGGCGTGAGCGCTAAATATCATACGAGTAGGAACTCGGAGCCTATTGAAGCCTGTCGTGGATTGTATACTGAAGATTATGATGTGGTCCTCATTTTGGGAGTGATGGTCGGTATGTTTTCTCAGCCTGTTGGCGATAGCGGCGAAAAGAAGGACAGAACAAAGACGATCCGAGTCCGAGAGCTTGAATGTTTTCTAAGTAAACAAGGATCAGTACAGAGGGGGCCGTCCTCAGAAGTGTTGTTAGAAAGCAAATGGTGGATTCAATGGTTGCTTGCTGCCTGGCGTTCTGACACTGCAGGCAGCAAGGTCAAGACGGAGAAACACGTGGTGACTCTTGGGTCTCAATCATCAAGGATCAGGCTGGCATTTCCCACGCAACGCGGCATGTCCTGGTCGACCCATGTTCCTCTGCCGGCGTCGCGCATTTTCAACTCTGAGCCACTCAACTGAGGCAGCTCTACTTGGTCTTCGCTCACATCGACCCCCAGACTCAGTCCCTGACCCCAAGTCGCCACCCGAAATCTCTGACCACGAATGGGAGCTGAGAACGGGACGCGCTATATATGTTTTGGAGCAGACTCTTCCCGATTTTTTCACCACCGGACTCGTCAACTCTATCGATAGTGTTACAGGTACCTTGCGGCCAATCCATGCGAGTCAGAGCAGTCAAGATGTCGACATGATCTACAGCCCAAACATTCGATTGTCCTATACACCGCCGACTGCATTGCCGCCACCGCTACCGAAGACCCTCCACATTGAGGGAATCTCTATGTACCTTGCGTCGTCGGTTTTTGTGCGACACACAATGAACGCGTTGTATGCTGACACGCGTGTGGCCTTAAACAAGGTTGCTGTGGACACTCATGGGGTGAAGAGCAAGGGGAGTCGAGAAAAGAGTCTGGTTGTGGGGTTGACTGCGACTGGTGTGGCCCGAGTGAGTGGAATATCCAGCGAGTGGGAGGTGTTCGTGATTTTCTCTTCCGGGGTTTCCCCACCTGTGAAACTTCTGACGCTTCTGCTCAGGAACTCCACATATACTTTCTCCCCGCTCACCGGCCTCATTCATATCCACACAGTCAACTCCATACATCCAGCACCACACCAGGCAGTCTATGACGCGCTTCGAGCGAGTGTTGGGAATGTGTTTGGTGGAAGTATCAAGGGTCCTGAGCCGCAGGGGCCAGCTACAAATGCTGTCAAGGACTCGTAGCTCGTTATAGTAAAACGAGGAGTAGCCCGTGCTACGCACGGGCGTGTCGTTGCCAGCAAAAGTTGTGTCCCAAATTAGGAAATCCTAACTGGGCCTTCCCATTGGCTCATCAGAGCTGTCACACATACTCTCACGGGTTCTCTCTTGTATAATAAGACGAGGAGTAGCCCGTGCTACGCACGGGCGTGTCGTTGCCAGCAAAAGTTGTGTCCCAAATTAGGAAATCCTAACTGGGCCTTCCCATTGGCTCATCAGAGCTGTCACACATACTCTCACGGGTTCTCTCTTGTATAATAAGATAATCTGAATAATTACATCTTTTCCTGGAGTAATGCTGCTTATCGCACAAATGCTGCGGTCAAACAGGATCTCCATAGTTCAGACTTACAATCTTTGTCTTGGCCCTGAGGATTTGGAACGGGTTCTGACTGTGTTCAAGGTCGGCAGCTTCTTCTGTGAGAGCACTATTTATACCGATTACCCAACATTTGGTGTGACATCGGCTCAGAAATTATCTTACGACCTTTTTACTTTCTCTCATGAGGACCCTGCTCAAGCCATTGGCTATCCATGCAGGTAAGCTCTTCGCTGTCCTTGCACGTCGTTGCACGCGGCTCATCTTGCTTTACAGCTTACTCGCCAATTGAGACCATTGTTTTCTTGTCTGTCTGCGGGACTCTTGCCTACCTCCACATCCTCAATGCAGTAAAGCACTCTGCATTTCTTGCCCCACCACCACCAACTCGCTCTGCGTACGCTCTTTATAATTCGGATGAATGGCTTCCAGTGCGCGAGTCAGTTTGGCTCCGTGACGAGCAGGTCCCTCGCTTAGACCTCCAACAAGTCGTCTTTACTGGCCACCGGCTAGAGCGACCCTCGCTAGAGAACGCGACCAAATACATCTCTTCCACGTACCCAGGCTTCCAACATATCCGAACTTCTCAGGATTCATGGACTCAGACCATACAACTCAACTCAGACTTCCACTTGCGCTCGCTCCCAGCGGACAGCTGGGGCATCGCATACGAAGTTCAAGCTCCTGAAGAAGCTATTTCTCAAATGCAGACCGGTCGCTGGTTTCCATACGCTGTCAAAGTGCTGGTCTTGAGGTTTTATGAGCTCGCCAAGGTGAGTAACGTATACTGTAATGGCCTTTTGCCGACACCAACCGCAGAAAACACCCACTCCTGACATCATGATCATCCTTTCGGGTTACATCTTCATGCACTTCACATTCTATCTGCTCTGGGCTCGTTCGCGAGCTCTGGGCTCATCATTCTCTCTGCCTGTCGCCATCATCTCGTCCTCAGTAACTGCTTTACTCCTTGCAGTGCCGGTTGCGATGCTTCTCCACATTCCAATGCATCCTGTGGCTCTCACCGAGGCTCTACCATTCTTGGTATGCACTGTTGGATTTGACAAACCACTTCGACTTGCCCGTGCCGTTTTCACGCATCCGCGAGCTCTTCGACCAGCATCTACGCCTGCTGGCGAAGTTGTGCTTGACGCGTTAAGCGCCACATATTATCCCATTGTGCGCGACTATATCCTCGAGATTGCCGTTCTCGTTGTTGGTGCCAGCTCTCGGGTGGCTGGTCTGTCGGAAGTTTGCGCTCTTGCTGCTCTTCTTCTAGCCCTCGACTGTCTGATGATGTGCACTTTCCTGGCCGCCATCTTGTGTGTTATGATTGAGGTTCGCCGTCTTCCCCCACCAGTCGCTCAGAAACCATCAATGTGGTCTCGTTATTTCGGGCCTAAAGGCACTCTTTTGCCTCCAAAAGGTTCTCTTGCCGGGAGTCATCCAAGCAAGCCCACAACCACACCAGAAAGCCCTGTTGCACGACTAAAACTCTTGCTGCTAGTCGCCTTCCTTGGGCTCCATGTCCTCAACTTCTCAGCTCCGTTCGCTCTTCCGCCACCACCTCCCCGACCATCCGCAATTCCTGCGCATACAACTCCACTCGATTGGGACATTCTTACTCGTCTAACCCCACCTGTTTCTTCTGAAACGGATTCCCCTCGTCTCCTTGTCCGTCTACGCCCACCAGTCACTCTCCGACTAGCCCGAGACAGTCGATTCCCGATTCCCGTTGGTGCTCGTATCGATACCGCGCTCTCTACATGGACGCGTCTAGTTGGTGACCCAGTTTTGAGCAAAGGCATTGTCGTTGTCCTGGCGATCAGTGTCCTTCTCAACGCATATCTCATCCGTGGTGTCGCTCGTGCTGGCGCGGTTCGTGGTGGCGGGGTTCGGTTTGACGGCGAGGTTAAAGACGAGACCGGGGCAAAACAAGTTAAGAAAGAGAAGGAACCTGCGAAGGAAGTCGAGCAAGATGGTTGGGCCAAAGATGTTGCCGCAACGTCCGCGGCCACTATCGGCAATGCTTCATCGGAAGAAAAGGTTGTACCGATATCGATTGTTCACGCGCAAACCCCTGCGCCGACTGCTGGTGCCGTTCCAACCTTCTCATTGGATGATGTTGACCGCCGGTTGCGCGAGCGAGGTAGGACGATGAGAAGTCGGACGCCAGCTCGAAAGGTGATAGCATATCCCGAGAAAATACTCAAATTCTGACGTTGGAGACTAGGCCATAATCGCCGATGACGACGAAGACGACTACGTGGACTCGGACTTTGACGAAGTGGACCGCGAGCCACGACCACTCGCAGACCTCATTGCCCTCATGGAGAGTACCCCCAAATCGGATGGCCTCAGTATGATGAATGACGAGGAAGTCGTCTTACTAGCACAGAACGGCAAAATCGCCCCTTATGCTTTGGAGAAAGTTTTAGCACCTGCCCAAGAACTTCTGGGACTTGAACGCGCAGTTCGAGTTCGTCGTGCTTTGATTTGTGAGTTTTCTCAATGAATGAGACCTCAATTGAACTCTGTGCAGCTCGCGCCTCACTCACACAAACCCTTGAATCATCTGATATTCCCTTCCAAGACTACGACTACGGCAAAGTACTCGGCGCCTGTTGCGAGAATGTTGTTGGATACATCCCACTCCCGCTCGGCATCGCAGGTCCTTTGACGATTGATGGTGTCTCCTTCCACATTCCGATGGCTACTGCGGAAGGAACACTGGTTGCATCGACTTCACGTGGCTGCAAGGCTCTGAATTCCGGCGGAGGAGTCACGACAGTACTTACCCAGGACGCTATGACTCGCGGGCCAGCAATCGACTTCCCTTCAATCGTCGAGGCGGCTCGTGCCAAGGCGTGGATTGCATCACCGGAAGGTCACGGAGCGCTCAAAACCGCCTTTGAAAGCACTTCCCGTTTTGCCCGTCTGACTGGTCTGAAGACCGCAATGGCGGGACGGACGCTATTTGTGCGGTTCGCGACAGCCACTGGCGACGCGATGGGTATGAACATGATTTCCAAGGGCACGGAAAAAGCCCTGGAGGTGATGCAGGCCGAATTCCCCGACATGATTGTTCTTGCTCTAAGCGGAAATTATTGCACTGATAAAAAGCCTGCTGCGATCAACTGGATCGAGGGGCGGGGAAAGAGCGTTGTTGCGGAAGCGGTCATTCCGGGCAAAGTTGTCAAGAGTGTGCTCAAGACCACAGTCGAGGCGTTATGCAATCTGAACACCAAAAAGAATCTCGTTGGGAGTGCTATGGCAGGATCAATTGGCGGTTTCAATGCGCATGCAGCCAATATTCTGACGGCAATATTCCTTGCTACTGGTCAAGACCCTGCTCAGAACGTGGAAAGCTCAAATTGCATGACACTTATGGAGCCGTAAGTTTGTTTTTATCTTACTTGTCGGTTGTACTGAACAGTTTCTTAGCACCAACGACGGACAGGACCTGCTCATGACCGTTTCTATGCCTTGCGTTGAAGTAGGGACTGTTGGTGGCGGAACTGTACTTACCCCTCAAGGCGCGGTACTCGAGATGCTCGGTTTACGGGGGGCTCATCCAACAAAACCCGGGCAAAATGCGCAAGGGTTGGCGCGTGTCATTGCATCTGCTGTTATGGCCGGCGAGCTCTCGCTCATGTCAGCGTTGGCGGCGGGACATTTGATTCGAGCCCATATGGTAAATTCTTTTGCTCTTGGGTTCGCAGAAGCTTATTTCAATGGTCAGGTCCACAACCGTTCTGCCCCGCCTACCCCCGCCGCATCTCAACCTGCCACGCCGGGGATCGAGGCGCCCGTTGCGGGCCATCTGCCATCGGGTGGTCCTGGTCCAAAATCGGTTGCTGCATTAACCCCCTCTTCCTCGACTGCGTCGTTACCGCCGTATTCACGGACATAGACACAACACCTGACATTATTCCTTGCATATTTTTTCGCCATTCGTTATAAGTAGTTTAAACTGTATTTCTTGCTGCTTTCGATTACATAATTGCTCACAATCTAGAGAATCTTTGTGACTGCTGCTGTGTGGTGTGATCCAACTTTTCGAAGAAGTGGTATCCCCTTATCTGATCTTATCGTTAGCGCTTATCTTATCACATTCCCTTCTTGCTCTCTTCCATAGTATTGAAACTGTGTTTCTCGTTAACGTTGTTCAAGGTACTCGCACAAGTGGAATCATGCGACAGTTACCTAGACTGTCGTTTCAGCTCTAATCGAGACAAGAAATTAATACTTGCCAGTGGAAGCTGCTCCTCGTATACGTGCACTAAAATGAAGTCTGATCTGGGAAGGCAAAGGAGTAACCGGCAGCTAAATAAGTAACGCCAAGCCATTCAATGCTTCTTCCTACTTCCAAGCACTGCAGGGAGAAGGGAAGTTAGGGAACCGAGGAGGGTGACAAACGCGTAAAAGGGGGGCGATCACGCATCACGAAAGTCTCGGCCATAGCGCACGTTTCTCCACTCTCTCTCATGCAGCAGCGGCCAAGCTACAATCGTGGCCCATCTACGAGCTCTACGCCAGCCAGTGTTACACCCACGGTCCTCGACGTCAAGCCTGCGCCGAAACCGATGCATGTGAAGAAGGTGACGCTGACGAGTAAGAAGAATTGGTGGATGGGTGCGTGCCAATGGCCTTATCCTAGCTGTCTCTCGTCTGACTAGAGAAATAGTGGAGATGGACGAGGAAGATGAGCCGCCAGATGTGACGATGTCTTCCAACTTTTCTTCCTCTGAAGAGACTGCCGTGGACAATCTCGATGTGCTTTACAACTACGACCACCACCCATCTGACGTGCATTCAGAGTCGAAAGTAAGGACACAGACGCCTGCTACCACCCAGCCGATCTACACACGCAACCCGCATTCGTTGTTCTCTTTCCCCACGCCAATCGCGTATACCGCACCAAAAGGCCCGTCCAATCCAACTGCCAGCCTGTCGCCCTGTGCCCATGGCTCTGCTTCTGAGCTTTTCAAGTGCATAGTGAAGAAGCCCGATGTCGTCCAACTCGAAATCAACGGCGAGATGCAGTCGAACGCGTCAGACGTGACGGTCCAGTTCCTTGCAGAACTCCGTGTTTACACTTCCCTTGCCAGGCATCGCAATGTCTGCGCTTTCCTGGGCAGTCTGGAGAACGTAGGCATGGTGCTGGAGTATATCGATGGAAGGACTCTTTACGACGTTGTCATCGCCCGGCCCCCATTGACTCCACCCAAAAAACGCGACTACCACAACCAGCTCCTCGATGGATTGACACATCTGCACTCATACGGGCTTTCTCATGGTGACTTGTCGCTGCTCAACATCCAAGTCACCACTGTTGGCGACACCGTCAAGCTTCTTGACTTTGGCCGCTCTGTGTCTGCCTCCTCCACACTTATATCCCCGCATGGCCCACCCGTTGACCCATTCGCCCCACGTGCCTTTTCTGCGGTCGAAATCGAGACAATCCACCCCGGGACCCGGCCATTCTCTGCGCCAGAAGTCCTCCGCGGCGAGTGTGTCGACGCCCGGCTGGCCGATGCCTACAGCTTTGGCATGATCCTTGTCTGTCTCGACCGCTGCGAGAGCGTCGACGTCAAGCCATGGGACCAGCGCAAAGACAAGCTGCCCTCTGACCTGTTTGACGGGTGTGAAGTGTTTGAGGAGCGCGCGAGGGAGTACCTCAGGAAGTGGGATGCGGGAAGGCGGCGGTTAAAGAAGGAGGACATGATGGTTGTAGGGACCTAATAAGAGGATTCGGGTCATCGGGCTTTTATATCGGCCATTGCAGCACGACAAACGGTGACTACGATATATATGGGGACGTCCTGGGTAGCTACTCGGAGGGTGACGCCGCTGAATCTCGCTGAGGTTTGTCGAATAGCATAAGTTCGACATGAATTTATTCAACGCCGTATGCATGCGAATGGTGGACTTGAAAATTTTACTCAGCAAGAGATATTTGTCCCAGGATCATCCATTTTGAGCGAAGAAACGAAGAACTGACCAATGAAATTCGATGATATTATGCTACTGTTCATGTCTTGCAGTTGGAGCTTTCGTTTGCAATGAGGTTTTTGTGATCAATCAATCATCGAGATTCAAAATTACAGGTAGAGCACAAAGATAGCGATGGATTGGAGCATGGGAGCAGATCGACCCATTTCACATCAGAGTACCATGATTACTGTCCATCCTTTCGCGCCCGTTTCCTGCTCAGGGCTTGCAATACTCGCTCTGTCTCTTCTTCATGTACAGCTGCCTTCCTCTTCGCTTCTTCCTCTGCCCTCTTTGCTTCTGCCTCAGCCCTCTTTGCTTCTTCCTTCGCCCGTTTGTTCTTTTCCAACATCTCCCTTAGTTCATCCTCACTCATTTCATCCAAATCAGAACCAACATCGCCACCCGCCGCTTCCACTTCATCCCCCTCCTCGTTATCATCAGCGTCGCGCTTGCGCTTCCCCAGGTCGATGGCATCGTCGGTGACGAGGCTGCGAGACACATGGGGGTTCCAAGTAGAGGAGGAGATTGGTCCACCTTGAATCCGCACAACAGTTTGATAGTCCTGGGTGGCTGCCCCTTCTGCGCGGTTGGGCGGCGTAAACGGCATGGCAACATCGCCTTCTGGCCAGTCATGTTTATTGCGCGCCGCGACGAAGTGGCGGAACATCTTGTTGTAGGTCAGAGAGTCAGGGTCATGGAGTGCCTCTCTAAGTGGCGCCCGAAGGTCAGAGACGAGGGTGGCCAGGTTGGGATTGTTGGAAAAGATCTTGGCATCGCCGGAGAGTAACCAGTCGCGTTTGATTGATAGGGCAATTGAGTCACTTGGATGGTCGAAAAAATTTGCACAGGCCAGAGCTCTGTCTACATGCAAATGTTGGGTATGACGGAGCAGGACCCACAGGATAATCCAGTAGAAAGATTCGATGTCGTATTCGAAACGATGTAGGAGGGATACTCGCTCCTGGTGAGCAGTCAAGACAGCTAACGAAACAAATGCATAAGTGCCCTTAAAACAGAGTTAAAACAAGTGGCAGATAGTTGGCCGAGAGGAACTCACGGTCATATCCTTGAGCTCCTTGATGAAGTTGAGTGCGGCTGTGCTGATAATGTTCGACAGTCCCAGTAGAGTCAATGTCTTCCAGCCTTCCTCCGTGAGCATGGCGACATCGAAGTCAAGAATGAACCCTTCAAGTCCATTTGGGCCTTGTTTTATGAGAACATTCCCAACACTAACGTCGCGATGGACGATGCCGGCGTCGACCGCTGCTTGATGGCCTGAAAGTCTATTATACTCGCCGGAGATGGAATAAAATCCAGGAAATACCTTGCATTGCATCATGCACAGCTGAAATGAATGTCTTCGTGTCCGGATACTCGTACAATGGGATACCAACGTCCTCCATAACTGTGCGTTGCCGATAGCGGTCTTGAAACTCGTGTCCGTCTTCACGAAGGGCGGCAGTTATAGTAGAATGTACTTGGCCGACGCGTCTGCTCAAGTCTTCGCTAGCGATACAGGTGGTCAGGCCTAGGGCCCCTGTGGGGTACTTATGCTCCAGTATCTTGTAGAAGACATATTCGGGAAGGCGACACTTCTGAGTCCAAGCTTCTTTGAGCACATGAAATCGAGGATTTTCCTCGTCCTCAATTAAAACGCGATCCACACGAGTAGCGCGGGAAAAGAGCCCTTTAGATTGGTGCAACGGGGGACCAATGGTAAAGCATCGCCTTTTGTTACTGCCAGTGCCAACGTCGATGCAACGGCTGGACTTGATGACCGCCGCCGCCTGCTTATCGTCCTCGTAGCCCGCAAGGGTCTTGAGCATCTTTAACAAGCGAAGTTGCTGCCGGGGTGTTGGGACGGAAGTAGAGAGATCCTCGCCGAGATAACGACCGTCCTCAGAAGGGCCCATGAACAAGCGCCAGAAAAACTGGGCCATATGGGTGCTCTGTTTGGCGGTCCACTTGAAGCTTTCAGACACGATGTAGCCGGAATGATCGACCCGGAGTATGCGAGCGTTGACATCGAAGACAGAGAGAAGAAAAACGTAGGAGGAGCCTTGAGCCATGAAGATTCGGCGAGCGTTGTGGGTGAGTTGGGCTAGAGCTTCCTGACTCTCCTGTGTATTCAGCGGCCCATTATCGTCGAAGAGGTCTAAGCGACGCTTGAACTCGATAATGCTGGAGGTATGCCACCAATCCCATCGTGGTCTCTCTTCATCTATTTTCTCTGCCTTCTGTCCTTTTCCCCCCCCCTTCCCCCCCTTTTTTCCCTTCCCCCCTTTTTTTCTTCCCTTTCCCCTTGTTCGCTTGGTCGAAAAAATCCTTCGGCAGACCCGGTTTCGAGACAGCTATGTCCGGTTTGGACACATGATCTGTCTTGTGCAAAGTCTTGAAGACGGTAGCCCATGTCGCACCAAAGAGAGGACGCCGGCTGGGATCAAATTTCGAGACTAGCTTCGTGAGATATTCTGCCTAGAAAATGGGTCAGCAGTTGAACGACTTAGTTCATTACGTGTCAAAAACTCACAAATGGCTCGTACATCTGTTTCTCCTGCTTTCCGACTTGTTTGAGGGCTTTACGATGAGATACAGTCGCGCTATCACGCGTGATCCTCAATTCCTTGTTGGTTGGTGGATTCGGCACTTGCATATACTTGGAGAAGAATTCCTCAACGGGTACGATGCAAGAGAAGCCACCTGTGGCCTCCTTCTTCCACAGTGCAAGTTCATAAGAGTTGTCCTGCTTTGCGACGTCATGTGACCCATGCTCGTTCTTGGTTGCCTTGACCTTCATGGGAGTCGAAGTGAGAAAGGTCGAGTGACCCCCGAGGCCAGAAACAGTGGCTCGCCGACGCGCTGGAGTGGAAGGCATGATGGTATGCTTCCAGAGGAGCGAAAAGAACGCACCAGGCTTTTATATGCGACAGTCCAACAAAGCGTAACTTGCCTCGAGGCGTTGACGGTTGAGGAAGAAGGGTAATGTCAATCATGTGCCGTGTGACGAGCGTGGAATCAGCGTGTTTTTCGCACGTTCAACATCAGAGAAAATTACTCCATGCCTATCTACTCGAAATCGTCTGGCAATGTGGAAATGCAGCGTTGTATCTCGAGCAAAATCTTTTCGCGATCAAATGTTTTCTCTCCCGGACAATTCGGGCCGCCGCATTCGGCACTCCAGCACGCCAATGCCTCGTTCCATGCGTCTGCCGCCAAACCAACGACCTTGTCCCCTAACGGGCGAACGTCCATCTCCACAGAAATCTAGCCCCTTCCATCAGAAAATACCTCAAGGGAAATATGACTCACTCTTGAACAATATTCAATCCAAAGACCCCTTGCAGTCGCCTGGACTTCTCCACATTTCTTACACCGCCCCACGACAAGCTCTTGATCCAAAACCACTAATGCTTCGTTCTCCCGAGCCTTCCCTCTTAACATCTGGTCCAAACTATCACGCCGTTTCCTGTGGAATGCAAAAAGTCGGAGGAGAGCTGTGGTTGAAAGCCCGTGTAGCTGCTTTTGGACCTTCTCATCTTCGAAGTTGAATAAAGGCAGCACGAGAGTCCGTCGAGCCGCGTCTCTTGCCAACTGCCCCCATCCTGCGCGCGTGGCCAACGCATATGACCGTATTGGGTCGGCGTTCTCGGCGAGCGGTAGACTGCTAATCGCGTCCCGTACTCTTGAAGCCAACGCTGGCGCATCCCATCGTTGAGACAAATCAAATAGGCTCTCCACAGTGTCCAGATTTTTCAAATCGCAGTGCTCCTTGTCTTCTTTACTGGTCGGCACGAGCCCGCATAAGATGCTGAGAGCAAGAACAAGCAGCGGAGCGGGCTCGTCAAGGGGAATAGGGAAGTTGTCCACTCTAGTGGGGTCAAGAACACCAAAAAAATAGCCGGACGTCCTGCGAAGGACGAATGGCGGTACCGAAAAGTAGGTTGCCGGAGTTTCCTTGGATCGCAAGGTGACATAGACGACATTCGAGTCCTGGCTATCCAACGAAAAGAGCGGATGATAGACTTGAACTTCCGCGTTCGCTGCCATGGCTGAAGGGGGGAGAAGACGATACTACTCAGACAACGTGTGAACCTCGTGGTACAAAACACGCAATACCCGTTGTGTCGCTTCTTACTCCGCTACCAGGACACCTCGATTATTGCATATGGCCTCCCTGAGCTTCTTCATGCCAGCTTCAAGCCCACTCAGTGAGGGGAAATGACACAACTTGATTCTCTTTTGTGGACCGACCGAGTGCTTATAGTGGAAGGGAGACCATTTTACCAGGTATAATCGGGATGGGATGTGACCGTGATAGGGTCGGTTGTGGCCAAGCACGGTGATATAACTGGAGGCAGATATGATGAACCCAATGTTCAAGAGGTCTGGAATACCAACGCACGGTTGTCGATTCATTCTGGAAGCTCGCCGTGATAATTAAATGATCGACCGGCTTGACTCCCTCCAAGTTTTTCGACTTCTTGGTTGCAGTAAACTCAGACAACACTGGAGAACACAACAACCCTTGCACTCTAGGTCGAGGAACGGATAGCGAGATGGCCACCAACATTGATGATTCAACTTGTACTCGGTCCCGGGCCGTTGGCCGGATTCAATACGCCTCAATGGCGACGAAGACATTTGCACCTCCGCACCCAAGGAAACGGCGGCCTCCGGTGCGAGACTAGGAGGCATGCTCGATATGAATTCTTCTTGCTAAACCGCAGGAGCTTTAGTAGGCCGCTCAATGGTCGCACGGCAATCCATTAATTCTTCAAGCTCATACCTTTATCAGTACAGTATTGATCTTGGCCTGCGTCAGAACGTCAGAAAGCAGTTGAAGAAGTAATCGCGGAATTCTGACCGCCCAAACAAGATTCGCATATCCGCAGGTTTTGTGGATGGACCTCTTGACGGCTTATTCATCAGCCGCGGCGTAGGGCAAAATATACCCCCATCCAGCAATTTGGGCAACAGCGCTGCCCACTTCCTCCACAATTCCGACGCCTTCGTGTTCTAATACCATATCGGTGTGCTTGCTACAATCTCATCAGATACGCACCAACTGGAGATTGAAAAGGGACGGACTAATGTTCATCGGTACCACATATGCCTCAACGGTCCGGTCTAATTTTAAGAGCATCCTTACTTACCAGGATACGTGACCTTGATTTCAAGTCTGACTCTCGCGCACTGGCATTTGGTTAGACCGTGGCTCATGGTGACCACCTCAACAATGCCAGCGGCAGAAACCTTGTAAACGTTGTGCTGGAAGCTCATGTTGTTTAAAGCTTGTATTAATGTCTGTCGGAATGGATGCGATAACGATATAGATGGAATGACTCGGATAAGACTTTGTTGAGGCTTCCAATGCCCACGACGAACTTAGACTGTTAGTTCGCCTGAGAGTCTAAGTACCAGCATCAGACGGTGATTGCCAAGTTGTTTCACGCATGCGCTGGCCAGGAGCTGCCAGGAAACACCCGATGAATGTCTTCGAATGCTTCACGTTGAGCCTGAGACGCGGTCAGTGCCAATCGACAGGCCGAGGTAAGAAGATGGCAACTGAGTTTGGGATGCTTACTAGCCTTCCTTTCAGGCTTTTACGAGACACACCTACGGCCGTTGTTCAAGGCGATCCACTAGGTCGATGCTTCCATATTCGATGTTCTTCAACACAAAAGGCGTGGCGGTGTCACGCGTGACTGCGCTGGCGCCAAAAAAACGACTTCGACACCAACCACTGCCTGGTTCCCCCGCGTTCCTCAACGTCAAGCTATACATAGCCGTCGGGTTCCCAGTTCTATCTTCCAAGCACATCTGTACCAATTTTGGTACATGGCGCGGTTTTTCGTATACCGAAAAGCCGACTCGATTGTCGCGCTTTTCCAGACGTTTTTGACCCTGTGCTCATTTGTGCCAATTGTGCCGAAAATGGCTCGGCTCCGCTCTAAGGCGACCATTCGCCATGCGATGTGCAATAAATTCGATGGCCGCTGCTTCTCTGCATTCCCTGAGTCTGCATTTTGTCCGTGAAACGTCCCAGGTAAGCGATGTTCAACTCCCATACAAATACCGCGTTTCTACCAGAAGCTCCGGCCGCTGGACGGTGTTTATGTTGAAAGCGATGTGGTGGGGTCGCTCTGGGAGGGACAATTCTGGTCCTGGGGTGAGGTATCCGCAAGACTGGAAGGATGGTCTGATACTCCATGGATTGGATGGGAGCGCGTGCCAAAATATGTCGCGGAGAGGTGGTAAATGTGCGCATGACCCAAATTCGTGTGACGGTTCACCGATCGACATCGGACCGGTGCTTCCGAGTGCCCATTTCAATAAAATGCGGCCTCTGCCCACTTCTCAATAACCCCAAGCACTTTCCCCACCGCTTACACGCGAATAAATTCTCGAACGACCATCTCCCCCCCCCTCCCTATCCCCTCATGTCTTTACCAACCCAATCTGCCGTCGTCCTCCATGGCGCACGCGACCTTCGTTGTGAAAGTCGAAGGGTTTGGCCGCCAGCAGCCGGACAAGCCCAGGTCTCCATTGTCTCCACTGGGCTGTGTGGTAGCGACCGTAAGTTCTTTTTTCAACGCGTCGAAGACGATGGTCATATATTTCACAGTTCACTATTACGCTCATGGCCGAAATGGTGACTTCCAACTCCAAGCACCTCTCGTTCTCGGCCATGAAGCCGCAGGCGTCGTCACCGCTGTTGGACCCGGTGTCAAAGGTTGGTTTGGCTATACCCTCAAAGACATATTCTAATTATCCGCAGGTCTCAAAGTCGGAACTCGCGTAGCTATCGAGGCTGGGGTGATGTGTAATAAATGCACATTCTGCTGCTCTGGCCGTTATAACCTCTGCAAAGACCTAAGGTTTTGCAGCTCCGCAAAAACCTTCCCTCATCTCGACGGCACGTTACAAGAACGTATGAACCACCCTGCCCACCTCCTACACCCGTATGCCGCTTAACATCTTCCTAAATTCACGGTCATTGACCCCCATGCAGTCTTCCGGAATCCTGTTCTTTCGATGATGGAGCACTCGCGGAGCCCCTATCTGTCCTACTGCACGCTGCAAGACGGTCACAGCTATCAAAAGGCCAATCTGTACTGGTGTTCGGTGTTGGGGCTATCGGCTTATTGGCTTGCTCTGTGGCCAGGTCAATGGGCGCCTCCCGTGTGGTTGCGATCGATATCAACCAAGCCAGACTCGACTTCAGTACTTCACACGGCTTCGCCGAGGCGACCTTTTGCCTCCCTTTTCCCGGCAAAGCGAAAAGTTCCGACGAGAGTCTCCGCTGCGCGAAAGCTAGCATCGAAACGGCTCTTGACAAATTTGAACAGCCTGATGGCTTCGACGTGGTGTTTGAATGCACGGGAGCTGAACCTTGTATTCAGATGTCCGTCCATGTAAGTCTGTTGCTTCGTTTCTCGTTCACTCTCTTAACAACGTTTCTACAGGCTGCGACCATCGGTGGCAAAGTGGTGCTCATCGGAATGGGCTCCCGAAACGTATTACTCCCTCTCTCCGCTGCCGCAACACGTGAGGTGGATTTGGTTGGGTCCTTTAGATATGCCCACACATATCCGGAAGCGCTTTCGCTTCTTGCCGGCGGAACCCTTGGCGCACTCCATAAACTCGTCACGCATCGTTTCCGCCTGGAAGACTCCCAGAAAGCATTCGAGCTGCTCTCGCGTGGCAAGGACCAAGATGGTGGCTTGGTTATCAAGGTTGTGGTCGGAGCCGACAGCGAGCCTGAACCTTAGATTGTTCCTTGAAATTTCGAACCCTCGATAAATCAACCCCCGACACGTTTTCGCATCTTCCCTGCTATTAGATTTGTTTTACGCATCATGGACTTTGTGGATGCCTTACCTGGCACGTTCATTGTACTTTATTCTCACAAAATTGTCATTTGTCTGTTTGCATCCATCTATTCGGAGGTTTATTCAGGTCGATGACGCACAAACAAGCTCAAGCTACCGTCAAAAAAAAGACAGCTTACCGGGCCGTGGGTTACTGTCCTCCACGGCCCGTTAAGCGACGCGGGTGAAGCAAAGTCTCAGAAGCATCATGCATGGCCCAACGAGCTTTGTTCTCTGGCACTCGGCACGGACATACCGGTTTGGTACCCACGCAGACGGCGATCTCGTCGTGGATTAATTGCAGTGGTTCGATTGTTTGTTCTATCGTCAGAAGTTTGTTCCTTTCTGGGCTGAACTCTATCTCGACGCGTGAAGACGTGCGAGTCACGCGACCGTGTTGGTTGGCGGCGCCTTTACCGAAGAATGGCGATAAATAGGCCGACGCGGAACCTCTACGCCCCTGGCGAGCCACGCTCAATCGCCCGCCGTTCGCACACCGTCTGAAAGCAACCCTCTCGCAACACGTTCTCGGCCATCTGCTTCGGAATTCGCCGCCAGGTTACCCACACCCGTTTTCGGAGCCTTACTCTTGATCTTGGGGGGTTTCGCTCGATCGGGTAGGGTTCAGTACATTAGCGACGGGAAAAAAATACAAGCATTCGGACTTAGAATCCACTGGAGGTTGTCCGTAACTGCTCCAGCTTTTTTAGTACCTCTCCAACCGTACGGTCAAGCTCTCCGCCAATAGCGCTCTGCTTCGTTGTAGGCAGCCGCGCGAAATTCTCGCAAAGGTCGCCATCAACGACCGCTTTGACGGGTACATAGTAGCCTCTCCAACTGAGCTGCTCCCGCCCAACAAGACTGCTCTGCTCCGTCCGCATATGCTGTTCAAGGGTCGACAGGAGATCAACGTCTTCTTTTGATACGAAAGGGACCAGAATGCCGATTGTCCCGTGCAAGCATGTGTAGAGCAGGATTTCACGCCCACCGGCGACCATAGAAACCTTGTGGATGGAGGTAATCATGTCGCCAACGTGGAAGTGAGCTAGCATCTTGGTTTTGTGTGGGGCACCCATGAGCTGCGCCTTTTCATGGATGATTCCAGCGCCAGTCGGGTCATCGTCCACCTGTTCCGAAATCTTGGGATCAAGTCGGTTGATGAAGACATTTCCAAAGCGGTCTCCGATGGCCACTGTGTTGTAGTCCACCATCGCCACGGCCGTCACCCATCGCGGCTGGTTATCGTCCGCGAACGTGAGTAACCTGTTTTCTGGTGGCTTATACACGACAAACGACACCGATTCTTGCATGTCGCCCACTATGAGACGTGAGCCCTGCGTGTTCAGGCTAACGATAGTGGAGCCAAATGTTTTGTTTTCGACTTTGCGCAAAAGCTTCTTCTTGCCAATTTCGTAGATTCTCAACGCTTTCCCGACCCCCGCGGCCAGGCGTCCTTGGAATCCCAATAAAGCGAGCGGAACATCGTCGGTTTCGGTCTGGAGTTATGAGCTGCGAAACCATGATAAGTGCGAACTACTGTACCTTGTGCAAAAGCTCCAACCCGGCTCCACCGTTGGTGAATGTGTAAACGCGGAAAAACCCAGATGATGTTGACCGTGGCGACACAATCGTATCTGCAGCGGTTCCGACCACAAGATGCAATTCACCACCACGTGCCGCGAAAGGAAGAATGGCAATTGAAAAGGCCGCTTCATTGTTATCCAGATATATGCATGACACGGTTTCCGCCTAACAAGATATCATTGAAAAAAAAACACCCAACTTATGAAGGAATGCACGTACTCGTATTGGGTCGATGATCCGAATGCACGAAGCCCATGTTCCGGCGGGGGCTTTGATAGGACCATAGACCTCTGGAGGTAGATCCAGTGATGCCGAGTCTATTTTCTTGCCCTGCTTTTTCTGTGGAGGGGTCATGATGATGACAGTTCCGCATGTTGAACCGAACGCACGAGTTGTTCAAGCTTATGTGCTGAAGCTTCTGGTGACCGGACCCGGTGATCCGCTTCAATCATGTAGAAGTAGTGATTGTTGGGATGGGTGATGAATTTGCGAGGCGTATAGGAGAGTGGAATAGAATCTTGTTTGAGCTTCATGCCCAACCGAGTTATTTGGAAGATTCTGTGGTAAAGGTCAGTTCTCGGTCTAAGTGTAGCACTTCACTAACCGAAGAGTGCTTCCAGTAATCCCAATCAGACCTTCCGGGCTCAACTCGGCCGAGAAACTCCAAGCATAGTCGAAGTTCTCGAAGATGAGCGGCGAGAAGTGCATCAGGTTTTGATAAGTGTAGTTCAACCACGACCGAGAGGAAAGAGCCAGAATGCCTGGGTTGCGTTGAATTTGGACTCGAACTAGGCGTATAGGTCGAGTTCCCAGAAAACTGCCCATAAAGTCAATAACAAACAAAGAATGATGATAAAACACAAACCGTGTGCGAGTGTCGGTTAGCTGACCGTTGGTTGGATCCAAAACAGTCCGCAACAACACGCCATTCTGCAGTCCGATATTGACGAACATTGTTGGCTGCGTTTTGTTAATACTAGCATCCAGCATGTCGGCAATGCAAATAGAAGATGCAGGCGAGGTCAGGGCTTGCAAGCTGATAGCCTCCAAAGTAGTGTCTGGGTCAAGAGATACGATGCGAACAGTTTGATCCTCACAACCGACGGCCTATCGACATTAGCGATTCGAACAGATATAACAGGGGAAAATGAATCACCAAGAACGGAGTCCGCTGTCGGCCTTCTGGAACTTCAGCGATGCTCATCGCCAGTACGGTACTGCCCATTGCTTTCCGGTCTTGGTACTCATTCAGTTGGCCATCCAAATCTAACTCGAAGTAGACCAACTCGGCCGAGCTTAGCGCCACAACGACCTGACGTTTGTTCGTTGTCGCACAGACAATAGTTTTGCCCTGAGGTACTCGCCACTCGTTGACACGGCGGTCTGGAAGGACGTGCCGAATACCGTGTGGGTGTACCTGCAGGAGAGCATCAGCACCAATTTGCTGGACGGCAATCGTTGGGGCGGAAGACAAGAACCCCGTATCTTGCACTTCTTCAATTGTCTCGCCAATGGACAGTACAAGGGTTCCGTTGACGAAGGAGAGAATGATATAGGAATCGTACTCGTCTAGTAAGATGTCATAAAACGTAATTCAAGCTAGTGAACTAAGCTCACCGTCTTCCTGCCGTTTGATAGTCCAAACGGCGTTTGGAATACCAGGAAGCTCAGAACTGACGGATTCCTCAACCTCTAATCCGTGACGCAGTGTGCGTAACGAGCTCTTGGCACCTTTGCCACAAGCGGCGAAGATTTGAGGAGAATCCGAGTTGGGCAACACATTTAATACCTGTGAAGCGATAATTGGGTTGAGGGATTCCAATTCATCGGCAACGACAAGGTTCTCGAGGGGTCTTGGTTGGAAGAAGGCTTGGGGTAAAGGGAAATTTGGATTAGCCATGCCAAACGATGGATAAGACGTGGAGCTATATTCGGGTTCATTGTCGTCGTCGCCCAGTTTTTGGAACTGATACAGATAACTACAAGAGAGTGAGAATGGAGAGAAGGAAAGATGCGGACTTACTGGTTTCCAAACTCAGACGCCACAAAGAGGAAACCGGATTTCAGAATGCACAACGAGGATGCAACAGGTATGGTGTCAAAATACTTTATCTTCAAAGCACGGACTTCCTCCTCTTCGTGCTCAATCGTAACTTTGTACAGATCTCCATCTTCGCTTTGCAACAAGAAGAAAAAGGCGCCCTGAAGCAAGTCAGATGAGGAGGCAGTCAACATAACGAGTACGGACCCGCATTTTATGCATGACGGCGGTGACGATGATTAAAGTTCGGTTGGGATCTTCAAGAGGATGCTTTCGTCGGGGAATCGGCACACGGTGCTGACGCGAGTCCATGTGGCGATAGATGATGTGGTCTTCACAGCAAACTAGAACACCAGATGGGCCATCGAAACGGTCGGAGGTTGCGACCTGGCCACCAGGAACTTGAACGAGCAGATTTGCACGTCTATCTGTCGGTTCGCTCCATTTACGGACAACGTGGTTAAGCCCCAGGTCGAGTTCGTAGTATGTCAGCATCTGGAAGGGTTGAATAATCGCGCCATAAATGCCCAACACTAAACCACACACCTTTTCTGTGTCTTTTGCTGCTTGTCCAGTATGATCCTGGTCCGCCTCGGTGTAATCAACTTCCAGTGCCGCAAACATTGGATTTTCAAAACCAACATCGAGACCAACGATGTGGTGGACAATCGTGTTGGCTTTGTGCGCCTCGAGAGGAGACGAAATAGTCAAGTTGGCGGCAGCGTCGCGGTTCAGAATATACACCAGCTTGGCCTTTTCCATTGCCGAAATCATGACAGCGCGTCCCTTTGGGTCAGTCGCCAGATATTGGCCAGGCACGATTCTCCTTGCTCCCGACTTCCCAAAAGTTTCTTGGTGCAGTTTCACAAAGCTGCTCGTTTTGGGGTCGTAGTCGAGTATAACGATACGGCCCGAGTCAGACCCCACTATTGCGTAGTCTGAGAAGACATAGATTAGAAAACAAGTAAAAACAGATACGCACACTGCGAAGCTCACCCTTCGTCCCGCCCGTCAACCTAAATGCAGCCAGCGACCTTATAGAGCCAAATACGTCCGTCGCGATGACAGTGGCGACCTTTCCTGTCTGAACATCTGGTCGCAACAACTCGAGACGCGTCCCATGAGAAAGGATGATTTCCTGCTGGCGCGCCCCAGAGAAATTCCCGACAATTGCATGGGAACCGGCTGATGGGGACTGGAGGGTGAGGTTGTAGAGATGCATGGGCTACGGCGAGCGTCAAGCACGTCGAGCAACAAGCGAGTCACAGGTTGTGTGACAGTGACACTAAACTCGGATGCGTACTCTGTGCGCACTCGCATATTTGCTTGTTGCGAATGCTACAGTGAAGTATGATCTAGACATTCCTAGAATGAACTATGCAACAAGAACAGCTCTGTATCGTACTTCGCCCTCCCGCAATAGCCGCATTCCCTCCTCAACTCCGGTCTTGTTCAGAGGGAACGTCTGAATCACTGGTTTGATCTCATTGCGTGCCGCAAATTCCAGCATACGTTTGTGAATAGCGCGGCTTGCTACCACAGACCCTTGAATGGTCAGTCCGCCCACGAGAATCGACAACATTGGAAATATGAGGTTGGATGTGTCAAAAGTGAGTAGGTAGATCGAGCCTTTCGGCTTTATGATAGAAAGGAAGCTATTTATGTATGAGCGCGGTCAAATCAAGGTGAAAAACAACGAACGGTGTCCAGTCAGGAATGAAGCTGGTTGTAACGAGGAGATGGTCGAGCGATTTAGCGCCTTCGAACCTCTCAACACTTTTGGTCGCATAGAACTCCTTGGCTCCCAGATGGAACGCTTCTTGACGTTTAGAATCCGTACTTGAAAAGACCACCACCTCTGCTCCCATCTTGGCCAAGAATTGAACAGCCATATGTCCCAGACCACCAAGAGCAATCACTCCAACTCGATCGGTAGGTCGTATGTTGAATTCTTCAATAACTTGGAAGACAGTTGCGCCACCACACATTAGAGGAGCAGCATATTCTGGCGCAAGACCAGCAGGGACTTTGAACAGGTAGGACTCGTCCCAGACTGCGTGCGAGCCGAAGGAGCCTTGGTGCAAGTTGCTGCGGCCATACATCTCAGCGCCGGCGCGACAGTAATTGTCTTGTCCTAGCGGAAGATTAACACGAATATCAGGCAAGCAAACGGTTAACCTTTGAGACAGTGTTCACAACGACCGCAAGTTTTGTGGATGTAGCCCCAGCCTACCACATCCCCAATGACGAGGTCAAGGACACTTTCGCCAGTCTGCTCGACAATCCCAACACCCTCGTGGCCAAGGACCATATCATCGTGTTTGCTGTTGCAGATGTGAATAAGGTCAGATAAAGTCAACCAGTACTCACTGGTGCTCGTCCGTACCGCAGATCCCGGAATGCGTTACTCGAACCAGTACTTGAGTACCTGTCGGTGTTTCCAGAACAGTCCTGCCTTGAACAATTCCGTTTTGCGAGCCTTTGAAGACGATGGCTTCGACAGTCATATTTAGTTGTCCGGAAGCCTGAAGGATGGAGAAAGAAGAAGCTTAGTTTGCTGCGTTTGTTGACGACTGATTCAGCTTTTATAGTCTCAGGGTTCCGGCCTGGCGATAATTGCGACAGTGTTGATTACATAGGTGCAACGAGTTTTGCCGGCTTGAATAAGCTGCTGAGCGTCCGACGCGAGCGGGCGACGTATGCAATAGTGTTGCGGTTGAATAACTCGATGCATGATTGAGGTTGAAAAACAACTGCGGTCACGACATGTGACCGCAGTACCGAACTTTAAACCAAAAACTATTCATGGGGAGTAATTATTCTATGCACATTAGATGGTGAATACTACCATACAATCTACATCGAGATTGGATTAAGCAACGAGAACTGCCCTGTATCGTACTTTGCCCTCCCGTAACAATTGCATTCCCTCCTCAACCCCACTTTTATTGAGAGGAAACCTCTGGATCATCGGCTTGATCTCATTCCTTGCTGCGAAGTCAAGCATGCGCTTGTGAATAGCGCGGCCGGCGACTGCAGACCCTTGGATGGTCAGTCCGCCCATGAGGATAGACATCATAGGGAAGACGAGGTTGGACGAGTCGACAGTAAGGGGGGTAAATCGCGCCTTTAGGCTTCATGAGAGCAAGGAATCTACTTGTGCGTCAGCATGGGGAGGCTATGATAGGAAACAACTAACGGTGCCCAGTCTGGAATAGAGCTGGTTGTTACAAGAAGATGATCCAGTGACTTGACGCCTTCGAACCTCTCAACACCTTTCGTCGCGTAGAACTCTTTAGCTCCAAGGTTAAGCGCTTCTTCGCGTTTGGCATCCGTACTTGAGAAAACGACCACCTCTGCGCCCATTTTCGCCAGGAATTGAACGGCCATGTGTCCTAAGCCACCGAGTGCAATGACCCCAACTCGATCGGTAGGTCGAATGTTGAAGTCTTCAATGACTTGGAAAACTGTTGCGCCACCGCACATGAGAGGAGCAGCATGCTCTGGTGCGAGGCCAGCAGGAACTTTGAATAGATAGGATTCGTCCCAGACTGCATGAGACCCGAAGGAGCCTTGGTGGAAGTTGTTGAGGCCATACATCTCGACGCCTGCTCGACAGTAATTGTCTTGTCCTAGTGAGAAATGAGGCAAAAGAAAAGCTTAGTACATGTTGACAAACCTTTCAGACACTGTTCACAGCGACCACAACTTTTGTGGATGTAACCCCACCCAACCACATCACCAACAGCGAGGTCGAGGACACCTTCACCGATCTGCTCGACAATGCCAACACCTTCGTGGCCTAGTACCATATCGGCGTGTTTACTATTGAAGATGTCAGGAAAACAACAAAGAAACTCGACTCCCACTTACTAGTGTTCGTCAGTGCCGCAAATTCCAGAGTGCGTTATTCGTACTAGCACTTGCGTGCCCGTCGGTGTTGCCAAAACAGATTTGCCTTGCACGATTCCAGTTTCCGAGCCCTTGAAAACGGTTGCTTCAACAGTCATGGCGTTGCTTGGAGGAAAAGAGGCTTGAGTAGCTGCGTTTGTTGTCAATGGCGACTCCTCGAATCATTCCGACTTTTATAGTCTGAGTGCTCGGCTTGCTGATCATGGATGATTTAAGTTTTCCCGGATTACAAGACTTGTCGATGACTAGGTATTGAGCTGAGCGACCGACGACGTATGCGATAGTGATGCGGTTGAGGAAGAACCTAGAAAGAGTTGTCATGTTGTGACGATCCTCTCGGTCGCCTCTCAGTCAGCGCCAATCAGCGCCAGTCAGCAGTTCCCCAAATAGCAACTTGAAAATCCTTGATTCGCCAGCTTTCTGACATGCTTTGTAAGTGACCGAGCTCAGAGACCTGTCTAGATCGCTTTTGACAAAATTCGGGCTGGTCTCGGGAGCTACTCATCCGGTTCCAAGATATCGCAGCGGTTACATTCTTACATTCCGCACCTCAAGTCGTTGAGGACGACACCATGTATTCCAATTTCCAAAGCTTCGCCCACAATTTGTACTGCCAGCCTGCCATGAAAACACTTCATTCATTCTACATAAGTCAGATCACTCCGCTTTTCTCTAATGCTCTTTTCCTGCCGCTCCTCCTGGGATGGTCTTTGTGGGGAATTCACGTCCATTGGAGAGAAAGAGGAGGTAGTGGCATAGGCTTGCTCAGGATCGCTCGAATCCGGATTGACTGCAAAACGGAGAGCACTGACGACAAGCGCTCGTTCTCGCAGCCGCCCATTGCTTGCAAATCCGTTCGGTCTTGTGTCGTTCACCATTTCCGAGGTAGGTATGGTCCCCAAAAATTCTGTGTCGTCCGCCGAAGTACGAGAACTGATAAGCAGCAAAAGTGCTGGTGCGTATGCTCCCTGAGAAAGTGAAATTATGGTTGATGGTATCACAGTAGCAACTTACCGCCAGTTGGATGTTAACCGGTACAAGCAGATCGTTCAGTGTTCCGTGTGGAAGCCGAATCAACTGTGAAATGATTCCAATAACCTTGCAACATTAAGTAGGTACAAGTAATAATGGAAGCCAGTACGTATACTCACTCCGGTCGAACAATATATTGTTCCAGACTCGAGTAATAGCAGCAAGACTTGGTTTACTTTCGTGGTTTTGCGTTTGAATGCGCGCTTAATGGTGTTTCGATGTCGCCACGCCTCGATGCCGATAAGTCCAGTTGCACTGAGGTTGGAGAGCAAGGAGGTGGTCATGTTGGATAGCTGCATTATGTCGATCGCTCGGGTGAGAATGGCATGACTGAGCCACCCCGGCTTGACAATGTCAATGGTGCGCAATGCAATGAGGCCACTGGTGGAAGCTTCCCGGAACAGATCAGCAGGGGTGCAAACACAATATGCTGAACTGCCGCACCAATTGTAAGCAGTAAGAATGTACTGGGAATCGATAGATAAACACGATGACTTCGTCTGCAGATGACCCATGCTCTCCATATGACGATCCCATCGCTGATGACAAACTAGAACATGTGGTTAATATGTCTCCAGAGGCGGGCAAATACAAACGTTGATAAGCACAATTGCGTTCCAGAGCGTGAACGGAACGGAGACTTGGGTAAAGAAAGTTGCCCATTGCGTATTGGCCGGATCGATATAGTTCTGGGTAGCTGCGACAACATCCGCCACCGTATACGCCCAATAAGCCGTGGAAATGCAGTACATGAAGAGACTGAGGGCACACAGAACTCTTGTCGACATTTTTTGAAGTCCCCGCTGTCTATTTTTTGTGCGTTGATTAGCGCGCATAATGAGAGCTCGATACTTACAAGAACAGGCGCGTTGCGAGCAGGATCAGCACAGAGTATCCACCAAAGAAGAAGGTCTGCACGGTCAAGCCGAAATTGTGATACATCATAGCTTGGCCCAATGCAAAACTTGTCCGACCATCTGCCATGTTGCCTGACTTGAATCAAGTTGAATGCCAGTGGATGAGAGACGAAGAGAAGGAAGGCCACCTCGTATGGTGGGTGGTGGTGGGATTTAATACCGCTTGATGACACTTTGGAGGTCAAGAATCACGATTCCTCGGTGCGGCGGTTAAAAAAAAGTCAAGCACGAATGAGCCTGGAAATACGATATCGCAAAGAAGTCTGGTCTTCAGCTTGATCTTTGATTGTGCTTCAGTCCGAGTCAACCAATTTTTCCCAATGAGCATACCATAATCAACTCACTCCTGACTGGGAGCACTCAAACTGCTTGCATAGACATGGTCAGCAATTTTCAGGTTCGATAAGGCTGCCTGCAGCCTAAACGATTCAGAACGATTCGGATTTGCAAAGTACTCGTGTATGACTGACCTCGAAACTCGATTCGTCGAAGCCGGTCGATCATGACAGTTCGGGAGGCAGAGGAAAGCAGATGCGCCACTTGCATTTCCCAGCGTCGTGGAATGGAGAGCTGAAAATAGGCGATCATGCAGAGCAGTGACGTGACTAACTTGAATTGACAATGAATCGGAGTAGGCAAACAGCTGACTAGCATTCAGGATTTCAAGGCTTCGCGCTTCCTAGCCTGTAGTACTAGTCTGAAGAGTAGAACTGAACAGGATGATCATGAGAAGGTTGAATTTCACGCCGCCTGTCACGGTCACCACTGTCACATCAACGAGAAGAGATCTTCTCAATCGCGAAGATCATGATGAAGCAGCCTGAGGCTCCGAGTGGTACTACTGGTAGATGCGCATGAGAGTTGATAGCTGCTGCTTGTGTAAAACAGTACAAAAACACTACAAAGCTGGTGGAGGTTGCGTCGTAAAGAGCAGTAAGCAAACTTTGTCACGTGTTGATGCCATCAAAACGTGAGCCGACCCAGGTTCGAACTGAGGACCGCCTGTGAACAACGCGCGAAAGAAGCAGCGAATGTTAGACAGAAGTGATAAGCCAACTACACCATCGGCCGCTGAAAACGAGCCTAAAAACGCTGGAATCGATGGAGAAAACGACGAGAAAACTCGAGCTCGGCAAGGTTGCGGCAAAAGCGTGACAAGAGTCACTCTGCGTGACGTGACCGACTCTATATCGATCCTCGATTATGCATGCGATTCAGGTGCGTTCCCATTAGCAGCAGCAGCAAACAGTTTGACTCAATTTTCTTACGTGCAGCAACATTACTGGTCTGTCCGGGAGTACCTCAGTCCTGTCAGACTATTCCCAACTCTCCATCGAGAGGTTTCTTACGCTTGCTATAGGTGCTGAAGGAAAGCAAATTCAAAGAGCATGGTCGGATTACTCCAGGTGCGTGTCGCTGTCTGGCTGGATCATTCTCAAATTTAACCGATCTGCAGAAGAGTTTGTGGCTGCCGGCGATTTTTTGGCATACAAGTTCCCTGTGTGGAGTTGGTTCGTTCATCCATTTACTGTCAACTATGCCAATCGAGCCACTGTCTAGGGAGGGCGGCGACTCATCGAAAGGGAAGGACTACCTTCCGAGCGACAAGCAGTACCTTGTTACGCGTGGCGTACCCTGTCTCCGTCGCGCCACTGCTTTAGCCTATACCGATGCTGATGAAGACGCCGAACGCCTACTTTCTTTTGGCGACTCTTCTACTGGCGCAGACGAATGGGTCGAGACACATGCTGGCCGGAAGATCAACACCGACGCAAATAACCCTGGTATGATTGACGATATTCCTGACCTGGATGGGGCACACGACGATGACGGAGGAGTCACACATGGAGTCGGGGCGCTTTCGCTGGGCAGTGGGGCGGCAGATGTGACGCCTGATATTGACGATATTCCGGATATGGAGGAGGAAGGGCTAGAAGAGGAGGATGATGCCGCTGCTGCCCCACCAGCCGTCGAGTCAACGTACGTGACATTATTCTCAATTCTCTCTCTCTTATTTGTTTTTTTCCCGCTAGCCAAATCGAGGTGGCCAACGGCAATCTGCTTCAAGTGCGAACTTACGATGTCATGATCACTTACGACAAATACTACCAAACTCCCCGTATCTGGCTGATTGGGTATGATGAGGTGCGTCGTGGCTATCGCGTGGAATATCGAGTGATTCTGATGTGCCAAAAGAACCGAACACCACTGACTCCGCCGCAAATCTTCCAAGACGTTTCTGCAGACCATGCATTCAAGACCGTCACCATCGAGCCCTTCCCACATTCTTCGTCGTTACAGGCCGCATCGGTTCACCCCTGCAAACACGCCAGCGTGATGAAAAAGGTCATCGAGCGAATGAACAACAGTGTGGTCGAAGAGCAACTTGCCCAGCGCAACAAGTCAGCGGCCAAAGACAAGGACGGAGGCAAGAAGAAGTGGTTCGGACGCAAGACCAGCGGGAGTGGTAAAGACATGGCTCCAACAGAGGAAGAGGAGGTCGAGGGAATGCGAGTGGACTTTTACCTCATCGTTTTCCTCAAGTTCATCGCTTCAATTGTGCCCACTATTGAGGTCGATTCAACCACCTCAATGTGAACAATCGGAATATATACCCACCAACACTCCAAGTTGTATCTGTACAAACTTAGAAACTACGATGTATGCCTTTTTTTTTTGTCAAGAAACCTCCGTCGAGGACTTGGATTTTTTCTTGTCCTTTTTCCGTATTGGGGCTTGGTCGACAACCTCTCCATCCAGATCTTTCTTCCTCTTTGACTTCTTCTGAGTTCCCGTCTCGTTCTCGTCCTGGTTCTTGGGCTTTTCGTCAGCCACAACATCGCTCTGCTTCCCCGCCGCCTCTTGTTGAGCCTTCAACTCTTTCTTCCGTCGCTTCTTCTCCGCTTTTTCGTCTACCGCGGATACGTCTGCGGACGGCTCTGTTGACTTTTGCTTCTTTTGTTTTGATTTCTTTTCGGTGGGCTCAACGACAACAGCAGTAGTCTCAGCCTCTTCGCGTTTCCGCTTTTTAGATGATTTTTTCGAGACATCGGGATCTGCCGCCACCTGCCACCAAAAAAATCAGTTGAGAACATCCAAAAAATAAGATCAAGTTATACCGTCGTTGTTTCCGGCTCCGCTTTCCGTTTCTTGGACTTTTTCGTAGGTTCAGAAGCAGGCTGTGAGTACAGTATTAATGTGGGACTTGGGGAAGCAAGGAAATCATACCGTCGCATCTATAACTGCATCTTCAGCCGCTGATTCGTCGTGTTTCCGTTTCTTGGACGACTTTTTTGTAGGTTGTGATTCGGCCTGCCCGTGAAGTATTAGCGAATCGCGTCATATTGCGAGAAAAACACGGACCACAGTTGAAGGCGCGCTTTCAGCCGCTTTCTCTTTCTTTTCCTTCCGTCTTTCTTCCTTCTCTTTTTTCGACTTCTCTTTCTTCTCCTTCTTGCTTTCTACCTCCACGCTGGCCTGAGCTTTTGGGTCCGCTACAGCTGCTGCGGCGGCTGCCTCTGGTCCAGGCACGGTCACGGGCGACATTCGATTGGGTGTCCCCAACGGGGTTTCGTTCCCGCCTGTCGCAGGCGAGCGATTCCACCTATTGTTATTATTTCCATACCCTCCCCTTCCCCTCCCTCCATACCCGCCCCTGCCGTTGTTGTTTTGCCAGCTGTTGTTGTTGTTGCCATAACCCGCGGTCTGCTTCCAGATCAGCACAAAAGTAAAGATGGACAGGATATATTCACCCTGGGTCCGCGATAGACGCTCTTCTCGTACTTCTCTGCCTCGCTGATGCAGGAAGTATGCCCGCGGAACTCGGCGGGGCTGTGGAACGACTTGGAGCAGTCGATGCAGTCAAAGCCAGAGTAACATTTGTTGTAATGGGCCTCGAGCTTGGGTTTCTTGACCGTGTCTTGGCAGGCATGGCAGCTGGGGAGGAACAAATGAGGCGCGGATGCGTAGACGAGATGTAAGGACCATACGAGAAGGAGACCATAATCGGTCCGGCCAAGAAAAAAAAGTTGGAATGTTTGATGGCTGATCTCGACTTTTCACTTTCGCAGTCACCGCTCCAGGGTGAAGAGAAAAACTCGTGAATGTGATCAGTACGAACAGTACTCTACAGCACAGCTACTATTACAGCCTTAACCCATGATAAGTCAGTTTACTTCCAGTTTCAATCCATCTGCTCCAAATCCAGTCACCCAAACTTGACGACCCAAGTCTCGGCGCACGCTTCCGCTCCTGGCAATAGTCGAACCTCCGTGAACTCCTCCATCCTATCGAGACCCTTGCAGACTGTGTTGCTCCCCAACCAGTCAATGCGCTTCAGCATTGTATCACTATCGCTCTCGATTCGTTTCTTCCACGCCTTCTCGATTGTTTCACGCTGTTTCTTATCCATGACGATGATACCCCACTCCGAGTCTGCGATGTGTTCTTGGAGCTGTCCACCTGATCAATGGCTTTCCTCTCTGTCTTTTTTTGTAACTCACCCCAGCATGGAGGGCGTCCCACACCGCCTCGCACGTTACCGGCGTGCTACTCATGATATCTATGGACCACGGGAAAGCCTTGCTTATCAGCCGTATATGGCTTGCGCTGCTCGCTGTCGCAAACAGCATTCTGTTTGGCGCGTAGATGTGTGCCGGGACATCGGCCCGGGCCTTCTTCCGCACATCGTATCGGATTTGGGTCGTGTCTGATGCCAGCACTGGATTGAGAGTAGGGTACTTCGTGGAGAATCCTGCTCAATATGTCAATTCGGGAGGTATAGAGTGGTCAGAGTGGACAAGTTACCTGCGTTAGTGGCAGTTGGCGGAGCCCAGCCCGCTTGACCCCAATAGCCCGGCTGGGCCGCATACGGCTGCTGGGGAGGGGGACCGAACTGTGGGGGTGGGTAGTAGCCACCCCATGGATTCGCGTTTGGTGTCGCCCAGCCCGGATTCATCGTAGTCGCTACCGGTTCACTTGAGGCAATACCAGAGATGGAGAAAGAACGGAAGAGAGGTCGAAATAGGGCGCCCGAGTCAGACGCCCAAGCGTCTGCCGTGAGAACAGATGACTCTTGCTGACTCTTTCCAGACCAACCGCAAGAACGCGACAAGATGAGATTGGAGAGATAGCGGGCACTGATGACGTGATGGCGAAACGCGCTCATGTGAGGCTTCAAATTTCTTAGACACGTCCAGCTACATGTTCAAAAAGGACTGTCGATCTGAGAGGATATTATTCACAACAGCATCTGGATCCCAAACTGCATCATCGGCATTCCATAAGTGTGAAGCGTGTTTGCAAAGGAATGGCCCATAGACAACAACGCCGAGCTCCAAGGCCGCGGAAGAAGTTGTTGGGTTCAGTTCGCTCTGATCTCCGGCACGGCAATTTTTTTTCCAAGGGTTGTCAGTCGCCGCACGAAAGCTCTAATTGAAGATACTACTAAGTAGTTCGCAATCAAGTCATTATATGGCCAACTTGCATAAAGCAAAAGATAATCAACGTCAGCTCCCAATCCTCAATTGGGCTATTCAGTGGAAGAAGTTTGGCGGCAGTAGCTGATAAGATGCCGTACGAATCTGCCACAAGCAGGGGCTCCTGCTTGTTGCGAAAGAAGAATCGATTTTTCCTGTGGAAAGGCGAGGCGGCCAAGCGACAGGGCACATATAAAAGCATGGGTCATGCATGCTAGAGAACCCCACACCCACCCACGATGCCCATCGATTACACCGTCTACAAAGGCTCAGCAAACGGCGTTGAAGAGGCCACCGTCCATGCTGACGCCCTCACACCTCGTCAGGTCCTCGTCAAGATCACCCATGCGGGAATATGCGGGACCGATGAACACTATAAGCAAGCGCCCATTGGAATGGGCCACGAGGGAGTTGGCACGGTACAGGAAATCGGAAAGGACGTGACCGAATTCAAAGTCGGCGATGTCGTCAGCTGGGGTTTCCTCCACAAAACTTGTGGGCGTTGTGAGCAATGTGCTGCTGGTGAGTGGTCACGTTTCTTGGATTCCTCGACGTTGAAGAGTGTGGATAGGGTACGATGCTTATTGCGTAACCCGAGAAATGTGAGTTGATTGTCGCAGTTGTTGGAAGTGAGCTGAGACAGATCCAGTCATGGCCAAAACGACGGCCACCAAGGCGCTTTTGGCTCACACGCAATCTGGGATGCATCGATCTTGTTCCTTGTTCCGGCTGGGCTTGCGCCAGAAGAGGCTGCACCACTCATGTGTGGTGGCGCCACCGTTTTCGAGACCATCGAAGAGTCAAATATCAGGGCGACTGAACGCGTTGGAGTTGTTGGTGGGTATTATGTTCTCTGCGGTGATTTATCTGACTTGTCGAACAGGCATTGGTGGTCTGGGTCACTTGGCAATCCAATATCTGTCGAAGATGGGTGTGGCCGTCGTCGCGTTCTCCACCACAGAGTCCAAACGGGAGGAAGCACTACAGCTTGGTGCATCGGAGTTTGTCGTAGCGAAAGAAGGCAGCGAAGAGCTCAAAAAAATAGCGCCAGTCAACCACCTGCTCGTCACTAGCAACGTTGTGCCCGACTGGAACCTGTTGAGTCGCTTTTCAGCTCGAAAGCCACACACTCACGATATGCAATCAGATACCTCGGTCTCCTCAAACCACGCGCAACAATCCATCTCCTCACCATCGACTTTGGCTCATTCTCTGTGCCTGCATTCCCGCTGGTCGTCTTCGGTCTGAATCTGAAAGGCTCTGCCATCGCCGGCCGGAAAAACACACAAAAAGCCCTCGACTTTGCTGCTCGTCACGGTGTCAAGCCTGTCGTCCAAAAGTTCCCCATGACCAAAGCTGGAGTGGAGGAGGGTATGGCGAAACTGCGGGAGGGAAAAGTCCGTTATCGTGGCGTGCTAGTTGCTTGATATGTTGATATGTACGAATACATTTGTCGTCGTCGCAGAACACAGAAAGTTGTAAAATCACGAGATCATTTGTTTCTTGACTTCAACGGCCACATTGAGGCATGCTAGTGGATGCTTGCTCGTTGGACTCTTCGCACGTGTGCCAGATGGTACAACTCGCTAGCCCTGCAGCCAACAGATCTGCTGGATAAATACCATGGACTAGTCAAAGGAAGGCAGATTCAGTACGACGAGGACCAGATTCGCGTGGTGATGCAGGTGCTTCCCACTGAAGTACATCGCTATAAAACAATAACAATATGTTTCAGCTCCGCAGACTGCAGCAAGAGCTGGTGGATTACACTCCTATGGTAGCTCCTCGCCTTCTTGAGAATCCTCAAACATCTTCTGCATGGTACTCCGACGAGAGCGCTTCAACGCAATCCGCCATAGTTTCCCTTAAAAGCCATGTCGAAGAACTAGCCAATCTCGAGACGCCCAAGGTCTTCACTCCGTCTCTCAACTGCATTCACCTGACTACTGTTCCAGGGCATGCTATTGACCGGCCCACCGGGTTGTGGGAAGAGTTTTCTGATAGACCTCTGGCTTTCAGGTTTATCCACTCCATACAAGACACGAAAGCACTACAACCAGCTTGTGCTTGAAATATATCGGGGAGTGTGGCAGGAAACGCAACGTCGAATGCAAACTCCATCCACCTACGGAAACAGCGAAAGAAGTACTTGGGATCGGTCAGTCCGCGAGAGATGGCGTCGACTCGTCCGAGCTGGGGGTCTTCCCAAGATATGGCCTCGCATGACGAGTTTGCCTGTGACATCCAACCCGACCATCGCATTTTCTGTCGCCCAAAAGCTAGTTCTTCGCCATTGGCTTCTCGTATTCGACGAAATACAGCTGCTCGATATTTCTAGTGCTACACTTCTTGCAGATGTGCTTTCGTGGTTCTGGCGGATGGGTGGAGTCATTGTAGGAACGTCGAACAAAGTCCCGGATGATATCTACAAGCATGGTGTGCAGAGAGAACGACTCGAGCCTTTTGTTGAGGCTTTGAAGGTCCGCTGTCCTGTGTTGACTATGCGGAGTGAACAAGATTGGCGGAGACGGACTTATCATCCAGCCCAGAAACTTGGGTATTGGTTGCTGGAAGGACAGGAATCCGAGCTCGACAGGCTTCTACAAGGAGAGACGTATAACTCGGGAGAATACGGAAAGACCCTCAACGTTTTCGGAAGAACGCTCGAAATTCCTTGGTCGTCCGGTGGCAAAGCCAAATTCACTTTCAACCAATTATGTAAAGAAACCCTTGGACCTGCAGACTACCTCACCATTGCTGGCAACTTCCACACTATCGCTCTAACACACCTTCCGGCATTGCCGCTCTCAGCCAAAAATCAAGCACGCAGGTTCATATCGTTAATCGACGCACTCTATGAGGCGCGTTGCCGGCTTATTTGTCTCGCAGAAGCGTCTCCTGAAGATATATTTTTCCCCGATGCGCTTTTGGACGAAGAAGCAAGCAACATTGATATTTTGCATGCTGAATCTGTGAGCGAAACCACGGACGGATACCGCCCAAATGTCTCTTCCTATGATGCCCCTTCAATGCAACATCCACATAAAATTTCAGAGGAGACAAATTCGTCATTGTCTCTTGAAACACTCTCGATTTTCTCCGGTTCGCCCCCCAACTTTTTGCTCGTCCTTATTTCTGATGATATCAATATAGGTCAAGAAGAGCAATTTGCCTTCAAACGTGCTCTTTCGCGCTTGATCGAGATGACTGGTGCAGAATATTGGCGTTCTGCGCAATGGTCACCGTTGGCTGTCACGGATCGCGCTTGGGAGGGACGTGGTCACGGATCGACACCAGCAAGAAATCGGTCATCAACAGCCATACAAAACGACGATGATTTTGCCTCGGAAGCAAATTATGCAGATGTCGCGGCAAGTAGATTGATGCGGCCCGAAGCTCCTCGATTGAAGGAGGAGCATATGTGGGGTGTTCGGGACGACTGGGGTGATGGTGCGAAGAGTTGGGGTAGAGGAGTCAAGGCGTATGAGCGAAAGCAACAGTAAAGGTTTCTTTCCTCTTTCGCGCGCCATAATATAGGCCAAGTTATTTTGAGTTGCCAACAGCACGCATGGAAGGCATCATGGGACTAAGAATAGCGTCTCTTTAAGAGCAAAGCATCTTCTGCCTCTCCTGATGCTCGTCTGCTAGAACCACAATGGCCAGCGACCTCTCGTGGGCTGCTCAAGGTCAACATACTTTGTACATTGACTACACGATGCTTTTGGGGAGCTTGACGTTTGGTGAATATCCATTTTGTCCTTTCTGTTGTGTGTTGATGTTTCCCCCTCAGGTGGATATACTGCCCTAATCTCCGTTTCAACACACATTCTTCTCCGACGAGGCCTCAGAAGCACGTCTTCAAAGGTCCTCTTTTGGCTCGGAATATTCATTATCTTCCCTCTGCGCTTCATACTTGTTTTTTGTTAACGGTACTTACCCACCTGGCAGGCGCCATCGACAAGCTGTCAAGGCAGCACTCGGAGGAAAGACCAAAGCCATGAAAGCTCTTCTACTGCTTTTCGAATCTGGCCTGATATATTCCTTCCTTGTGGTGAGCTCCTCCTCTTCAAAGTTTGGCAAGCAATTGCAACTTGTTTTCGGAAGATATTCGCCGTAGCAGCCCAGTTTGTGCGTTTACCCTACGGAACGCTCTGCGATTTGTGCCTTCCTATCCTCGTACATCTTGCGGTACGTGGACCGGAATGAATTACCATCCTCTGAATGTGATTCTTGCTAGGGAGCATACGCGCGGCATTATTGCTTGTCCTTGGGTCAAACAAACAGGGAGGTGATTCGGAGATGGTGCTTGGGTCGATGCGTTTACCAGTGTCAATGTCCGTCACGGTAGCTGTTGTGTCTGAAGCAGAGGCCATGGCGCCTGGCAATGTTGAGAATTAAAGCTATTGGATGTTTAACTGCGAAATGAAATTGATGCAGTCTTGATGTCCCATCGTGATGGCCTTCAATCTTCTCTAGTGATTTACCCATAGAATCAGCTTGAAGGGTCCTAGATCAATGATCCAAATCGTATCCGACTCGTCCCGGTATCAACTCCACCGGGCGATGCAGATAAGAACACTGCGCTACTACCTATTGGCCTCTCCATATACCCTGTCTGTGCTATAGTTATCCTTCTGTAACACACTCAGAGTTCTTTGACAGATATCGACGCCACCCAACTTGAAGAGACGATATTAAGGCTCACTGCCCCCCCGACTATGGCCGGCATTCCTCTTTCTTCTCCCCATCCTCTTTGGTGTTGTTCTTCTTCGAGTAGCGCACCATGGCTTCGACGCGCACCGCGTTTCAGCTCGGGCAGGCCATGATGTACCATAATTTTGGATTGACTGTGCAAACCTTTTTCTTTGGCGGGTACTCTGTTTTGATTTTGCTTGCGACACGGCTCTTCTTGTGAGTATTGCCCCATGGACGAACCTGCTTACCGACAAATATCAGACAACGCGGCCTCAAGACGCTGTCGACGAGGGTTCTGCTTGCCCTCAGTCTCTTCATGTACATTGTCTCTACTGCGTTCTGGGCTTATACGGTCGCGGACGTCGTTGCTGCTACCCAGAACTACATCGATCCGACAAACGTCCAATGGGCCAACTTCTTCACCCAAGTTTCCGTTCCGTTCACACTTTGGAATGCGATTGTTCTTGTCAACGTCCGTCTTTCATTCACCTCCTCTCTCGCCGCATGCTGAAATTCATCCTAGTTCGTCGTCAGCGACGGGATTGTCATATGGAGGGCATGGGTGATTTGCAGGAGAAGTCATCGTGTCTATCTCTTGATTCCGACTGCGTTCTTGCTTTTGACTGCTGGTGAGTTATTCTACGATCCTCGACGCATCATACTCATATGCATCACAAAGCTTCCACCAGTGGCCTCATTTCACTCAGAGCAATTGACATCGTCAAGCCAGGATGGATTAGTCGAAAGCCTTTCACTCGGGCAATCGATGTCATGCAGCTGTCGAACATGACCACTTCTCTTCTATCTAATCTCACTGCAACGGGCCTGATTGGCATTGAAGCATGGCGACACCGCAAGACGATCAGGCGCGCCTTCCAACGAAAGACTACGAAAGTCAACCAAGTCCTATTATTGTTGCTCGAATCTGGGACTCTATACTGTTCGACTGGGGTAAGAGTAGTCGGTTTTCCGCGATCTACTTCCTGAATATAAGACAAAAGGTCATTGGCATCATATCACAGTTGATTCGTCTTCCCCATGGAACTTTGAACGATCTGCTTGTTCCGGTCAACATTCAACTTGCTGTCAGTCTTTTTTCCGACTTGGGTTGTTCGCATCCTAATGTGTCTTTAGGGAGCTTACGCACCCGCATTACTACTGCTGATCAGCAGTCATAGTACTGCTGACGAAACAGAGTTCCTGGGGACTTCCATTGCGGTGAACGTTGTCACCCATCCAGGCCCACGAAATGATGTGAGTGTTGTTGGGCGGCGCCGAGAGAGACCGCCAGTGCTGAGTGCAATTCATTTTGCAGTCGGCACTGGCTCAGAGGGGCTGGGGCTCCATGAAACGTTCTCGACGTTTTCGCTGTCCGATGATGGCTCTCCGAGGCATAGTCCTTCGCGAGCATTGTCTGGCAATGAGGAGAAGGTGACCAAGCCACCGGGTGACTTGCATTATGTATAACCATATCACTTGTACTTTTCTGTATCGACTTTGGGAGAGTCACCAGGACTGTTGTTGGTGGTGGTGCCTTTTCCAACTTGAAAGATGCATATCCGAATCAGGCTTCATTGATAATGATGCTCTGCTACCAAGCTGGCTCAGGAGGGGGTGCTGATAAGGCGGAAGCGTCTGAGTTGCAGGTGACGGGAGAAGAGCAGGATGCTTATTCGGGGCAGCAGGTGTTGGTGGAGGCACAGACGCAGAGGATGCGATAACGCGCGGGCTCGGGGAGCTGACACTCGGAGAATTTAGAAGGGATAGAATGGACGAGCAGGATGCTGGCTCTCAGCTCGCTGTCAGCAGAAGCTAGTGAGAGGGAGGACATAACGAGTCAGGTTTCTCTTGGTCTTCCTCTATCGTTGGAAGCTCACGGTTAGAGTTTAGGGGCTCGTGACACAAAGTCAGCAAGTTGGAAGAACATGTTGTCGAACAGTTGAGTTACAGTGTTGTTCAACCTTCTCAGCAGTGTCAACACCCTTGCGCTCAATTGATGGCACGAGTCTATCAGAATCGCCGGAAATCCGACTTGACCACCTTGGTTACTAACTTACTGGTTGCTAGAAGTCGTACGCGGTGATATGGGCTGACGAGTAGGAAGGGAAACCGTGTCCATAGGCAGTGGCCGGAATCTAGCGGCGGATAGTTGTTGTAATTTCTTGCGGGCAGTCCGGTCTTGTTTCCTGTGCTCACGGAACACAGAGGCTGCTGGGTTGGCAGGAGTGGGGGTGCAAGGACAGAATGCATGACGGTTGTTTCTTGCTCGACGGGATTGGCGGTTGGATGGACGCGGGTGGCAAGAATCAAGACCTGGATTGCCAGTGCGTTCAGAGTAAGTGTGAAATATTGAATTCAAGGGAGATAGCGAGTCACGTTTTGCATCTTACCTCTTGCAACCATCATCTCGGCGCACTGCGTCTAATAAGTACTCAGGAATTCAACAAATGTCAGCTTCGGGATGCATACCACCAACGTGAAATACGCAGTAGGTCTTGTTCGACCTGACTTAGACTATCTTTACTGGAGACGATTCCCGTCCACCAGTGGCGAACTTCGTCAGTTATTTCCGCAGTGATGTCAGTACACCTTGCTGGCGAGCCCACTGGCAAGGCCCGCGGCTCACCAAGATTCGGGAATTGTATCTAGATCAGCACCCATGGCTGTTTCCCATCCAATGCAGTACAATAATACCGTGACTTTAAGAGCTTGGTCCGCTCTTGGTTGCCATTGCGCGCCGCCGTGCCTGCCTACCACCTTCATCTGCTTCCTGGTCGAAGCTCTAGTTCTTTTGCACTTGTTTATGCCCACTTCAGCTGCTCAAATTCGCGATGGCCAAACAGTCCTCTATTATGCGGTGACGCTGATACCGCAAACCTTATGCTTGGGTACGAGGCTGATTTCATGATTTCAGCTCCTTTTCTGACGCTGGAAGGTGGATATACTGCATTAATTGTGTTTTCATCAAGGGCCCTCTTGTAAGGCCAGCTCTCTTCGTGAATTGACGAGCTAATCCGCACTGCAGGAAGCGTGGGTTGAATACTCAGGCGACAAAAACACTCTTTTGGCTCAGCATCTTCATGTACACCATGTCGCTCGCTTATTGGTCGTTCTCGGTCATCGACTTTGTTGCTCGAATGCAGTTCTTCATTGACCCTGAGAACCCGACGTATGCTAGCCTTTTCAACGGAGTTGCAATACCGTTCAATCTTTTCAACGCGCTTGTGCTCATTAACGTGTGTTCATAATCACCAAGCTGACATCAACGCTGAAATCCCCTACTAGTTTTCGATCACAGACGGCATCGTTGTTTGGAGAGCGTCCGTTATCTGTCCCCGAACACAACTGCATCGGAGACTCCTCTGGATTCCCACGCTGTTCCTGCTGCTCACTACTGGTATGTTGCGCAATGGATGTTCAACGAAAGCTGACTGAAGTCGTAGTTTTTGCATCCATCCTCATCGTTTTGAGATTCATCGCGATGTTCTCTACCGAGTTGGTACACCGACCTTTCTTCACTCCTATGGTCGACACGTTGCAATTTTTCTCCGTCATCACCTCACTGTTCTCCAACCTCAGTGCGACAACTCTCATTGGTGCAACCGCTTGGTAGGCATGTGCGTGAGATTAGTTTTAATCGCTCATATTTACCAACAGGCGGCATCGTCAGCGAATAAGATTCGCTTTTCACCAGAGGTCAAAAGCAGAGCACACTCTTATGCTCTTACTTGAATCCGGGTTATTGTATTGTGCTACCGCGGTATGTTGCTTTTTCGCATTCTGCTCTAGCCTTGACCTGGCCCCAGGTGTTTGTTGTTGCCGCCCTGTTCATCCGGCTCCCTCACGGAACCCTCGGCGATATCTACTTGCCAGTCACAGTTCAACTCGCGGTTTGTGTTTGGCCTGTTGTTGAGTGAATGCTGAGCGAACGAAAAACAGGGGGCCTACGCGCCAGCGATATCGCTTCTGATTCTGAGGAATAGAACCTTGAACGAGACAGAGTTTCTCGGCACGGAAACCAAGCTGAATGTCGACGCGGAAGCAAGAGGCCAATTCAGTGGTCCAATCCAGTTCGCCAACTTGAATTCAAGCTCAATTGCGACGTCGAGCAGTCCATCGTAAATCTGTGCCGTAGCAAAGAAGAGTTGGCCAGCAGTGTAAAATCTGTACATTAGACACAAGGACACATAATCATATACGGCCCTGTAACACCAGAAAGTGACTTGATTCCCGTGCAAACACTTGGTGGTTGCACAACACACGTTGTCACGACGTGACCATTCTCACTTTCCATGTCTCAAGTTTGGAACCTCCAGCGCTCCAACAATGACCCCAACTGCAGACCCTAGTATGTTCTCTGTGACATAAAAGGCCTCCAGGCGGGATCGGCAGCAAAATCAGGGACTCTCAACAACCCAACAAAAACGATGTCTGTCGAAGCAACCGTCTTCAGAGGCTCGCGAGACGAAGGAATTGTACAGGGTACGACTGTTTTGGAAGCACCGACCGGAGCCCAGGTGCTGGTTCGAATAACGCATTCTGGTATCTGCGGTACGGATGAGCACTAGTGAGTGCTCCTTGGATTTATGGTGTTTTCCTGACATTTGCGACAGCAAACACAAGAATATGGTGCTCGGCCACGAAGGCGTCGGTATTGTTGAGCAAATAGGGCAAGGTGTCCTTGAACTTGCGGTCGGCGATGTGGTGGGCTGGGGTTTCATCCACAAAACGTGCGGTCGTTGTGAACAGTGTCTTACAGGTTTTTTTTCTCTGCCGTTTTAGTTATTCTCCCTACTAATCCAATATCCCACTAGGGCAAGACAACTACTGTAGAGCCGGTGTCGAGATGTATGGCCGGAGCAACTTCCACCAAGGCTCTTTTGGCTCGCACGCAGTCTGGGACGAATCGTACGTGTTCAAAGTCCCCGCCGGTCTTGCCCCGGAATATGCTGCGCCGCTTATGTGTGGTGGCGCAACGGTGTTCCAGGTCATCGAGGACTTCAACATCCGACCTACCGATCGAGTGGGAGTTATTGCGCTCGGTGGTCTGGGCCATATGGCCGTTCAATTCCTGGCCAAGATGGGGGCAGACGTCGTCGTTTTCTCGAGCACGGATGCCAAACGCGAAGAAGCATTTGGGCTGGGGGCCAAGGAGTTCTATGCGACGAAAGGTGTGGAGAAGTTCGAGGGAATGAAGCCGTTGGACCATCTCCTGGTAACAACCAGCTTCATTCCAGACTGGAAACCGTCAGTCATTTCTCATTTAGACTACAGCCTCTTTTCACGCTTAACAGATATATTGCCATCATGAAGCCCAAAGGTGCAATATACCCGCTCACAGTCGACTCCTCCAATCTCGTCTTGCCTATGATCCCCGTCCTCATGGGCGGATTGACCATACAAGGCTCTCTCGTCGCTGGCCGGGCTATCCACAAACGAATGCTCGATTTTGCTGCACGGAACGACATCAGACCAATGATCCAGAAGTTCCCTTTCACCAAGGCTGGGATTGAGGAGGGAATGCAAATGTTGCGGGAGGGAAAGGTTCGGTACAGAGCAGTCCTTGTTGCCTATAAGGCAGCTCTTTAAAAAAAAATATATAAACGACTCACCGGTTCGGCAATCTCTATACCCGAATCTTGAAAAAATGGGATCATTGGCGCATGTCTATATGTGGACGTATCTCCGTATGGACATGCGCCATAGCCAATGAAAATCAAAGAAGATAAGATGCTGATAAGATTTGAGTTGTTGATGGATTATCAATTATAGAAAATACACATTATTACAACAAAGTAACCCCACAAGAGACCTATGTATCGCCAACCCACCGAAACATGCAATCGTTGGGACGACTCGTCACCAATTCACCAGCGCCAGCCGCCCTTCATCGAGGCTTATTCCCGAAACCAGCTCATCTCAGTGAAGAAGCAGTGCTGCAGATGCTTCTCCCCCAAGCGATCCCATGGAATCAGAGAAATAGCGACAACGTTGGGTGACACACGCGCCGCCCATTTGTAACAGCCCACAAGGGCGGAAACGTCCGGTGCATGTCATCGCTCCCCGAAAAGCGGTCTCAGGACAACAATCCAAAGCAAGCAAGAGCACAGCACAGATGTGGGATGACAATGATGGAACACATCATTGGCGGCACTCGCCCCACATTTGTGCTGTGCTGTCAAGCCACCCCAGAAAGAGCTCGAAACCAATCGTGGAGCGGCGCAACAACGCGCGATAGTCTCAATGTCTACCAAACACTGCAAAGCTGCTCCTCTCGGGCCACAAGGGGTGCAGAACTTGTCCCCCAAGAGCAGCAGCATCACATTGTTTGGGACATCGAGATTTCGTTTGTCGTGCGGTCGTGGGTTTCCGTGACGGGCCACATATTGTTGGGTAACTGCAAATGCACATATTAGAAAAAAGAAATTAGGATACTTACCCCCCTCGTCCCTGGCCCTAATCGCGGCGTTGGGAGTCCTGCGCCCATCCCGATGCGCAATACCGTTGGCCTCCAGAGGGGTCGGTGAGTAACACGTGCTTGAGCGGCGGTGGAATGGTGAGAGGCGGGAGCGACTGCTTAGAGGCAGCGTGGGTGGCCGGGAGGCTAACACAGCTAAGTCAACAGAGGAATAGAGTAAGAAAAGAAGCGCACGACGAGGGGGGCGTGCTCTCCGGTGACGTCAGGTCCGTAGAAGCCGACGACGACACGTCATCTGAGTCAGATTCCGAGGATTCCGACAAGAGATCGGCAAGAGAAGGGAATCCGTCCGTGTTGGGAAGCCTGACGATATGGTTCAGGGACGAGTTACATAATGACATATAAAGAGGCTTACACCGAGGGCGGATCGTCCGAGAAGTCCCGCAGGAGCTCAGCCAGCGGAGGCAACGAGTCGGTATTGGGAAGCCTAGCATTTGAATCAGTATTGAGAACCCTGTTGAATTGAAGAGACATACGACGGGATGGACTCCAGACCAACTAGTTGGGAGAAAAACGATGAAGGCACGACTGTGTCGGGTGGAGGCCTATCGAATGTTGAGTTAGTGCTGTTGGAGGTAACGAGGTAAAAGGTGCATACGAAGGAAGTCGCGGGGTCGTAGTAAATTTTGGTCCGGGCGTTGGCCAGATGAATACTCGCGAGTCGAGAAGGCTGAGCAGAGATAAGTCAAGAGAATTGGCGACAACAATGTACTCACGGCAACAACGGCGTTGCGGGCTGGGGATCGACAGATCGCCGAAGCGCCTCCAAGGAAGCAGATGCATAAATGTCACGAGTACGAAGAGGCGGCAGCAGGGGCGAGGCTGTGTGCGGAGTTGAGACCTCTATCTCCGGTAAACTCTCCAAAGCTTGCCCAAGTGAGGGCAGCAACTGGCGAGGGACGGTCTTGCGTATGAGTGATGGTGGGAGAGACGAAGAATCGCAGCCTACAACAATACGATCAGGAGCTCAACCAAGTCTTGGGATAAATACTCACTCTTGGTCATCCCCAATGCCGCAAGGACAACATCTGCCGAAGACTGTGGCCCGACCATGGAAGCAATGGAGAAAACTTCGATGGGCAGCACCATTTCACGCATGCAGGCTAGGGATGGGCGGAGAATGGGCGAAATGGAGAAACACCTTCTAAAGAAACTCGCTGCGACAGGCGACAGCAGATGCTCGTCCTGAAGAAAGGTGTCAGGGTCGACACGAAAAGCTGCGTAGCGGGGGTCGTCCATGTGTGCACGAGTCCAGGGCACTTCTCCGGTGATGAGAACAAAGAGAAGAACTGCAAGAGCCCACAGGTCAGCACCCTGAGCGGAGTGGGACAGAGCCAGTCCGCTGGTCGCCTCAGGAGTCAGATAGGCAGCCTCTCCTCGACCAAGACATGCGTTTGGCTCCTCCGTGGCAAGACCAAAGTCAGTCAGTCGGATATTGAGGCCGTTTGTGTCACATAGGACATTTGCCGGGCGGATATCACAGTGAAAGACTTGCGCGGAGTGACAGGCCTCAATTGCGTCAAGAAGTTCGCAGAAAGAGCGGTTGATGACCATGAATCGGTCGGAGAAGTGGTTGATATCGAGGATTAGACGCTCGAAATTTGTTGGGACAAACTCGAGCACCAGAAAAACGAGCTCGTCGTTGGTACCAGGTGCCTCGGTGAAAACACGAGAGAAAGATGCGACACCAGGCAGGTCGGCAACACGGGCATGTAAATAAATCTCGCTTCGCAACTCCTCGAATCTCTCGGCGTCAGAATCGACTCGGCGCATGCACTTGATGGCGCATGGTGGCAGGTCGGGATCGGTGATTGATACAGCCTTATAGACTCTGGAGAACCTCCCGATGTCGAGGAGCTCGGTTAAGCGAAAGAAACCGTCGTCAACAATGGCGCCGACAAGGTCAGGTAGGTCCGCAGAGAGTGAGCAAGTTGAACGCATTGCAGGTGATGTGTTTTGTGAAAAATTAGAGGGTTTGGGCGAAGAAGTGGACCGGAAGCACAAAAACTCAATTAGCCGTTCGAGTTTCCTTTATACGAGTGCAAGAGTTCGCTTCCGAGACTATACTCGGCCGCGAAACATCCTTGCGATGTCTTGCATTTTCGGATGACTGTGGCAGTGAGTCACGGTCAGTCACAGGCGTCGTGGTTGTCCTCGATGGCTCTGTTGTTTTTTATATTCGCCCTTGTGTTCTTAACAGAGCTAATTGCATGGATCGGCCAGTCCGTTCTCCTTGAGTTGGTTTGCGAGCTATTTTACCCCCCAAAAATATAACTCATTCCAAACGCAGGTGTACGGGCTGCACTTGCAACTGTTCCACGCGGCAACCGCGCAACGACAAAAGGCCTTGAAGAGCGAGCTACTCACGCTTAAGGCTGAGCTGCTACGAACGAGCGCGCAGGACCAGTTTGCAAAGTGGGCGAAGCTCAGACGGTCGGTGGACAAAGGTATAGCTGAATTGGAGAAATTGAGTGCGTCGAGTTGGGGGAAAATATGCGAGGGCTAACACAAGACAGACGGGGAGATTGCAACGCGACGAACGACGTTCTCTCTCAAGTTTAACACAGCCATCTGGGTGTTCACGACTGGGCTACAATTCACGGTTGGGTGGTGGTATCGTAAGTCGGCAGTGTTCTACCTGCCGCCAGGCTGGCTGGGACCATTGGGGTGGTGGCTGGCGCTTCCCTTTGCGCCTAAGGGTGGGTTGTTATCGTTGTTGAACCTGTTGTGTGGAAGCACTTATGGTCGTAAAAGGTTCTGTGAGTGTTGGAGTTTGGCAGATGGCATGCCGTCGGGTGCTTAAAGTTGGAGAGCGGGTCGTAAAGGAACTCCTTGCCGGTGCGTATCTGGATTGCATTTGATATTTTATCTTCGGCTCATACGCGGGTAGCCGAGACGGAGACGGAAAAGGAAAAGGAGGAGCCGATAGCCAACACCGCAAACTCGACTTGAATGCGAGGTTACTTCAGTGTAAACCAACTTATTCGATTCGTGGTGAGAACCAGACGAAGCCTAGCCTAGTTTAAACATCGGAAAAATATTTAGACAACGGTAATCCCTGGTTCCGTCGCCGAAAAGCCCTTGTGATTAAGCCCGGACCTGTCAATGACGCGCAACCCCTTAAATTCCATCACGGAGTGCCGCTTTAACGCACTCATTTCCTTCTTGTCTTACTCCACCATGGTCAAGGGCGTCCAAATCCACTCTCGCGTAGCGCCCAAAGCGCAGGAGGTCATCCTTACCGATGCTGCTCTCACTTTTCTCGCTACTCTTCATCGCACATTCGAACCAACTCGTAAAGCTCTCCTTGCTGCTCGAGCCGATCAACAACGCAAATGGGATTCTGGTGCACCCCTCGACTTTCCTCCAGAGACTGCTTCTATCCGTTCTGAAGCTGCATGGCATTGCGCTCCCCCAGGCCCTGGGCTTGAAGACCGTCGCGTTGAGATTACCGGTCCAACTGACCGCAAAATGGTCATCAACGCGTTGAACAGCGGGGCGAAGACATTCATGGCTGACTTTGAAGGCAAGCAAAACCTTTTTTGCCTCGGAAAACTTACTCATTGAACCAGATTCGAGCGCACCGACGTTTGCAAACATGATCAATGGTCAACTCAACCTCCGTGACGCCGTCCGTCGCCAAATCGATTTCGAGTCCAACGGGAAGCAGTACAAACTTGGCGAGAAGCCTGCTGTGCTGATTGTACGGTGTGTCTATTTATTCTCTTTATCGCAACTCGTGTTTATTCCTATTCCTAGTCCTCGTGGCTGGCATCTCGACGAACCTCGTGTAACAGTGGATAACACTCCCGTGTCTGGTTCTATCTTCGACTTTGCGCTTTACTTCTTCCACAATGCCCATGAGCTCATCAAACGCGGTTCTGGTCCCTACTTCTACCTTCCCAAAATGGAACACTACAAGGAAGCGCGTCTATGGAATGATATATTCCTCCTTTCCCAGTCCTACCTTGGCATCCCACACAACACCATCCGCGCCACTGTTCTCATCGAGACTCTCCCAGCCGCATTTCAAATGGAGGAGATTCTTTTTGAACTGCGCAACCACTCTTCTGGTCTCAACTGTGGCCGTTGGGACTATATCTTTAGCTTCATCAAGAAACGTCGTGCTGACCGTGGTGCTGTTTTGCCTGACCGCAAAGACGTTACGATGACCGTTGGGTTTATGGATGCTTATGTTCGGCTGTTGATCCAAACGTGCCATCGTCGCAAAGTTGCTGCGATGGGCGGTATGTCCGCTCAGATCCCCATCAAGGACGACCCTCAGGCAAATGAGGTTGCTATGAACAAGGTCCGCGCCGACAAACTGAGGGAGGTTACCGCTGGCCACGACGGGACTTGGATTGCTCACCCACTTATTGAGCAAATCGCTCGTCCTATCTTCGACCAGCACATGCCCGGGCCCAACCAGTACCACAACCGCCGCGAAGAAGTCCGTGTTGCTGCAAACGACCTCCTCAACACCACTGTGCCTGGTCAAATCACCGAGGCCGGCGTTCGCGAGAATGTGGCCACTTCGCTGGCTTATACGGCTGCCTGGATTGGTGGCAACGGCTGCATTCCACTGAACTATCTCATGGAGGATGCTGCTACTGCGGAAATCACGCGTGTTCAGTTGTGGCAATGGGTCAAATACGGCGCACGGATGGAAACTGGGGAGGCCGTGACGGCGGAACTCGTCGATCAGCTCGTGAAAGAGCTTGCGCCGACTGTGAAGAAGCTTGCTCCCGGCGTGAAAGAGGCAGATGTTGGCGTTGCGGTCGAGTATCTCAAGGGGCAAGTGCGAAAAGAGTGGGCGAGCGAGTTTTTAACGAGCGACTTGATGCCGTATCTGGCGATGGCGGATGGCGTTCCCTCCAAATGGCAAAAGGCATCTTTGTAGAGTAAAACCATGGACTTGGTCATGAAGACACATCGTAGTGTACTATGTACTATTAGTTTGATTTATCTAGAGTATGAGGCTTCAAAATTCTGAACGGCATTTTGCAAAGTTGGGCACCCAACGCGGGTCACGTGCCGGACAGGGCAAGTTCTTCGGAACTCAAACATAGAAAATTGGTCATAGACTAACCAACCTAAGATGGAAATACATGTAGTTTACGATACGCCCATTATTACGAATCTTCTCGAAGATTCCGGTGGCCTAGATCGTGTATCTACCGACTATCAGCGCAAAGCGCAAGTTACGGACCGAACACTCACCGGAACAGAGGACTTTCGCTGCCCATGTCCCTGAATTCTGCCCTCCGGCTCTCGTCAATCCCCTCGCGCGCGCAGTACTCGTCGCGCTTCTTGTTAAGACGCTTGAAGTCCCACATGGCGAAACAGCTCAGGAGGATCCTGGGCGAGGAAAATAAAATAAGAGACCGATATGACAACAGGGGAACATTAGCGCACGAAAGACTGAGCCAGCCCATGATCGTGCCGTGGCCGATGTGGAAGCGCGGCGGTTGATAGTAGATGAAGGAGGAGCAGATTCTGGGTGCTTCAGTGTCAATGTCTATGTACCTTACTGAACAGCGCAACTCACCCTCCAAGGTTACCGAGACCGATAACCATGGCAATGACGACGCCCTTGCGAACGTCGCCGCCCGCAATGCTCCCCGCCCATGCCAAGTTCACGGCAATGGTGGGGTAGACACCCATCGCAGCCAAGATAGCACCAACATAGGCGGCACCTGGCTTCGTTTGGGTGTAGAGTACGATGTAACTGGGAAGAGTTAGGTGTGGCAAGTCAAAAACTATGAAATCTAAGCAAACCCAATCAATGAGACAAAGGCAGGACCGATGATGAAAGGACCCCGCAGATTATATTTGTCGGAGTAAATGCCAATGGCAATGGTTGCAATACAACCGCAGATAAAGGGTGGGACGGTCAACAACTGGGCCTGGGCGGCAGAGTACCCCAGTTGCTGGACGATGGTGGGAGTAAACAGAGCGATGGCATAGACGGGGATGAGCACTCCCATGTAAATGCCGATTTGGACGTAGGTCCGATAGTCGGTCATGGCTTGCCAAACAAACTTGGTCTCATAATGTGTTGCCAGGTCTTGGGCGTCTTCTCTGAGCATATAGACGATCTCAGCACGTTCACTCTCAGTGAGGAAGCCCGCAGTGGCGGGGTACTATAGAAGCTCGTTAACGCGGATCAGAAAGGAACCAACCACATACGTCGTGCATATAGAAATACGACGCAAAGGCAACTGCGAAAGTGTTTGTTCAAGGACCAAACGGCTATGTAGATTTCATTACCGATGATTGTCGCTGAATGGGTGTCAGATATGTGTTCAATCCAGCGCATAACAGACTTGCCTAGTCCCTCCAAGCAGAAGATCCATTGCCAACCGTGAAGCTAAGGAACAAACCCGATGAGGCCATGACAGTCAAGGTTAGTCAGAACACATACACCACCGATGCCGTCCATCTTCTCGATGCCAAACGCAAGGATACCACCAAACGCACCGGCAATAGTCGCAGCTGAGAAGAATATAGCCACACGGGCAGCTACATCCCGTCTGCGATACCAAAGAGAAAGGTAGAAGGTGATCTATCTTCTCGTCAAGGAGAGTGTGTGACTGCCGGAAGGTTGCTTACTCCAGGAAACAACCCTGCTTCGGTAAGGCCAAGGAAGACTCGCGCACTATAGAAGATTGTGAATTGAGTTTTCGAACAACCGGACTGAACCTACATCACGAGCTGCTCATATGTCTTGCAGAGACACATCAAGGTCATGACGAGTCCTAGCACGAATTGTGAGGTGACGCGCAAGGATATCAAGTCGACCAACCCCATGAGAGCATGATAGAGGGAACTATATCGAGTTAGAGGTCGGACTCTATCGCAATGAGACCCACTCACTCCATCGCGATGGGCGGACCAACTTCAAAATGATGTTTCTGACAAAGATTGTGAGGCGCCAAGAGTACGACAGATTGTGCTTACGATGGCACTTCTGCCAATGCATACGGAATCTTTCAACAGACATGAGAAGAAGCGCGACATAAGGCACGACGCGCATACGAAGAAGACTGCCGCGATCTGTCGTAAATCTTAGCTGTAATTCAGGAACAGAATCGCGAAAAACCAACAATGTTGTAGCGAAAGCCGACCAGGTGGGCGTCCCTCGCCATGCCTGAGCTCTTCGCTTCAGAATATGCAGGATCAGCGGAGAAGGAAATTGACCAGCGACGCGAGCATTGCCCTAAGAGAAGACAGTCGGTCATCGGACAAGCAAGGACTGAAGACAAAACACGCACGATATTCGCTCGATCCCTTGGTGGTAGAAGGTAATGTAAGCCATGGAGCGTGGTAAGGTTTGGAAGGCGTACAAGAATGAGAGCAGGTAGAGTAACGCGACGAATGGGAGGAGATGAACGTCGAGCTTCCTCAATATTCTCTTGCGAGAAGCGGGATCGGAGTGCTCGCCGGTGTATTGTTGCTCTTTGCTTGCGACCTCAGCCTCTTCGTACGAGGCTTTTTCGTTGGTGAGGGAGCCGGACGCCATTGCTGTGGTGGTAAGAGACAAGAGCCGACGCTAACGGTATGATCTAGGATAGTTTGCATTTTTCTTTCGGTCACGTTCCGTGTGGGGTAATTTCCAGGGAACTTGATGGGTAAACGGCTGTAAACGGTGGCCGATCATTACCGTGTTGTTGTCAGCTGACGCTGCAGCAACGCTCCAGGAATCCTCAGGAACATTCAACGCGTTCTTCGCTCGGCTGGACTTCAACTGGACCTGAGGCCTTGACTCTTGAGAAGTACAATTGTTCGCCATCATAGTCCAGATTACGTTGTCTGATGGCGTGACGCATCACCAAGCCACATTCACAAAAGCCTTTGCCGATTGATGGCCGATCACCATTATGCACTGGCAGAGTTCGGCTCAGCATTCCCCCGTTTCATTCCAACCAGGGAACCAAGGGTAGTCGCGAAGTTCGCTGCTGAACAAGGGACTATTAGTCATACATTGGTAAAAAAGAAATACAGGGAGAATTGGATTATGTGGGGATACTGTAGGTACTAGTTGTTGTCCTTGATTTCCCTCGCCCACGTTTCGAGCCCCCTCTCGTGCTGCCTTGACTCTTACTCCTCCCACCACCTCGAGTCTTTGAAGGTCTAGATGATGATGATGATGATGACGCCTTTCCATTTGGACATGCTTGGAGGGTGTTAGATATATCCGACTCGACACTTGAATACGCACCCGAGGAGTAATGTCCTTCTTCTCCACAGCTAAAGCACTTGGCATTGCTTTTTGATCTGCCACCGTTGGGGCAGTCTTTCCGGTTTCAGTCCAAAAAAATTGACCAACAAAATTATTACGCACTGCTTGAATAATGCCCTTGCTCTCCACATGTAAAACATGAACCGTTGGCAGTGGACGTTGTTGACTTGGATCTCTTGGCTTCGCCGCCACTGGGACAGTCTATGCGCTGTCAGTGGAGGAAAACGGAAAGTCCGCCGGACCAACCGTTAGAGATATGCCCTTCCTGGTTGCACCGATAGCAAGGTCCCGTTGGAGCATTGTACTTGTTGCCGCGTGTGGCAGGACAATCTAGTTACAATCTGGTGAAATAGCACTTGCTGTGGGTGAGGCGAAGCTTACCAGCAGCCCAATGGCCAATCTCCTTGCATTTGAAGCATTCGGTGGCAGATCCACTCCCGGATGCTGCTTGTGAGGAAGGTCCAGCAACACTTCTTGGAGGCTCATCGTCCCACTCGAAGAAGTTACACTCGGAGCCTTGAGGTTTAGCGCATTTCCAGAACTGTCGACCTTTGTTCTGGCTTTCCTTTTGTACTGTTCTTTGGACAGCAGGATTTCCGCATCTGCACTGACGATCTTTTGAAGGTTCTTGTCGCTATGAAGACCAGCCTGAGCAACGATATTGGTGTGATTATATCACGTACCTGTGAGAAAGTGCGTTTCTGTGGTACATTCGTACTCTCCTCAACCCATTGGAAGAAGCCGCAGTTCTTTCCGGCCCCACAACTCCAAAACTTTCTGCCTTTGGTTTCAACTTCTTTCACGACCGTAAGCGTTATCGCTGGGGCATGACATTTGCATTGAGGGATCGTCGGATCATGGTTTACTGCAGAGGCTTGTCTTGGGGAATCAGGTCGTTGTTGCTGATGGGCCCTTGGAGCCTGACGGACTGGTTGAGGAGCAGGTGGTGGTCCGCCATGAAAGTCTTGTTCGTCATCGGGATCAAAAGGTGACGGAGTACGATGGCGGGAAACAGGTGCAGCTCTTCCCCCCCTCCCACGACCTGGGCCACCACGTCTTGGAGGTCCATCAGCACCGCCACCATTCCCGTGACCGTGCCCGCCCCCACCTCCGCCTCCACCTCCAGCCCCATTGCCACCACCCCCACCTCCAGCCCCATTGCCACCACCCCCACCTCCACCCTCATTGCCACCACGTGCCCCATTGTTGTTGCCACCGAGATACCGCCGAACGCACTGAAACATTTTAATACGACGACGGATAGTAGCTGAAATCATACTGCAGTCACACGATTGAACTGTCCTCTGGTCGAGATGAACATCGCACGGTATTGATCGATACTTTCTTGGAGCATCACGTCCTTCGTCTTGACACCATTGCAGATTTGCACCATGCTACGTTCTGTCTAGATACATACTCAACAAGGATGGGTGATGGAAACCTTAGGTCACGTACCTCGCGACGAAGTTGTGGTTTGCTCAGACTCTGTTCAAGGCCAAGATCATTGTAGCCCTCAACGAGACCAATACCAAGTGTCGATGGTAGGAGATATTTCGTGCCACCTTCTGCCTTCTCAATCACGTATTCACGGTTAATGATCGTGTCGATGTGTTGGGCAATAGTCGCGTCGGTGCCTGCGAGATAAGTCAACCAGGTAGAAAAGTAAGATTCTGCGACTAACCAATGCCATTTTTGTCCATAAGCGTAACCAAATCCGCTTCAGTCAGATACTTCGGTGAGGTAGTACTGCCTTGACGAAGCTCCAAAACGGACGGCTGGAACTCTTCACCCTCGGCGAAGTCCGGAACCTGATTGCCAGTCCACTTTTCGTAGGTGTACACCAATAAATAGTTTTTCTGGTGGACGACCAAGCCTAGATGATCATGTTACTGAAGGTTGTGACCGAGGAATGAGCGAACCAGTTGCGAAAAATTCTTCGCCGCCGCAGATAACCTCAACCGTTGTCAGAGAGCCTTCTGCATCCTTGGAACAGCAGGCAAGAAAGCGACGGGTCACAAACTCAAACACCCGCTTTTCTTCCCCTTCCAAGTTAGCGGCATAGCCTGTGGGATGGATGGGAGGATGGGCCTGATCATTCTTCTTGCCCTTGCGGGGAGTATTGAAACCCCCTTGCCGTAGGCTATAACAATTGAGCACAGTAGAGATGAAAAAGCTTTGCGTGCCTGGTTGCAAAATTACCCCATTGCCCATCCTGCTCTTGTTTTTCAATAAGAGTCATGAAGTCGAAGGCCGGATCGTATTGGTCGGTTTCTGTGCGAGGATACGAGAGAAGACCGCGCTGGTAAAGTTTTTCCGCAACCTGCATCGATCTTAGTCGAAGAAAACGCGCAATAAACCGTTTCCTCCAACCTCAAGAACGCGTTTAGGTGTCATCTTGAGAAGCCTGGATCCAGCTTTCTGAAGTTCGACCGTTGTGAGTGGCAGAGGCTTCCTTCAACATATTGAGCGGATCGTATCACAAATGATCAGAAAATGGACCATTTCTTAGTGTCTTTCTCTTGAACTTTGGTGACTTTGGCTCGTCGATTATCGGCGACATGTTCATATATAGCGGTCGAAACGTCTTGGTCGAAGAGGTGCCCTCTCCTCCATTTAAATTCAGTCACGACATTGCCACCTTGTGAGGCATCGGGACGCGAAAGAGACAGAAAGATGTACCAAAAGGGCTCAGGCACGAAGTTTTTCACTTGAAGAAATCGTTGAACAACGAATCCAAGGGTTGGAAACTGGCATGGTCCTGAAAACATGAGGTAAGATAACAATCCGAGCGTTGTTCCTGACCAAGTACCGTAAGACACAATGGCTTTCTCGGGTATTTGAGGAACACCAGGTTTAAGCGTGAGGGTTTGCATGCGCGTAAAAGCAGCACCGATACGAAGATCAAGCAAGATACGAGCTTCGACAGCATCTGCTTGAGCTTGATCCAAGTCGACTGGGTGTTGTGCAGCGTTATGTATTTGTCTATAACGACGTTAACGGGGAAACACGAATAAGAAAACAACGCACTGAGCAATAATTGCGCTAAAACGGGCCCGCTTGACGACAATGTTCGGTTTAGCCTTCCGACATATCGTCCGGATTTCAGCGCCAATGTGCTCCCCCTCTCTATCACAGTCGGTCCAAATCATAAGCATATCTGCACGTCTTGCTTCATTCCTAAGGTTCTTTTCGATGTGCTCTCCATCCTTGCCATTCGTCTTGGTCACGACTGGTGCGTCGAAAAGGGTGAGAGGGTCACAAGAAGACCAGCCACGGTAACGGTCAGGGAAGTCGTGAGCAATCAAGTGGCCCGCGACGGCTGTAACTGTATACTGTGCCCGCGTGTAGTTATAGTCAAAGTCGTAGTTCTTTATATACCCAATGCTCGAGTTCCGCTATAGAAAGTTATTGAAGGGCCGAAAGCAGGCAAAAGAGGACACAACAGTTTGGAATTGGTTCCCCGACAAGATTTGAGTGATAGATTTTGCAATGGAAGGTTTCTCCGCTACGCAAAGCACGCGCATGGAGAGCCTTGACGCGTAACTAGAGCAGTGAGACTGAGTGAAAGGGTGTTGTGGTCAAGTCGCGCTGATCACATGATCACGCAATGGATGCAGGGGCGACCACCACCAAGCTGCTTACACTTCTCAATGTATCGGCAACCAAATCCAGCAAGCGGAAATGGGCTGCAGTCGATGATTTTCCGTCTAAAAAGCTCAACTCCCGGAAAGTAGCCCGCTTCGAGACTGAAGAATCGACTCCGATTACCAAAATTGTGGTGGAGACGAAGGAAATCGTCGAAGTGCCTGAGGATTATGCAGACGACGACACAGGAGATGACCCTTATGAGTCGCATTTTGGACGAGCGCCAGCACTGCTCTCCGAAGAGTCAAGAACGGCATTAGAACAAAAATTGTGGTCTTCGACCCGAAAAACGCTATCAACGTTAGGGCAAGCCATCGAACTTGTGCCTGAGGGGCAGAAGGCCGGTCAGTCATCAGGCAAAAACGTGAGTGGTCTTAGCTTGCGGTAAATTTTGCTCATCTGTCCAAAGCTCCTTGAACGCTTAGAAAAACCATTTCTGGCCCGACAATCCAAGCAAACTCGCGGTAAGCGCTATATCTTGGCCCGCTACTTTTGTTGAATCCACTTCTAGAAGAAATCGGCATACAAAATGACCTGCTGTCCACACTTTCTTCACATCGCGACCTCTACATTCCGTCGAGTTCTTGGGACCACAAAAAGTGTACGCGGGAAGCAATATCCCTGCACGCGATCAACCATATAACCAAGTGTGTCCTCCCTTCTCAACAATAGTAGCAATCTGACTTGGTAAGGAAACGGCGGAGAGTTCTTAAAAACAATGAACGACTGGCTCATGCTTCAAAGGCTGATCCCAATGGCTCACCGCCTGACGATATTCAGGACCAGGGATTTACTCGACCTTCCGTGCTCGTCTTACTCCCATTTCGCAACTCCGCGCTGGAATGGTTCCACGCATTGACATCCCACACGCCCTCCCCTGCCTTCCAAGTCGAAAACCAATCGCGATTTCTGAACGAATATGGTCTATCACCGGGAATGGTTGATAAACTGGCTATGGCAGAACCTGGAACATATCCTCGAGACCAAATCGAGACCTTCAAAGGGAATGTTGATGATAACTTCCGCGTGGGTGTCAAATTAACACGCAAGAGCGTGAAAATGTTTGCAGACTTCTATGGCTGTGATGCCATTTTGGCCAGCCCTCTGGGACTGCGGCGGTCAATTGAGAAAGAAAAGAGTGCTGACTATCTCTCTTCTATCGAAATCCTCATCGTCGACCAGATGGAGGCTTTGCTTATGCAAAATTGGGAACACGTCAAGTTCGTGCTTTCACACCTAAACAAGCTGCCTAAGGATTCGCACGACGCGGATTTCTCTCGTATAAAGCCATGGTACCTGGATGGACAGTAAGTCTCTACGTAATCCACATTCTTCCTTTCACCTGATTTCATTGTCCAGGGCCGAATATCTGCGTCAATCGATACTGCTTTCAAGCCTTGAAACACCAGAGACACGACAACTCTTCAATGCCAATCTCAATAACGTCGCCGGCAAGCTCAGAATTGAACGCCGATGGTCTCCAGTGCAAGTACCTGACGGCATTGAGCAGAACCTCACACCATTTGACTGCCCCAATCCAAAGGACGAGGCAGACAGGCGGTTCCAATACTTCACCGGTCAAGTAACTTGTTTGTCAGCGTTGGTTTTGCGATCTAAAGTGCCCTCAGATTCTGCCTGCGGTGCTTAAATCTGCGGTCCAAAGCTCAAACACCGTCATCTTCATCCCGTCATCCTTCGATTTCATTCGAGTGCAAAATCACTTCAAGAAGGAATCTGGTGCTACATTTGCGATTCTCTCGGAGTGCGTCCACGTTTATTTCTGCATCATCCTGACTTGCAATCAAAGCTGACAATGACAGGTACTCGTCACCGCAAGATATTTCTCGGGCCAGACAAGCTTTTTTCAGCGGGAAAAAATCTTTTCTGCTTGTGAGCGAGCGTTTCCACTTTTACAAGAGGTATGTCTTGCGCGGTCATGTGATGAGAGAGCCGAAGTTTTTCAGGTACAAAATACGCGGAGTCCGAAACCTGATATTTTATGGACCCCCGAGCAACCCACAGTTCTACACAGAGGTGCTTTCTTGGCCTTTCGTGGATGAAGGTGTCGATGCCTCAGACGTCACTTGTCGACTGTTGTACTGTAAGTACGACTGGTTCCAGCTGGAGCGAATTGCTGGAACAGAATCTGCCTCCGAGTTGATCAGGCAATGAAGATTACAAGAACTTTACAATTACATGGCATAACATATGTGACGTGGAGGCTCGCTATAGCATTGAACGCAAGAGCCTTTTTAGTACCCTACGTTGATGCGTTTGCCTTGCATCTGATCCCATTCCGAAAGGGCTTTGACAAGGAAATGTGAAATGTCCGCTCGCGAGATGGTGTAACAAGACGGCAAGTCGTGCTCACTGTAGCGATAGCCTGGCTCCTTCTCGTCCGCGACCGATTTCCCGTCAGTCAAAAATGCCGGCCGAACGACAAGTACTTTCTTGTGGCTTCCCTCAGCTGGCAAGCCCGGTAGCTGCTCCCAACCCTGCGGTAAGATTGCTCGGTCGGCCTCTACGTTGTTCTCGTAGCCCCATCTCCAGCCTGCCAGATGTGAGATAACACGTTCCATCGCGAGCTTGTCGTTATGCGGCTGCTCGATCCAGTTGTAGAGCAGGCGCATGGGGAGGGGAAGCGCTTTATGGGCAACGGGGGAGAGTCCAGTGGAAGAGCACGCGATGATTTTCGGTGCCTGGCTGGTGGGCATGGTGCACACAACATTGAGCAGACATTGAGTGACCAGGTTGTGGGGTGTTTGAATGAAGCCTTTCGTGACAGAGAAACTGGGAATACCACCTGACGAACAGATAAGAAACCAACGCCTGCTTCACAAGAGCCCGAAAAGCTCACCAACAGTGAAAAGAAGCACATCAACATCACCAGCTGCTGCCCAAGCTCGACGGACATCTTCTTGCTTCAACCCATCTCCCTGAACTAAGCGTGCTTGACCGCTCTGGACAAAACGTTGCATGACTTGATCCCCGTCGAAAACTGACTTGGAGCGCAATAAAAGAGTTACAGTCGCGCCTTTCTCTATGTGATCATATCAACAACCCCGCTGCAAATGAAAATGACAAGCACACACGCACCAAGCAGACGAATCGCCGTCAGATAACCAATATTGCGGGACGCCCCAATCGCAAAAACGTTAAGCGTATTGAAGGTTGACATCGCAAAGGAGGGAGTAGTTAGAAAGAAAGGATTCAGAGTCGCACTTCGTTTAAAAGGGTCCCAAAGCTCGCTACTTTTTACCCGATTTGGGCTATCCGCATTATCTGTGACATGTTCCGAGGAAAGCGCTCTTCGGAAGGCTACGAATCCTCGCTGCTTCAAATGCCAAGTTATACCTGGTGTCGTCCGCAGTAGCAGCACAGTCGGAGGAGAACAGTTTCCCCATGATAGTCGGGAATCAGGTCTGATATGTCACGTGCACTATGACGTTGAGGAAGCCTCAAGTCCATCTACAGGATCGCTATCTAAGTATCTATGATAATCGTTTGTGACAACGTCGATGCGGCGTCCGACTCCTCGAGACTACCGGATCATTTCGATTGTGGGACAGTCCGCAAGAAAACGGAGAGACTAGATATGATTACATTTTGAGCATGACAGAGAGAACGAAAATCACCATGCTAACGAGGAGGCTCTAAAACTCAGCCACACTGCAACTTGCCTGCAACCATGATTTTCAAAAAAAAAAATCAACGTAAACCTCTCTTATCTGTTTCGAGACTAGCCTCTTCCATTCCCCGGGCCTTCCTATCGGTATCGTCTTGTCCAAACATGACACCATCCTCATCTGTATGGTGGGTAGTTTGCACCTGTGTGCGAACTTGGATTCGTTGGACCCCCCCAAATGTCCCCAGTTCGACGCCCCGTCCACCACTCGGACCCGTTCTCCTCCCCCCACTTGGCCCTTCGTTGCTACTAGTGTCATGGCCCGACGAACCGGCCAGGCGTATTGCGCGCCGAGAGTTCAAGGTATACATGGCACTGACGGCATATATTTTGGGGAGGATATCAGTCGTGATGATGGAAAGCATCAGGGAGACGTTGAATGGATTGCTTGGATTGACTGAAGTTCGCGAGGTTATGAGGTTCATCATCGCACAGACGGCACCCGGCGCGGCGGACTGAAAGGTGAGTCTGAGGATTGCATTGAGCATTCCTGCAGTCTGGGGCAGGACTTGTTTGGAGTGTTTCTATACCGTAAATCAGTCTAGCTCCAGTGTGAAGAAAAGGCCCTCGCACCAAAAGGAAGTACGCCGTCGAGAAACAAAGAAGAACGTCTCCACCGAACACAATGCCAATGTGGATCGAAACTGTCAAGATTATTCAGCCAACTCGTATGCAATCCAAAATTACCAACTCCATATGCCTCGCAGTGGCGAATCGACGTTATGGAAAGAGAAGACCATCTGGGCGAAGTCAATGGATGCATCACGACAACGGAGCCGATACACACCGCCACCAAAGACGCAACCCACGCAAAGCTAAAGACCACCAATAGCGTAGCGACGATGTAAAGGTTTTTACTAAGGACCTATAAAGTCGTCTGTCAGCCGGCTAAGTAAGTAGTTATAGCAAACGTTATTACCCAAAGACGGTGGACGAGAAACAGTTGAACGTAAAAATGCACGCATGCGCCCAAGCCTGCAGAAAACGTAGATGAGCAAGGAAACAAATATAGGTCCCAGAGTCGATACCCAGGCTGATTTGTTCAGTCCAGTGAGCAAGGAACATCCTCGCTGCTGGGGCGATTTTGGTGAAGTAGACGACATTTTGCACCCACATAACAGCACTGAACAAAATCCGTCAGCTCAACATCTGAAACGAAGCATCGAGCCACGCACATCATTTGCATCGACTTGAGCGTTGTGAGGAGCAGGAGACCAAGGACAAACATGCGAAGCGCTGGCACATCCGAGTGGTAGAGACTGAAGTAGTGCGATATTTGCGCGAAAATGACACCCTGGAGGAGGAGATCCCCGCAAATACCCAAATCCTAACCAAGCAAAAGTGAGACTTGGGAACCCGGAAACCACCATAAGAGACTCACCCAACCGCCCAAGACGTAGACAACGATTGGAGGAGGCGGAGCCATTGTTCAACGGATCCTCGTTTGGCTTGGAATCACTTTTATACGCGCTTCGGCGGCTGTTGGCCATATGACGAGAACCCCTGGGTGGATAGGAGTCTCCACAAAAAGATCGTCGTGTTGTGGATGGTCTATGCTGAATGCAGACTGTTCGCAAGAAAGCAATCCCTGGCTTATTGAAGGCCGCTGCTGCTTCCAATGAATCCAATCAGCAACCAGGAAACCCGTCTAGAGCTGCATTTTCGCGTGGAATCAATGATCAGCTTGAAAATGCGCACAACTGTTCGGTCGGCCCTTCAGGCACCCAACATTCGGGCCCTCAAAGCCGGGATTTTTTGAGGTTAGGGAGGACTGTCAAGTGGAACCGTCTGGAAGTCAGCGGAAGTTGAGGGGAAGGCACGAAAATCATCAAGTGTGAACATCTATCGAGACGATTCACTTCAGTCCTGTTCGATGACATTGAAAATCATTGGACCCCTTGCCACTGAAAACAGTCTATGCATCTGTTTTTCAATTGCCAGTGGGATGAACCTGATGAACAGGCACTCAAAATCGACACGCGAAGGTGACATTTGGACGCCGGGATATGGTCCCCTGTAAACATGTGTGGTAGGCGCAAACGAATTAAAAGGGCGGACCGTAACTTGTCGACCCATTCAATAAGCCTGCAGGCTGCAGCACAACTGTAGCATGAGGTCTGCTTGGTGATGACAGTTGCTGCCAGAAAGCAATTACATAAACAGACATGTGGAGCTTTCATTGACAAGGAGCTTTGGCATTTCAGAGGAAGGCTACGGCACGACTTTAACTTACAGCGATTCCTGAATGTAATGACAATGTCACATTTTTTTTCGCGCCCTTCTCAAAAAGGAAACCATGCCTCCATTTGCGTTTCTGGCATTGACTGAGCCTCAAACTGTATCCAAAATCATATATACTGGTAAAGAGATGTACCTACACCATATAATGGCTAACATAGAAGAATTTCAGTCAGTAGATGTAGTTGGTCGAGAGTAAAATGTGTTGTGGCTAAGCAAGAATGTGTCATGCCGATCGGTGCCTAGCGCTCGATGAACCTGTCGCAAAACTGACCTTCAACCCATCCACTATCCTTGAGGACAAGTAATTTGAGTGTCCACCATAGCTATGAGAAGTATTCAGTGCACTGAAATTGTTTGTAGTGCAATTGGAAGCTTGGGAGCCATGATTTCCTTTTTGAGATGGGGCGCGAAAAAAAATGTGACATTGTCATTACATTCAGGAATCGCTGTAACGTTCTGGAAGCAAGACGAATAAAAGACTACTTGTCGGTGTTTGGAGGTTCAGAACAGAATGCGTGCGCGCTGTTCAGACCAATCGAACAATCAGAGCCTGCTGCCTTTACAGTGACAAAATCCTAGGCCACATTAAATTTTCTAGATCTTCGGACAGACTTGACCCAAATGAAGCAATTTGCACTCCGCAACCCTCCAAGCACGGCTGGTGCCTCAGAGCGCGGAGTAAAAAAAATTGGAGTGGCCTAGGATTTGGGCCAACAGCCTGTAAGTTTCTTTTGCTAAGATAAAATTGTAATCTATAGTACTGTAGCTGTCACCAAACTTAAGAGCGAGTAGGTATTGCAACCAGCAAATGGCTGTCCAGCGCATTATGCGACTAACACCGCCCTATAACGAACCTTGCCCTCTCTGAGCTTCTGCATGCCGTCCTCAACGCCATTTTTGGTCAGCGGGAAGCGCTCGATGAGGGGCTTGATCTCGTGGCGAGCGGCAAACTCGAGCATACGATGTTGGATTGAGCGGTTGGCGACGGTGGAGCCTTGGATGGTAAGTCCGCTCATGAGGACAGCCATCATTGGGAATACGAGGTTAGAGGAGTCGACGCAAAGCGGGTAGATGACCCCCTTGCACTTCATGATGGAAAGGTATCTGAAGGACAGGTCAATCGAGAGCAACAGATACAGAGAACGAACGGGGCCCAGTCGGGAATGGCGTTGGTTGTGACGAGGAGGTGGTCAAGTGGCTTGGTGTCGAATTTATCCACACCCTTGGTCGCAAAGAACTCCTTCGCGCCAAGGCTCAGCGCTTCCTCGCGTTTGGCATGTGTGCTCGAAAAAGCGACCACCTCTGCACCCATCTTCACAAGGAACTGGACAGCCATATGGCCCAGGCCACCAAGCGCAATCACTCCAACACGGTCAATAGATCGAATTTTGAACTCTTCGATGACCTGGAAGACGGTGGCGCCACCACACATCAGAGGAGCGGCGTATTCTGGTGCGAGACCAGCAGGAATTTTGAACAGGTAGGATTCGTCCCAGACCGCATGCGAGCCAAAAGAGCCTTGATTGAGGTTGTGGTAGCCGTACATCTCAATATCGGTGCGGCAGTAGTTGTCTTCGCCTGCTGACGCGATTAGCACATCGCGGGTAAGATAAAGCGACAGACCTTTCAGGCAGTGCACACACCGGCCACATGTTTTGTGAATATAACCCCAGCCAACAACGTCCCCGACTGCGAATGCACGGACACCATCACCGATCTCTTGGACGACACCGACACCTTCGTGGCCAAGGACCATATCGAGATGTTTACTAATGCGTTTTGTAGTCAATTCGTAGTTTTTTTTTCAAGGGCGGAAGACTCACTGATGCTCGTCGGTACCGCAGATGCCTGAATGCGTGACGCGGACAAGTACTTTGGTGCCTGTTGGGTTTTGCAGAATGCTTTTGGCTTCGACAATGCCAGAGTTAGCGGAGCCCTTGAAAACGGTCGCTTCGATGGTCATTGCCGAGATTTCGTTGCTTGTGTGCAGGGAGGAGTTGTGGTTGCCATTGAGGGTCTCTAACCCAACCTTTTATACACTACGGTCGCGCGTGATCCCATGAGCTTAGAAATGCATTGCTCAGCGAGCAGTATTGTGAACGCGGATCGAGAATCTCCGGTCAGGATATGCACATCGTTGTGGTTCAACGTTGACGACAAGTGAACGAGGATCATTTGTCAGCTAAATCATGTGGTTTGTCGAAGGAACAGCGATTGACCAACAAGCAACATTCTCCTCGACGGTCACAAACAGTTTCTATACCAGCGGCATGCAACTTTATTTAAAATTTCTGCAGCACCAATAGTTACTTTTAGGCTGATCCAATTGGATCGACAGCTTCTGCTGGGTCAGTAATCTGTCGATGCAATATGTGCATGCCCCAAACGGAGTCCGCAAGTTGCTGGCTGAAGTCCCATCAGATGAATGGATTCCAGTCGACCACGGCGGCGCATAGAGTTGGAGAGTAAAGAGGCTCAATGTAACACGGCCCCATTCATATGCTCGCGTTGACGCGTTCCGTTCTCGCTTCACAGTTTTTTTTTTCTTGAGTGAGCTTGTCATGGTTCTTGAAGGGAAATGCGACCAGTCACAAGGTCAAGTTGTTACGAGAATTGGATAAAATTCTCGAGATACATGGACTGTGGCAACTGAAAGCGAAAAAAGCGGATTGCCAATAACAGCCTACAAACTGACGATGGTTCATCAATTGAAGCGCCCTCGCAATGACTACAGGGAAGGTACTTGCAATCCCCGAAAGCCCTGAACTCTGTCGGGTCCAAACAGCGGGAGGTAATATAGCCCAATCAGCTCGAATCCCAGTTGCGGTCAAGACATATTACTAGTGGTCTGCTGCGTGTCAGACGGGTGTGCAAGCAGGTTGAGCAAGTACTTGCCGTGTCCGGCCCCATTATTCCTTAGCATTCAGTGCGACCTTTTCAATCGCATCGACGACTATATCTACGCCATCCCCCGTCCAAAACTGTTTTTCATGTGAACTGAGCTTGCCAAGCACGTAATCTGACATCTCGACCGAGGAAGCCTTCCCCACACCAAGCCTCAAACGATGGAATTGGTTGGTCCCGATTGCGCTGATTATGCTCTTGAGGCCATTGTGGCCATTTGCGCTGCCGCCGAGCCGATATTTGACTTTGCACTGGTCGTGTTCGGTCGAATCCGAGATGACAACGAGCAGGTCGGGGCGTATGTTGCGCTTTCGACAGGCTGCAGCGATAGAGGGACCAGATATGTTCATGAGATGTTCTGCGAAAAAGTTACAAAAAGTGACAGGATTAGAGGCGTTGTTAACGCACTCGACTTGTAGAGTGTTAACGACAAGAGAGTCCCCCCGAGGTAAACTGTGGCTTCGCCCGAGAAACCGTCTCGTTCTGCAGCCATTCGAATTCCAGTTCGCCAGGCAAGTTGGTCAATCACCAGTTGCCCAAGACTGTGACGTGTGTTTGGGAAGGGCAAGTTGCCGAGACCAGCGACGAGTAGTCTAGGTACGGAAGACATGGATCGAGTGCTTGAGTATGTTGGTATAGCTTGAGACTTGCTGACACTGGAATTTATAGGTTGAGGATGTGAGTCAAGCCGATTCTGCACAGCATTTTTCAAGTTCCATCCAATGACAAAGCAAACAGTCTGAGCTGACTGGACATCCAAATAGCTAAAGCAGACAGGACATATACCCTCTAGACTGAGGAAGAAACCATCCCAACCTCTGCCATGGCTTCCTCCACCAATTTCTTCATATTCATCTCAACATTTTTGAAAAATTCTAGGGCATCCGCCAACCTCTGTTTCGTGATTTGGTCCCCCTCGATTGCCTTCTCCAGAGCCTGTCCGCCATTCGCAAGATAGTCGATGTTCGTCGATGCCAGTATGCCGTCCCAACCAGGAGTAAGTGGGTCCGTCTTTGAAACTGCGGCAAGACGCTCAGGAAGGGGGCGTTCATCAAAATAAGATGGTATGCTAGCGACTTTGAGCACACCGGGGATACGGGCTGACGGACTAGGAGTGGCAGGAGTTTGGGAAAGAACACGGAGAACGCTAGCCGGGAGCGTGGCTGAATGAACTTGCATCTCCCCGAAGGCCATTGCTTCTTCAGCAGAGATGAAACTAGCGGCCTTGATCATGGGTTGCTCCTTGCTAGTCTCGGTCGCAAGTTGTTGGTAGATAGCACGGATTTGCATCATCCGCGCCGAGCTTGTGTGAAGAAGCGCAGGGTCATTGGAGCTCGGCCAAAGTTGTGGGTCAGTATGTGCGTTGATTTCTTCCGTTGTCTGTAAATAACAAGTGGAACGCAAGGTCATGAACATACCATTGTAGTATGGGCTGATATAGAGACACCCAGCCTGGCTCGCGGCAATGGCTTGCGCGACAGAAAAAAGTGAAGTTCCCAAAGTTCGAATGCCTTCGTTAGCTAAGATTGGTGCAGCATTGATAGCGGGTCCGGTTACAGGGATTTTGATACAAAACCGCTCCCTTAGTTCGAGGAAATGAGCCTCAACGGTCTGCCGCAGTTAAGCACTGATTACTTGGAAATGCCGACTTTCTCGAGTTCGACAGCATATCGTTGAGCGTGGTCAATAACCTCTATCGTGTGAATGAGCAAAGGGCATCGCAGAGAGAAGGTAAACAAAGGCACTTTGGGTATCATACGCATGGAAAGCGGAGGTTTGAAGGAGCACTCGGCCTTGAATATTATCAATGTTGGCGGCACATAGTTGTGCACTCTATTCGGGATTGGCAACGATCAGCAAGGGGATGAAGGGTTACAATTCTGTCCACCACGGCCGCCCATCCCCGCTCACCGTACTCCTTCGTGGCCTGTAAAAGGAGCTCTCGATTATCCTTTAGCTGCATTTGCTCAAGCACGATGAACTGGTTGCTTGTCATGTCGTGTGGCTTGAACGGAAGACTCTTCGCCGTATTTGGGTCCATAGTATCGACATCGACGTTTAGTTGGGTTTCAAGGACTTCGATGAGTGTAGCCATTTGGTGGAAGAGTAACTTCGCGTGGAATTCATTTCGATTTTTCTGGCCAGCTAGAAAACAAAACCAAACAGAATCGGCCAATCAAGTATTAGTAAGTAAGATCCGAACCTTGATCGGGCCATGACATGATAGCTATTTCGTCAAGTCGGGCAGGACGAAACTTGTCGATCCTCGGTTAGGCGGCTAGGGATGGGCGGTGGCCCGGATCTGAGTGTGAGATCGGGTTGCGCATTTAAGCCATCAGGCTGTGGCTTAACCTCGAGTTCTGGGTTGGGTCGTGTTTTTGTGAGAGCGTGGCGAATTTATGTCTGTGGTTCTGGTCGTATGTGTTGTCCAACTGTTGTACCTGAGCGTTCGGCGTGACAAAGAACTCCGAAAAGGATCGGCTCATTATGAACTTAGTGCAAACCAGTTTCTTTCTTTCTTTCTACTCTCATCCTGGAGGGTCCGGTGCGCTATGTCCACATCCAACACAAAGCTACGAAGATTACGGGGTGCTTGTGACATCTGTCGACGCCAAAAGAGTACGTTCACTGCCTCCTCGATGTTTGTGCCTGACCATCTGCAAGAACGATGTGTGGTCTTCGAATAAGTTTCGGGTCCGACGAATTTTAACCGCTCCAAACAGGCGATAGCGCAAACATGCCCAACAATAAATGTTCTAGCTGCATTGCGTTCAATTCTGAATGCACTCATACCTATGTCAAGCCCAGTGTGCGTGTGTGAGCCTAGTCGGGTTAACAAACACTTATTCCAGCAGACAGAGGACAAGAAGCGAAGGTGTGTTTCTATGCAGTCTCTGGCCACGGCAGACTGAAACTCGTCCTGCAGAAGTCATCCCGTACAGCAGAAGCCTGTCAGTCATACATTGCGTCAGGGTTTCCTAGGTTGACTATCATTAGGCGTCGTCCGCCGGAGCAAGCTTTGTCGATGTAACCCGGACGATGGTGAACAGTATATTGAATGCGACATATGACTACCCTGAAGAGAGAAGCGCTCTGATCCAACTTTTGCATGACATTGCGCGTTATGCAAGAACCTTAGAGCAGAACCAACCAGAGAAGGAGACCAGCCCTCGGCGCAAGTCGCGAAGGTCACGATCACCCTCGTTCCTTTCCACCTCCAACACAATCCAGTACAACGAAGACGAGATCGACGAATTAGCTGATGACGACGACGGAGTGGTTGTTGACTTGAACCAACTGCCAGAACATCTCCAGCATATTACTGCCGCATTTGCGAATAGCCGGTTCTTTGGGAAACAAAGCAACCTCTTGCTGACCAAAGGCGCGATAGTAGCACGCTCGACGCCCTCAGCACCCAAATCTACGCTTCATCGACCCCAGTTTTGGGCCGCTGCATCTGTAAGTCATCTACGGACGGGTAAGGAACCTTTTCTAACCTCGCTACAGTGGGAGTCGCGATCAGACCCTCCTCTATTTATCCAACGGTTCCCCCCGGCCGACTTGCTTTCGGACCTCGTTGACATCTACTTCAACCAGATTAACATCTTCTGCTTCATACTACACCGACCTTCGTTCCAGCAGGCCATAGCGGAAGGGAATCACCTGAGGGATCATCGTCTCGGTGCTCTTGTCCTTGCAGTATGTGCGTTGGCAAGCAAGAACTCCTCTGACCCTCGGGTCCTCCTCCCTGGCACCAAAAATGAGCTCAGCGCTGGGTGGCAGTGGTTCTCCCAGATTCGTCGACCGTTCAGTGGGCCTGTTCCACAAAGCGTGTCGCTATATGAACTGCAATTGTGTTGCGTGAGTTTCTCTTTCTACCCCATGCTTTTGTGTTTACCAAGAGCTCCCAGCTTTATGTACTTTTCCAACAATCGGGAACCGATATGGCGTCTTGCTGGCTTCTTTGTGGCATCGGCATATTGTACGCACAGGATATTGGGGCTCACAGACGCTCCCCGTCAACCGTTGAAGGAGAAATGTTCAAACGGTGCTGTCTTTTCCTCCAGAACTTCGACACTCTTGTCAGCGCCTGCTTTGGCCGCCCAAGAGTAGCCCCCGCATATCAATTCAAGATTGAACCACCTGCCCTCTGTGATGACGAGTACTGGGACAACATCCCAGATCGAGAACTAACATTCAATCAACCGCCAGGGATGCCTGCCAAAACTGAGTTCTGGGAGCGGTTTACGGCATTGATCAACCTTTTTGCTTCCGCTTCGGTAAGCTATCAACACCTTCCTGGCCGTTTACCCATCTCTATAGCGACACTCATGTTCAGAAATTGCATCCATTGAGTGAGTGCAACTGTATCGGCCTTGTTATTGTAACCTGATGTCGGCAGTGCCGCGATGGACGAATGGGTGGACATGATACCCGCACATCGTGGGTTTTGACTTGAATCCCGCGAGGTACTAAAACATCGATAGTTGCGTGGAATCCGAACGGGCAAAATGACATCTTTTTTGAACAAAGCGCAAGTACGTGCCTTGGCCTCTTCATTTGAGTGGAGTGCTCAACAAGGGAACAGCACTTCACGCATTATATTACCACAGTTGGTCGATTGTCAGCTATACTGATCTTCATTTGATTCTATTTTGCAGTCCAGATTTTGATTCATCGCCCCTTCCTGCGACCGAGGTCGAACCTGGTTTCCAACTCACGGGTGAGAAATGAGTTCTTTTGGTTGACCGCGCTAATCCCGCCAGGCACTGAGATCACTGGCCATATGTACGAATGCAGCTCGCTCATGCAGCCATATTGCCGAGGTGAAGACTCGGCGTGGGTTCCTTGCGAATGGACAACTGATGGTCTGCATCATTTTATGATCAACCTCGAAACCACTCATTGATGACATAGAAAGCTGTACTCGATTCTTCCGCCGTGTTGCTGCTATCTGTCCACAACGGTGCACGTGGCGGTTTGGCGCTTGATGCGCATCGCGAGCTCGCAGACGTTTACCGATGCTTAGCCTTTTTCCGGAAATGCGAAAAACGGTACGTCACCCATGCCTTGCATAAGATCAGCGATTTAGCGTCAATACTAGATGGCGGAATGCTGGCCGTTTCCAGTAAGCTATTCGTCTGCTATAACATTCTGTTCTCATTTTTCCAGCGACGTTCTCTGTGATTTCATCAACGCCCATGGCTTCCCACTCCCTCCCGCTAAGCATTGGATTGGCGAATCACCCAACGCATTGTTCCCCCTTGGCGAGAAAGCATTGGCGGCACTGCCTGTGTATACGTCCGTCTATTTTGACGTAGAAGATGATGACCACGGAGTCGAGCATTCACGCTCGACCTTTGTTGAAGGGCCCTCATCCGAGTCCATCGCTTACATGCTCACCGACACCGTGTGGTCACCCGACTCGCCCGCGCATGGCGAGGTGGACATGGATGTGGCGGAATACTTGTAATGTGTGTTCTGTTGTGTTATTGTTGCTCATTCATGGGTAGATCTCATTGGGCCCCTTGGTTCACCGGCGTCGAGGCCATGGTACGGGAACAGCTGCAAACGATGTAGAGTGTACTTCTATCCACGCTAATTAAATCACTCTCATCGGCCGTCGTGACTGTGAGATCAGATGGCTTGAACCACCTTTCCTCACAACTTGACTTCTACTGAGCTGAGTACGGTCAATTCGGATTGCCGCCATAGTTTTAACTTAAACAAAGCAGCCACGTGTGCTTGAAGAACCTCACCAGAGCACCACCGAGATAACAGATAGGACACGGTCACCGAGCTCGACCAGTCTTCTGCTCGATGAGGCAATGAGCGCTGCACCTGAAACAGCTTAGGCATCGTGAGAAGACACTTTTAAAGATCTTCTGACCGTCCTGTCCGCAAATAATCTTGTTCTCACCACGTCGTTGATGAGATAAAAGAGCTCGGACGCTCAAGCTCTTCCTCCACATTCGTCTGCCCTCTTATCCAGTCATGAGCGCTACTGTCGAGTACACGGTCTTTAAAGGCTCTCCCGGCGGCGGAAACGGTGTTATCGAAAGCAAGACCGTTCGCCCGGCACCAACTGGCAAGGAAGTCAGTCGTTGAACTATCAAGTTCCGATTATAGCATGTTGAAATACGTTGTCGCTAGGTTTTGGTGAGAATCACTCATTCTGGAATTTGTGGAACGGATGAGCACTAGTTGGGCTTTCCAATGAGCGCTGCTTTGCAGTTGTAACACATTTCTAGCAAAAATGCCGACATGGCTCTGGGCCATGAAGGAGTTGGCATAGTCGAGCAGGTTGGCGATGCAGTCACCCGACTGAATGTCGGGGATGTCGTTGGATGGGGGTAAGCGGTAGGCAATAGCGGTCTTCATTGGGGCTGATACCAACAGGTATATTCACAAAACCTGTGGTGAATGCGAGTCGTGTCTACGTGGTTGGTGGTTTCCTGCTATACTCTATTACTGTTGATCCACTTCTGATACATCGATGCAGGTCATGATCAATACTGTAACAAGCGGGAGTGGTATGGGACCCATAACTTCCACCAGGGCTCTTTTGGGTCGCACGCTGTATGGGAAGACACCTTCTTGTTCAAGGTCCCTCCTTCCCTCAAGCCAGAATATGCTGCTCCCCTTATGTGTGGAGGAGCAACAGTGTTCAGTGTCATCGAGGCGTACAACATCAGACCAACTGATCGGGTGGGAGTTATCGGAGTTGGTGGTTTGGGTCATCTTGCGATTCAATTCCTTGCCAAGATGGGTTCGGATGTTGTGGTATTCTCTAGCACCGATTCGAAGAAGGACGAAGCGATCCGTCTTGGTGCCAAAGAATTCCACACCACAAAGGGAGTAGAACATTTTGAAGGTGTGAAGCCGCTTGACCACCTCATCATCACGACGAGCTTCTTGACGAAATGGAAACCGTGCGCGGGCCTACTTTCATTGTCCTCTCTCGTTGGGTCCTGAGCAAAGCCGACAGATTCATCGACATCATGAAACCCGAGGGCACTATTTACCCCATCACAATCTCGGGAGATGACTTGGTCTTGCCGATCCTTCCAGTTGTGCTTGCAGGTATCACTATTCAAGGTAAGCCAGACATGCTTCGATATTGAGGGCGACGTGTCAATCCAATGAACAGGAACCGTCGTTGCGTCGCGCTCTGTTCATGCGAGAATGCTTGAATTTGCGGCTCGCAACGATGTCTATCCCATCATCGAGACTTTCCCAATGACGAAGGACGGCGTCAATGCTGGGATGCAGAAGTTGAGGGATGGGCATATGAGGTACCGGGGTGTTTTGGTTGCCTGAAGCTTCAAGAGTTTAAGCACTGCGAATTAAAGTCAAGAAGCCTATATCCTGCAGTAAATTTTTTGCCGTGCGACTGAAGTCTTTTGAAGTTTGGTTAGTCACAGTCACGGTCACAGCGCCTCTTTCACTCTCCTTTTTTTGCGTACTTATCCGATCCAACCAAGATGGTCTCAAATGAGGTCAAGAAATTCAACAGCCTCAAGCGAACGAAGATGGCACCGTCAGGCCTAGTGCCTAACGTGTGGCACTTTGATATCCGTTACATTCACCTGGAGCCCCATCCTGGCCATGTCCTTTTTCTGTTCCAGCCCGAAAGCGAATTTATCCATCTCGAGCACCTTGGAGGTGTACCAAATGGCTCCATGCACTCTTACGAATACTTCCCCGAGTCTGCTGACCAGGCCGCTCCTGAAGTCGTCAATGCCCTCATCCGGTCTTTCAATAATGGTTTTGCGCAAAAGGGGATCCCAACGCAGACGCCAGAGCTTCGCGCTCCATGGTCTCTCAAGACCGAAGACAAGAATTTTGCCGTTGCAGTTGGTAAAGAACTCGCACGGGTGGGAGTTACACGAGCACTTTGCACTATCGAATCATCTCCCAAGCGGGTTACTAAAGCGGCGACGATGAAGTTTATGGAACTCTTTGTGACCATTGCTGGTGGGCTACCAAGCTCACCTCTCCAGATGCCGAACTCCATTGCCTTCGACTACAATGCTCTTGCACGAGCTCCCGAATACGATGACCCTAGCAATGATGGCGAATTGAGCGAGATCAACCGGGTCCTACAATATGTTCGTTTTCTTGACTCATGCTCCCCATATACCAAAGAGAAGCTCGATGGGGCCTGGCATCTGCAGATGGCACAAACAATCCAGCAATCCGAACAGATGCTTAAAACACCAATCGAAGAACTCATCGAACAAGGAGAAGAAGGAAATATCTCGGCTTTCATCGATTGTGCAGCCAGGTTTGAACTCTTGATTTCGAGTGACTCACATACTCAAACTTATCAGGTACTATCTTGGTCTCGGATGTGTTAGGGACCGTCAACTTTGTCGCAAGTATCTGCTCCAAGCCGCATTTCATCCTCTAGCCCATGATGCAACTCGAGCAACGGCTCACGCCATGATCACACGCTGGTGTCACGAAGCCACCGACGAGGCGATTCGCACTCGTTATCTGTATGCTAGTCTCCACCATGCGTGTCTTGCCGTCAAATTTGCTCGTTCTGTTGCCGCGCCTGGACATAGCATTCCCCAAATCCTTTTCGCCTTCAAGAACATGACGCCGATGCTGGTTAAAGACAACCCTGATGTCAAAAAGCAGTACCCGGAAGTTTTCCGAGCTCTCAGGGAGGCAGATGAGAGGTTCCAGCGCGACACTCAGACCACCCTCAAACGAATGAAGCAGCCGTTGCGATATCGATGTGCGACGTTAGAGTGTGGAATTGAGGCTGATCACGGGCGAATGCTGAGCAGATGTAACTATCGTTTTCTTCCAGATGAATGTGTCTAAACGGCGCATGATAGGTGCCGGTAAATGTGACGAGGACAAGAAACCACATTACTGCTCGCGCGAATGCCAAAGGAAAGATTGGCCAAACCACAAGCCGTTCTGCAAGCCCGGCCAACCGTGCTCTGTCATTGACGCCGGAAAGGCGCTTAAAGCGGCACCCTTCGGTGGGAGCAGCAAGCAGGGGCAACGGAGCATGGTTGTCAATACGCCTGGTGGAGAAATGAGCTTATCATCATCGACAATGTCTGCAGAGTTTATGAAGGAGGTGCGCGAGGGAATTGAGAAGATTTCAGTGGAAGGGGATCCAGAAGACCAAGAGAAATTACGGCGCGCTATGGCTTCAATGGATCGCATGGCTGTGGAGACGTTCAAATTGGAGTAACTTGGTGGACTTCGAATTCGAGTCTTGTGACTAACAACGACAACGTTTTACTTCCATTGACTTCAACTGCTTTCTGTTTAGGCCTCTCGTTTCTAGTTCTTGATGCACGTGCTGGTCACTCACTCTTGCGAGACAAGCGCATTCTGTTGATGTACGCACTAAATATAACTAAGTGCTTATATATCGGACGATGTCATAGCTCATAGTCGCATCACTCGTTTTCGCACGCGGTTCCAGATGAATCCAGTCAGTGACATACCAAGGGCAAGAACTTGAAGAAGCATGAGAGGAGCCCACGACCTCGGTGATTGGTTGGATTGGCTACGAGATGTGTCTTGGACGACACCGTGAGCAATGCAAAGGACAGCTGACCATGTCTATGACCAAATTAGAAAAAAAGTTGCCACTTTCGTCCATGAAAGCGGACTGGGACTTGTTCAGGACGTGTCCGGTGGAGGCAAGGTGAAGGACTACGCATGATTGACGCGCTTCGGATAACTGGTGAGCAACCGGGGGCCCACGATTGGCTGACGACATCTAACAGGGCCGAGTCCTTATCACCCGGGTTTATCCGTTCCAGAACTTTCTCTTTCTCTTTTCTCCTCCAACTTCTTTTCAATGTCGCTCGCTGCTCTGCGCGTATCGGCTCGTAGGACCGCTTGGCGCGCTGCTGTCCCTCGCTCCACCTCAGTCGCCCGTGCTCGCCCTGCTTTTAGAAAATATTCGACTTCACCGCCCGAAACTGAGTCATCCAAATCTAGCAGTGGTCTCATTGCTGGTGTCGCCGCTGCCGTTCTCCTTGGTGGTGGCGCGTACTATCTGCTCTCAGGAGATGGAGAGAGCGCTGCTGCAGCCAAAGCGAACTTCGTGCCCACCCAAGAGGACTATCAAAAGGTTCGTGCCAATTGTTTCTTGTTTGCTACCTATTGACATCTCAGGTCTACAATGCGGTTGCTAGTCTTCTCGACGAAGCTGGGGACTACGATGGTGCGTATTCATAGCTCGGTGTTCCAATCTAACACCTCTTTCAGACGGTTCATTTGGCCCTGTGATCCTCCGTCTTGCCTGGCACGCGTCAGGGACATACGACGTTGCTACCAACACTGGTGGAAGGTTCGTCGCCACACTAGCCATATTACACGCCCTGAAAACGTGTCAGCAACTTTGCCACCATGCGGTTTGCCCCCGAATCGCTGCATGGCGCCAACGCTGGCCTGGATGTTGCCCGCGGGCTTATGGAGAAGATCAAAGCACAGTTCCCCTGGATTTCCTACGGTGACTTGTGGACCCTGGCGGGTGTTGCGGCAGTCCAGGAAATGTCTGGCCCCAAAATTCCATGGCGTCCTGGCCGCATCGACGGGTTTGCGGAGAACGTTACGCCGGATGGACGCCTTCCAGATGCAACCCAAGGTGGCGCCCACCTCCGAGCTGTAAGTTTTTGTCAACGGTGATAACGGTCGCTTATGTGCAAATAGATCTTCGGGCGAATGGGGTGTGTAGTATGATCCTCTTCTTTCTACTGATCTAAACAACGGTCTAGTTTCAATGATCAGGAAATAGTCGCTCTCTCTGGCGCACATGCGCTCGGCCGATGCCATACTGACCGCTCGGGATTCCATGGCCCGTGGACATTCTCGCCGACTACATTGACCAACGACTACTTCAAGTTGCTGTTCAGCGAGACGTGTGTTCTTATTCTCACTGTTTCTTGTATTGACGCGACTGCAGCTGGGTATGGAAGAAATGGAACGGCCCAAAACAACTAGAAGATAAGAAGACGAAGTCGTTAATGATGCTGCCGTTTGTTTCTTCTCTTATATATCGCGCTTGAACTAACCAAGACCTTTCACTAGCACCGACTATGTCATCATCTCCGACAAGGGTTTCAAGAAATACGCCAAAGCGTACTCTGAGGACAACGATTTGTTCTTCAAAGAGTGCGTCTTCTTTGCCATATTTACGTTGTTAACATGTCGAAAGCTTCTCTGCTGTAGTCGCCAAACTGTTTGAGCTTGGTGTCCCTGCCTCTCAATGGGTATCACCTGAGCCGTGGACGCTGCAAACACTGGACGAGCAGAAGAAGTAACCAAGAAGTCTGGCCCAACTGTGGGGCTTCGATCTAGATTTAGATTCTATAGACATACAGTGTAGTGCCTGCGAGCTTAGAAATTTAGAATGCTGTAACTCAAACAAGACCAACGGGCTGGATGAGCAAAAATAATGTTGGAGGTGCTGGTACACAATGTTATTGGAAATAGTAGGGTATCTACGGCCGAAACCCCGCAAGAGACCCATCGCCCACCCACCGAAACATGCAATCGTTGGGACGACTCGTCACCAACTCACCGGCGCCAGCTACCTTTCACCGAAGCTTATTCTCGAAACCAGCTCATCTCGGTGAAGAAGCAGTGCTGCAGATGCTTCTCCCCCAAGCGATCCCATGGAATCAGAGAAGTAGCGACAACGTTGGGTGACACACGCGCCGCCCATTTGTAACAGCCCACAAGGGCGGAAACGTCCGGTGCATGTCATCACTCCCCGAAAAACGGTCTCAACACAACTATCCAAAGCGAGCAAGAGCCCAGCACGGATCTGGGACGACAATGATGGAACACATCATTGGTAGCACTCGCCCCACATTTGTGCTGTGCTGTCAAGCCACCCCAGAAAGAGCTCGAAACCAATCGTGGAGCGGCGCAACAACGCGCGATAGTCTCAATGTCTACCAAACACTGCGAAGCTGCTCCTCTCGGGCCACAAGGGGTGCAGAACTTGTCCCCCAAGAGCAGCAGCATCACATTGTTTGGGACATCGAGATTTCGTTTGTCGTGCGGTCGTGGGTTCCCGTGACGGGCCACAGCTTGTTGGGGAACTGCATCGCTAATAAAAGGTTAGTATACTCACCCCTCATCCACCCACTCCGCCCCTAATCGACCCACAAGAGCTGATGAGGGAAATATGACACAGCCCTGCGAGGAAGGCCAGAGTCGCGGACGTGTCGACGGAGGAAGCTCTCCCTCGCCGAAAGGGTGGTCGCCGCACTAAGAAACTCTGTTATTGACGATGATCATGATGGGCAAGAAAAAAGCACGTACAGCACGATTGGCTGGCTTGCTATCCCGGGGAGCAGCCATCGTCAACGGCGGAGCAGTATTGGGTACCCTAGAGATGGCAAATCAGTTTGAGGACCATATGGAAGAGAATACATACGGTGCTAGTTGGCCCACTGTGTTTTGAGGGGAAGTAGAAGACGGGGATGCATTGGGCATACTGTGAATCAGGTTGATGGTCATACTGAGCTAGAGAGAAAGGTTCATACGCCGTGATAAGCTGACTCAGCGGACTCTGGGAGGTCGGCGCCGACGAAACATCTGACGCGCTGATGAACACAGTTTAGTTTATAGTGATGATAATAATGCATGAAAACAATACGTACACTGGGACAAGCTGGCCCACTGGATTCAGGGGTGAAGACCACGAAGTAGGATCAGTCACGTGCGAGCCACGAAGGAGTTCGGCTAGTGATGGCAACGCATCCGTGTTAGGGAGACTAGGCGTTGATTGCACAACAATAATGGGCAGGGTTGAAAATTGTGGTGACACTAATGGCTGTGGTAGTACCGGAGTAGAATCAAAGTCGAAATAACGATTTAACGCCTGCGCAAGTGACGGGAGCTGGATACTGGTCTGTGTAGGTTGCTGATTGCGGGGAAGGTCCAAACCAGCATCAAGACAAGGGGCTAACAAAGTACCATTAATAAAGGACTGCTGAATACTAGAAAAGACCGACCATTTGCAAGTGACGAATGAACCACGTCTGTCACAGACAGAGGCCCAACCAACGAGGCCAACGAAAACTGCTTGATCGCCATGACCGTGGCTCGCATCTCAGCCAATGATGGCCGTGACGCCGGAGACAGAGAAAAGCAGCGTTTAAAGAGGTTGGCTGTTTCTGGCGACAGCATATAGGCATTTTGCAAAAAACCGTCCGGGTTGAGACGGTATGCCGAGTATAGGGGGTCGTCCATGCGGGCCTCAGACCAGGGAACGTTGCCGTTGATGAGCTGGAATAGAGTAATGGCCAGCGCCCACAAGTCGGCTCCTCTGGCGGAATGCATGAACTCGAGACCGGTGGTTGCCTCCGGACTAAGGTAGGATGGCCGACCGGACCCCAGGCGAGCTTGAGGGTCTTTGGTGGCCATACTAAAATTGGCCAGTTGGATGCCAAGCCCCTGGTCATCACAGAAAATGTTCGACGGATCGAGGTCGCAGTGGAATATGCCGGATGCGTGACAACTGTCAACAGCATCCAAAAGTTGGACGAATGCTTGTTGAACGAGCCGAGGGTGGTCGATGTAGGAGCCCTGGTCGATTAAGCGGAACATGTTGTTGTCGACGCCGTCAAGGACCATGAAGAATAGTTCGTCGTTAGTTCCAGGTGCCTCGATGAATGTGTGCAATAGCGAAACCACCCCCCTGGTGTGGCTGAGGGTGGAATGGAGGGAGACTTCATTGTAGTAGTAGTCGTAGCGTTCGGTGCCTGGACAGACCTGTCGCATGCACTTGATGATGCAAGGAGACGAGTCGGGGTAGACTGTAGATATGCCCAGGTATATTTTAGCGTAGGCCTCGGTTTCGACGAGTTTGACGAGCTGCAGGTAACCATCATCGACATATTTTCCAGTGAGCGTTGGAAGGTCGGAAGAAGACCACCAGTGATCCAAACTTGAAGCGGATGTGGCAGAAGACATAGGTGAAATTTATATATAGCGTAGGTAGATGGTGTGAGCGTGGGGGAAGCAGGTGAGAGAAACCATTACCTCCCCAAGGCCATCTTATATACCTCCACCGGAAGTTTCACAGATCGAAGACTGAAGGGGATCGGTCTGGGATGAGACCGAGGATGGTGACAGTGACCAAAACGTGACTCCGTGACTCGAATCTTTTTCCTCTGAGCGCATCGCCAGCGCTGACAGCCTCGCCTTTTAACTTCCCCCAGTTTATGCACATTAGGACAAACAAAGCTTCACAGAACAAATTATCATCGAACCAGTCTACTCAGCCGCTTTCCAACTCCCAATATGGCATTCAAGTGCTCCCTGACGAAAGTCTTCTGCACATTGCCTCCCATCTGGACCCAAGGTCACTCTACTTCCTCGCCCAAGTCAGTCGCTACTTCAATCGACTCGTGAGCGATGACCATACCTGGCATCGAGCTTTTCTCTGCCAGTATTTCGGCATCAGTCCCGAAGCAGACTTGAATGACGCAAAATGTCTCCTCTTGAGGCGTTCTAGCGCCTCCTGGAAGTTAGAGTTCACTCGTTACTACATCCTTCGCAGGTATGTCATCCTCTCTGAAGTTATCTGTCTGCTCTGACTAGTGCCAGACGATGGGAACGGTCGCGAAATGCAACTACGACCCACATACCACTTCACTCAGCCATCTCTAGCATGCATCTGATGCCTTCCCATGGTCTGATCTCTTCATCTCTCCGATACGGAGTCGTAGCTCGTAGTCTTCCATTCACGGGTCGGGTCCTTCGGGGTTTCCTCGATGCTTCTGGGAGTGGCACTGGTCTCGGCATCGGAAATCCAAATACTGAATTCTCTCCCAATGTCTCTGCTTGTTCATTGGCCTCGGATGGCGGAACAGCGAAGATTGCATGGGGCTTTCGCAATGGCGAGGTGTGTCTGGCTGGATTCTGACTGCACTTGAAATTCATCACTGCTTAGGTTGCTTTCACCTCCGCAAACAAGGCCATGGATACTGCAAGTCGTTCCGCAGCCAAATTTACTAGATGCTCTGTGGAAGACGCTCATCATGGAGCCGTCTCTGAGGTTATCTGGGACGGCAGTCTAGTCGCGTCAACGGGAAGTGACGGCAAAGTCAAACTTTGGGATCCCAAGCAAGGCCGTTGTCTGTGGACATCCGCAGGATCAATTGTGCAGGAAGAGTGTATCAGGATTGCTGCTGCGATTGACCAAGGCATCATCGCTGCTGCTTATGACAGCGGTACTATCTCTGTCTGGTCTGGAATTTCGGTCAGCCAATCCCCTGGTTCGGTGTCCAGCGTCACGATTCCGGCCCCAATGGACGATTCCGCCCCGCATTCTGTTTCTGGTCTCTATATCGATCGTAATCGGGTGTTACTTGCCTCATTTGTGGACTCAATCTTCTTCTATCGTTTCCACATCGACCCCACCACCAATGCCATCAATTGCACTAAATTTGGTGATGCAGCATTGGGATCTATCACGACGATAACTCCTTTTTTCGCGGAAAAAGCAGGGGAACCGAGCCTCGTCATTACAGGCACCCAATTGGGCTGCATTGCTATCTATGACTGGTCCCAGTCAATTAGCCCACTACCGACCTACAAATTTGAGGCATACGCAGACGGAACCAGCGTCACTGCTTTGGCGTGGAATGGTCTCACCCTCGTTACGGGATGTGCCCAAGGGACAACCAGAATTTTCGATGCGCTGACTCTTGAATATCTGCGCTCATTTCCTTCGCCTATTCCTCGTCGCCGAACCGCCCCTGCATTTGCTGGTGGACCGCTCGCAGAAGACCCCGCTGTCAAACAAATTCTTCTCGGTTCAGAACGCGATGTTCTATTTGTTGCCGTTGGAGATCGTGTCGTCGCGTGGCGTGCGGGACCTGTACCGAAAGGAGGGTATCGCTCACCCGCCAAGAGCCTCTCTGGGAAGAAACGGGAGAGAGGGGACGCAAACTCCAAGGCTTACCGTGAGATCTCATCGAACCTCGGAAGACCGTTGCTCACACACACCCAGAACACATAGAGATGCGCCAAGCAATTAGTGACTCGAAATATCTCCTCGCAGATGAAGGTCGTCACTCTCAGCGAGCATATGGCCGCGAACGCGAGCAACGGGCCCAACTCGACACATTGGGCTTGAGCGAAGTCGAAGCGGTTGAATATGTGCTTATGTTGAGCCGTGAAGACGCAATTGAACGGGCTTCTCATCAAAGTCAGCCTCTAGACGAGGGCGAATGGGACACAAGTCGGTCTTCATCATCCACTGCTTCGTCGTCTCCATCTCCTTCAACATCGCGTGGCCAACCAATCATGATTCCCCGTGCATCCAATTCAAGCTCGAAGGTTCAGGTTTCTCCGCCTGAGTCGATTGAGGCATTCCTTCAATCGGCGACTTCTGACACTGTCGGCAACTTCCCCCAGATCGGCGGCAGCATTAGTCCTCCCAGAAGTGGCGCGAAAAAGTCCGCTTGGAGTACGCCGTTGACGACTTCACCTGTGGTCAGTCCGGCGAACTCTGATGGTGTTACGTCCTCAGCAGCCAATACCAGTAGGAAGGAGGACGAAATGGATGACGACCTCCAACTTGCCATTGCACTCAGTTTATCCCAGATGAAATAAATTCCTAACACGTTTTAGACAAGAGTCTCATCTGTACCGTTTACAAATAAATAGCTAGGTATGACATGACGACTTATTACCTTGTCCAGTGTCTATAGCCTCCTAGATCATTTCCGTCTACAACGTATTCTCGAATGCCAACGCGCGTTTAAGACTGCTGGCCAGCATTGTTTTAACCCCGTCGTTAGTGGGGGGTAGAGGGACGCGTGTTGCACCACCCAGCTTGATGTCCGATTCGACATACGTGTCGAGCGCGTACTTGGTACCCTGAATACCAGCCTTAACAATTGCCCAGTCAGCTTCGGCGACAAGATCTTGTAACGCCCGTGCTTCTTCCAGGAGGGCCATGTCGTTGGAAGCCAACGCGAGAATGGCGGTGTCGTAGAGCTTGACGATGGTCTTGGGGATGACATTTCCTATGTTTCTCATTCAGCGAATCATGAATAATAATTCAGCGACAAGTCCGTAAAGCATCACGGTCAGCTGCTGGCTGTGATGTCACGCGACTTGTGGAGTCGAGGATTGGAAGAAGAGAAGAAGAAGAGATGACGAACCAGTCCCTGTGATGCAGCCCGACATGCGGGAGATGAGGGAGGGGAGGAGGATGTCCGAGTAGCCCGGCAGCACGAAGAAGGTTTGTGGATGTCGTTCCTTGTAGGCGGCAGATTGAGTGTGGAGGGCCAAGCGGTGGCCCTTGCCGACCATGGCGCAGGTCAGCTTGGCACCAAAGCAGTTCTGGTGCTCAGATAGCTCGATGAGGGTATCAGAGTTGAAATCTATGCCTGATGCAGCGCCACTGGAAGGAAATGCTAAGCGAGATTGTGTCGATCGAGAGAGGGAGAGACAAACGGGAAGTTGTATATCATGACTGGTATAGGGGAGCCATCGAGGACCTTGTAAAAGAAGGCTTTGAGGGCAGCAAGGTCGCGCCCAATCGCAAAGTTGAAGTAGCCCGGAGGAATGACGATAGCGAAGTCGGCGCCAGCATCGCGGGCTTCTCTACACAGTCTGACGGTTTCCTTTGCACTTCCCGTACCAGTTCCTGGTAGAGTTGGTCAGATTTTGCCAGCGGTGCGACCAAAGGAAACACACCAGCAAGGATTGGAACGTGGGTGAAGCCATTGCTGTCCAGAGCAGCCCGAGATTCTCGGATAACGGCGGAGCGCTCGGAGTCGTTAAGATGAGAAGCCTCTCCATTGGTTCCAAGCAGAACGATGCCCATCCTTGCTTTGGCTAGACGAACCACCTGCGCTTTCAGCGCGCTATAGTCGACTTCCTCGTCGGGTGTAAACGGAGTTGTCACGGGACACCAAGCGCCAGCGGTGAAAGGGCGGGAAAGCGTTGCAGGTGCCATATCGTTGGGAGTGGTCATTTTGGTGGGGGCGGAGGAAACCGTTTATATACGCGCTGTTGGAGGGTCGCTTCCCGGCCCGGCCCGCACCCGGAAATTCTCACGGTCGCCAACCCTGCTTCGGAGCACGGCCCGGGTCTCCCATTCAGGTTGCGTTCGCCCTTCATGTCGTTCCTCGAGTCGCTGTTCTCTTTGCAGGGCCGTCTAGCACTCATAACGTGATTATGAATGCAATCCGCTTTTCTTGGGCTCAACATCACGAACACAGGGGTGGAACTCGAGGAATAGGGCAGACAATGGCTCTTGCACTTGCTAAAGCTGGTGCCGACCTCGTCCTCGTCCAGGTTTAATATTTTCTGCGCTTTCTTCTGGTTTAACTACATATCCTAGCGTGACCCATCCAACCAAGACACAGCCGATCAAGCTAGAGAACTTGGTCGCCGTGTTACAGTTATCGAGTGCGATTTGGCAGACAAGGAGAGTGTGAGCACGATTGTGCATAGAGTCACTGCAAGCGAAGAGGACGGAGGTCTTGGCCTTACGATCGATATTCTCGTCAACTGTGGGGGGATTCAACGCCGGTAAAGAAATTTCTTGAGAAGACGATTACATAATGGCTTACCGCCGCCAGAGCACCGGCAGAGACGTTTACGGACGAAAATTGGAATGAGGTGACTTTTGAACGGGTCCAAAACGTTCTTGTTCATATCCAAAAGGTTTTGCAAGTCAATTTGAACGCGGTATTCACTCTTTCGCGTGATGTCGGTGCACATATGCTCAAGACGCGCGGAGTTGGATCGCAAACACACCGAGGAAAGATTATCAATATTGCGAGCCTATTATCTCACCAAGGTACGTTAATTACGAGACAAAAAACCTCAGCACCGCATCTCCAAAAGGTGGATTGACCGTACCTGCTTATGCTGCCGCCAAACATGGCGTTTTTGGCTTGATAAAAGCTCTCTCAAACGAATGGAGCCCGAAGGGCGTCAACGTAAATGGGTGGGTTGCACTGCCATTTGGTGCTTGAGCACTCAAGCTGACAGAATTTCGCCTGGATATATCGCCACCGAGGTATGTTCGTTGCTGTGGTTTGGAGAAGGTATTGACCTCGCAACTTGGAAGATGAACACTGCGCTCATTGCCGACCCGGTACGATCACGACAAATCTTAGAGCGCATCCCTGCACAGAGATGGGGCTCTCCGGCTGATTTCGAGGGTGCGATCGTGTTTCTTGCGAGTAGGGCATCAGACTATGTCTGCGGGGAAAGTTTAGTAGTAGACGGTGGGTGGATGGGACGGTAATCAAGTCGACAAAGATTAAATAACCAGGGGAAAATTCGAGTAATGCGACTTGAGCACTTAAGATGTGGACGATGACCACTGTGTGGCTCGAGTGTGATTCAAGCCGTAGAAGGAGTGAGATCAGAGGGAGAAGGTTGCAAGGGAAGGGATTCAGTGACTTGAAATTGGCGAGTCAGGTTAACTCACGCCAGCTTGGGCTTTGCTGCACTAGTGGCAGCAAAGCGTCACGAAAAAACCAACGAGTCTTAAATAAGTCCCCTACTCGCGAGTGAGGCACATGCAGCAATTACAAACAGTCAGATTGAACATCGTGGACTACCCAGACGAATACCATTTCGCAGTGCCAGTGACCACTAGTGAGCAACTCGATTGCGTTATGAGTTGCGACGTTGACAACCTGAGCGCGGAGCGAGTGAGTAAATAGTATGATTCAGTGGTCGTGGATGAAAGCAAGCTTGATTTCCGGCCCGTCCCGATCTGATGACCCGTTAGCGTCAACTTTCTTCCTCGCCACCACGACGAGCGTGTGCGGTTTCATCCCTGGTTGCTCAGATATATTCAACTTGTTGAGGTCTGGCTTAAGTTTTAACGGACACGATTAAGTACTTACCACCAAGTTGCCACCCAGTACTACATAGTGGCCCAAGCCGCGGCAACACCCATCAACTGTCAATGCGTTAGCCGTGGGCGTTTCTCTGGCGTCAACCACACATCTTTACAGGAGAACCCGACACCCAACCCATTTTTGCGTGGGTTTAATTCCATGTCTGCTGGTGGCAAATAGAAAAGCAGGAACATCGGTCAACCCCAATCATTCGCAATACTCATGGGCTCATTGTTTTTGTATGGAATCCAGACTGGTATGATACCTCTCGTCCATTTCTGTACTTTCTCCTCAACTCAACAAGCTTACAATGGTCGGCAGCCGGCCTCAACTTGGCTTGATAAATTATGATTAAAGTTCCGCTTTCGAATGTTGAAATGCTTGAAGAAATCAACCGAACGGCCGCCGTGTATTTCAAGCTCTGCAAACTATAAACTTCAGTCTCCTTACCTCGAAGCAGCGATGGCTTGTCGATAGACCATGCAAAAAGCCGCAGCAAGGTAGCAGCATTCTGCATGGACACTTTCCACCACAACTCGACGATTTTTTTTTGTCAAGACACTCCTATTTCATCGGCATGCAAGTGCCAACGAGTTGCTACCATATGGCCTACTGGGGCCGAGACATATAAAGCCAATTCTAAATCGAAAACTACTAGGTAGTATCCGCTCAACGATGACCCCACTTCCTCCAGTCATTGTTTACGTTCTGGGTGGTTGGGTGAGTCTGTAGCTATGACCGATTTCCCACATCTAACATTTGCGTGGCTAGGATTTAGGTATTTGCGGGGATCTCCTTCTACAGGGTGTCATTTTCGCGCAAATATCGCACTACTTCACTCTCTATCATTCTGATGTACCCGCCCTCCGCCTGTTCGTCTATGGTCTCATACTGCTCACGACGCTGAAGTCGATGCAAATGATGTGCGTGGCCGAGTGCCTTGTTTTCGATGCGAAACCGACATGTTTTGTCCACTGTAGCGGCGTTCTATGGGTTCAGAATGTCATCCACTTTGCCGATCTCAATGCAGCGGCGTTAATGTTTCGCACCCACTGGCTTGAACAAATCAGTCTAGGCAATGAGCAATTGTCCAATCACTTTCATATATTCATCTCTCACACTAGGCTTTGGCGCCTGCATATCCTTTTATGTGCATTTGTTTCTCTGTCACCGTCTTTGGGTAACCCTTTCCTCCAAAGACTCATTCCAACGACACTCAAGGTTTGCAGGTTCTTTGTAAAAACATCTACATCGTTGGCACTTTGGTGGCCATCTTTTGCTTTGCGTTCATTGCGGTTGTGGTAACGGTATGTGTCCGTTCTCCATTAGTAAATCATTCATTTAGGATCTCGTTCAGACCGTCTTCACGTTCCGTAACGTTGAATTGCTGGGAGGCATCTGGCGTGAGTATACATCGGCATCCAATCCATACGAGTTGAAACCTCACAGTTTCCATCCACATCGGTGTCGTATTTGGTGGAGACGTCCTTCTGTGTCTAACGACGGCATACTTCCTCTTGGTGCGAGGGCCTTTTTCTTCACACTGCAGCTAGACCCATTTACAGTATAGAAACACTCCAAACAAGTCCTGCCCCAGACTGCAGGAATGCTCAATGCAATCCTCAGACTCACCTTTCAGTCCGCCGCGCCGGGTGCCGTCTGTGCGATGATGAACCTCGTAACCTCGCGAACTTCAGTCAATCCTAGCAATCCATTCAACGTCTCCCTTATGCTCTCCGTCATAACGAGCAATCTCCTCCCGAAATTGTATGCTTTCAGTGCGATGTGGACCTTGAATTCCCGGCGCTCTATACGCCTTGCCGCTTCGTCGGGCCGGAACACGAGCAGCAACGAAGGGCCAAGTGGGGGGAGGAGAACGGGTGCGAGTGGTGGACGGGGCGTCGAACTGGGGACATTTGGGGGGGTCCAACGAATTCAAGTTCGCACGCAAGTCCAAACCACGCATCATACGGATGAAGATAGTGCGATGTTCGGGCAAGACGAAGCTGATAGGAAGGCTCGGGGAATGGAGGAGGAGGCTAGTCTTGAAACGAATAAGAGAGGTCTACGTCGATAATTCCTTGAAAAATTATTCTTGCAGGCAAGTTGCGGCCGAGTCTAGGTTTACGGGTTCGACAGAGCTTTGAGGTATGGTGATTTCCGTCCCTTCAAATTTTAGCGTACTCAAATCATGGAGAAGCAATGAGTAGTAGTGAAGGTCTCCGGTAGGATCGTCGCACGAACCAATTGATCCGGCATACTTCCAAGATCGGGCCCCGGTAGAGGCAAATGGCCCATGCTGGTTTCTAAGTGACTAATGGTTGTTTCATGGAGAAGTCCAAAGTACTGTCGACGAAGAGCATACCCGTCAAACAACTACCTACGTATATTACCTAGCACACCGTCACGTGCAAATAATACTTGGTTCAAGAGGCCGACGCGTGGCGGAGTACCAACAGAACATCATGTTGTACTTTCTTGTTCGTGCCGCATGAGCCGCATGTAACTGCCGAGTCCAGCCGCAGTACCGTGGTTGGCGCTCTAGATGATCGAGGGACGAGAGTGATCGAGAGCTGGGTTTGCGGATGAGAGGTGTCGCAGACAGGAGACAACTCTCCTGCCTTCTGCGACACAGACAACGCGCGCGAAGACATACCTAGCCACTAATTGTTTCTTTGGATTACTTTCTCATTTACTCTCCGCTACTCATAGTCACCCAAAACTATGCCCAACAATCCTAACCCTCGCCTCCTTTCCGATCCCAACCTGGCAATCTGTCCCGACTTCAGCAGTGATGCATACGATATCATTCGAGCAGCACTGACCACTCAGAACTCGGGGATAACAGACCCGATTGCTGCCCTCCAGAAGTCGTGGACCGACAACAATGAAAAGGAGAAAGAACGCTGGGCCAACCAGGTGGCCGCTGACGAAGCAGAGCGCGCAGAACAAGAGCGTCTACGCCGGGAGGCAGAAGATCAGGCGGCAGCAGCAGTAGCTCAAGCCGCAGAAGCCGAAAAACTTGAAGCGGAGAAGAAAAAGCCGAAGCTAGGCGATTTTAACATCACTACGGCGCCACCTGCACGGCTCGAAACCCGACTTTCTCACTACGCACAGAAGAAACTCGAAAAGAAAGAGTATGTATACCTGTGGCCTTTCACACCGAAGGGTCTGGCGGAAACCGAGATAGCCTCTCTATCCTCAGCAGACGACAGCTCCACCTTCAAACTCTCCCAGAATGCCGACAGCGAGCTGACCGTGCTAGCGGGACCATCAGCAGGATCTCATAAGAGTATGCGCCGAGATCAAGAGCTTGAGTTCCGCGAGTTCGAACTGGGCTCCAACCGGTACCTAGCAGAGCTCCCTCGGTTCAACTTCCCAGAGCAACACGTCAACGCCCTGGCCGTTTTCTTCTACGACGTCGTCTCCCACCCCATGCGTGCCCAAGCTCATGGAGAGCAGATTCTCCTGAAATATGCAGACCGGTACCGTGAAGAGTGGTTCCGAACTCTTGGGACTCCAGCGGCATTCAACATCTCTCTGATCAACGAAGATGGACTTGAAAGAATTCGGCGTGAGCATATGCAAAAGCTGGAGGCAGATGCCCTATCGCGGTAAGCCCTAGAAAGCCGAGTCAATACCCTCACTAACGGAAACTTTGCCTTCTCACTCACTTCTTGTCATTTGCCGCTGCCGCTTGCCGTTGCCGTCTGCCTTTGCCGTTTGCCGTTGCCGCTCGCCGTCGAACCGCCTCGCGGTCATCTGCCGTTTGCCATTGCCGTTCGCGTTTTGCCGTTGTCGCAATCAGACTAGCAGCTGCAAGCTATCGAGAGCTGTCAGACTCAGGACCAGCACGATCCACCAACCGCGCCGACCGTACAGAAAGACGGTTTGACCCGACAAGCTCTCGCCGGAGGAACGACGCAAGCTCATCCGCAGATCGCCTTTTTCAAGGCAGCGCACACGCAGGAGCCGTTACGTGTGCGCTGTGCCTCGGGCTCCACCCAGACGCGTCAAAGTGCCGCGCAGAAAAATTCTGGAATGGAGGTCGAACCAGATGCACTCGCGAACGAGGCGTGTTGGAAACCCGAGACCATCGTGTCCTGTGCCTCAACTGGCAGCGAGAATCCGGTTGCCGGCAACCAGAATTTGGGAGGAAACACAACCACGAGTGCTCGGGTTGTGGCTCAACCTCTCACGGCGCTTCAGGCTGCGATCGCCGACAGAAGGCTTAACCCTCTCACCCCTCTTAGAGCAGAAGCTTGGGAAGATGCGCTCCGTAGAGGCCAGCTCTTCGACAGATACCCCGACATCCCAGCAGGGCTGCGGAACGGTTTCAATATCTCCATTCCTCCCATTTACTCAACCATTACCCCGGCGAACAGCAAAACTCTCGGGGAGCACCAGAAAGCCTTCTTGGACGTCATATCATCCGAATTCAGCGCTCGCCGCTACTTGGGACCATTCAGTCGTCCACAAATGGAGGCGGAGATCGGCCACTTCCAATCATCACCTTTATCTATGGTGCCCAAACCTCACGAAATTGAAAAGATGCGGCTGGTCCAAAACTACTCATTTCCCCGAACCCCCAAGGAAGGCCTTTTCTCAATCAACTTTTACATCAATTCGGACGACTTCCCCTGTACCTGGGGAACGCTCAACGCTGTCTCTTTCAAAATCTGCATGCTACCGCCAGGTTCCCAAATCGGTATTCGCGACGTATCAGAAGCCTACCGCAACATTCCAACCCATGAGTCTCAATGGCCGGGGGCGGTGGTTCGTCTCCCACAGGAGGTCTTCGATCTCTCAAACCGACCAGATCTGGCAACCTCGAGAGAAGACGTTTTTGCACTCGACACAAATGTCTGCTTTGGAGAGAGCTCAGGAGCTGGAGGTTATGGGCGAAGTCGGAGATGGACTCGCTGACATTATTCGCTCGAGAGGTTTGGGACCCATGTCAAAGTGGATCGATGACTCATGCTTCCTGCGAATACGCCGAGAGTTTCTACACGAATACAACAAGAACCGCGCCGCAGTTGCAGAGCATCTTCAAACCTGGGGAGGCCAACATCATTCAGCGGGACGCCTTTGGTGGGGTGGGGAAGAACTTCCAGATGGACGAATTGAAGAGTATGATGAAGATTTCGCAACCCCGATCGAAGATTGGTCAGGAGTATCTAGCCGCTCTGTCGCTGACGCGGAATTCTGCTACAACTTCAACGACATCAACGCAGTTACAGACCCGCTGGGGGTACCATGGAAATCCAAGAAGGACATCCCCTTCAGCGAAGCAGCGCCATATACCGGCTTTATCTGGAATCTGGCAGACCGCAGTATCAGCCTCACCCCGGAGAAGGCCGAGAAGTACAGGAATTGCATTACAGCATGGCTCGCAAAGAGGACGCACACACTGCAGGAAGTTCAACGACTGTTCGGGAAGCTCCTGCACGCTTCAATCATTATTCCCGCTGGACGTGCCTATATCACGAAACTGGAGTACATGCTGGGTGTTTTCCATGATAAGCCGTTCATGCCCCGCACTTCCCCGCGAGGAACGAACAGCGACCTCGAATGGTGGCTACACGCCCTCAACAGACCGCACCTTAGCAGACCGATTCCCGGTCCCTGTGAAGTCAGCGACACTCAAGCGTACTCAGACGCAAGCTCGGGAGTTGGAATCGCGATTGTCATCAAATCTCATTGGCGAGCTTGGAAATTATGTCCTGGGTGGAAAACGGTCGGGAGAGATATCCTCTGGGCAGAAGCTATCGGCTTCGAATTCCTTATTCGAACCCTTATCGCGGAAGGAGCTGAGAACCGTCACATCGCAGTCTACGGCGACAACGAAGGAGTGGTCAAGGGTTGGTGGGCAGGTCGCAGCAGGAACCAAGAAGTTAACGACGTCTTTCGGCGCATACACGCGATTTGCGAGAACGCAGGCATCTCAATCCGTTCCCGCTATGTCCCCTCGGAGTTTAATCCCGCCGATAACCCTTCACGCGGGGTCTACCCGGACAGGAATCAGCTGCTCCGCCCTATCCCAATCCCGACAGAACTCAAAGACTTCGTGGTCAACATCGGAGACAGAGATTTCGACTTACCCGCGGACTCTACGTCCTTCATCGCGTATCCTCCAAAACAACGTTCTCGGGAACGCAACATCGGAAACTCAATCTACAATGCCGACTGGGTCGCACAATTTCAATGGGACCCTTAGAGTTAACAGCCGGCCGCGAAATCTCAGGTAACTTCCTTTGAAAAGCCTACACGCCGCAAACTCGACTGGTGCTAATCAGCTCCGTACAGATCACGTCCACGTCCATATCCCGCCCATCTGACACTAATTCCTTCCCCGCTGAGACCCATCTGTTTCGCAAGTGACAGGTTGTACGCCTGGTCACCAGCCTCGACATCCCGCCAGAACAGCATCATATCTACATCGGACCAGGAGAACATCAAGCGCGTGCTCTCATTTGCGTGGCGAGACGGGACACTCGAAACGTATGGAACAGGTCTCCTGGTGTTTCATTGCTTTTGCGACACACGTAACATACCCGAGGCACAACGAGCTCCAGCAAGCCGCGAACTTCTCGCAGCCTTTGTAGCAGCAGCCGCAGGTTCATACGGAGGTAAGACACTGGAAGGGATGCTCGCCGGGGTGCGCGCTTGGCACATCATTCACGGTGTCGACTGGTTGGCAAACGACTCAGAATGTGAGGCGCTGCTGCGAGCAGCCAGCGCATTAGCTCCTGAAACTTCCAAACGAAAGCCGCGTCGACCGTTCACCCTTGAAATAATCGAGTTGATCTGCAACAACCTCGACAAGTCGAAACATCAAGATGCGGCAATATGGGCGTGCCTCACTATTGCGTACTACTCATGCGCGAGACTGGGAGAGTTGGTGGTAAAAACATTGGCGAGCTTCGACGCTACAAAGCACGTCACCAAATCTGGGCTGCGAACAGAAACGGACAGGCATGGACTCGAAACGATCGCTTTGCATATACCAATAACAAAAGCGTGCCCGACCGGAGAAGACTTAGTCTTTGCAACTCAAAGTGGACCTTCCGACCCGCGAAATGCGCTTGCACACCATCTGTCCTTAAATCTCCCGGATACCCGCTCCCACCTGTTCTGCTACAAATCAGGCCGAGCTCGGCGGCCTCTAACCAAGTCGGCATTCTTAAAGCGCATTCATCAAATTCTCAAAGCGAACAACCTCGACCCGCTTCAAGGCCACGGAATCCGCATTGGTTCAACTCTGTTCTATCTATTGCGTGGAGTTCCTTTCGAAGTAGTCAAAACAATGGGACGCTGGCAGAGTGATGCGTTCCAGCTATACCTCCGCAAACACGCTCAAATTTTGGCTCCTTACATTCAAGCAAATCCCGAACTGCACGCAGAATTCATCAAGTTATCTATGCCTCCAATACGCTGTGAGTCTCCCTCCTAAAGAGCTCTGGGGTTCCGCCTGGATGCGTCGTTAGACTCCTACTGACTGTGGGCTTCCATGCAGAACCCCGTTGTGCCGGAAAGCAGAGCTGTCGAGCGGGCGCGAAAGTCACACGCCCGCAAGACACCTCTCGCCTTTCTCCCACCTTCCGTTTCTGACTTCACACCACGCGCGAACGAATCCGCAAATTGGCGCTCTAGATGATCGAGGGACGAGAGTGATCGAGAGCTGGGTTTGCGGATGAGAGGTGTCGCAGACAGGAGACAACTCTCCTGCCTTCTGCGACACAGACAACGCGCGCGAAGACATACCTAGCCACTAATTGTTTCTTTGCCCACCCTCCACTCCCTGTAATGCATATTATTATTGACTGGAAATTGGCTTCATGAAAATCTCTTGGGCCAACGGGCTTCCATGCAGAACCCCGTTGTGCCGGAAAGCAGAGCTGTCGAGCGGGCGCGAAAGTCACACGCCCGCAAGACACCTCTCGCCTTTCTCCCACCTTCCGTTTCTGACTTCACACCACGCGCGAACGAATCCGCAAATTGCTACCATAGTCAATGATCGATCATTAATCTCGGTCCCAGATCTTCAAGGGCCGGGGGATGGGGCATCACACATCACGTCAGAAAAAAAGACAGTATCAAACTGCTGTTCCGCCGGCTCCGCGAAGCAGAGTCGCTCGCTCGGCCCTATGGATGTCTGGGAACTAGTGAAGGTCAATCTACGGCAAAAGTGCAGGCGTGCGTCTTGAGCGCTTGAGCTTCCTTCAATGACCCGAGTTACTCGATAGCGGAGAAGAGAAATGTTTGAGTTTCTGATCATTGACACGCATGCTGTCATGTCCGAATGACGGTTTGAACTTTTTTTACATCAACCACTATCCAGCCCTCGCCGCAATCTCGTCTGTTATGCCAGCGAACCGTTCATATGTGCTCCTCGATCAGCCCAAGACTAGAAAAGCGAAAATAGGGCGATTGTGCCTGCTAAGTCGGGCCAGTGGTGGGACCTCCGCTTCGTGTCATTCTTCGACTCGAAGCTGTTCTGCGGAATGTATTCCCTTTCCCCCTGTCCTCCTTTTGGATCCACAGGAAATGCGACAAGGCACAGTGCGGTGACCCGTCTTGACTGCCATTCTCCTAGACCGCCTCTACACTCAATCAAGTCCGCCTTATCTCTAACCTCATAAACGGGCCGATTGCGACATCAATTTTGAACATCTGGCTCGAGAGTATAACTCGATCTTGCTTCTTGGCTAAATACAGGAGTGTCCTTCCTCTCTAGATTCTGGGCGGAGCCTTATGCAGCTTGAGGATAGACAAACTTCTACGAGTTGTAGCTGGACGTAGGCCACTTTTTATAGCCAAATTTTGCATCTTAAATTGGCCATGCCAGGATGTTTGAAACTTCAAGTCTTGCGAGAGAGATCTTCGTTAACCGGCTTGAGCTCCTATCCATCGTCATCTTCGTCAGTTCCTATCACGTTTTCCCTGATATGATTATACTCCAAGCCGCTCGACGAAGAATAAATAAACAGCAGATGAAGCCAGAGCTTCCTGTCCACAATGCCACTCCCTGTCGTCACCTATGTTTTGGCCGGTTGGGTGAGCTTCTTATTACTGCTTGAACCTGGGAATGAACCTGATTGACGCTTAGGATCTGGGTATCTGTGCCGATCTCCTACTTCAGGGCGTCGTTATTGCCCAAGTAGCCCACTACTTCACTCTTTATCATTCCGATGTCCCCGCCCTTCGCATATTCGTTCTCGGCCTTTTGTTCCTCACGATACTCAAGTCGATGCAAATGATGTGCGTATTCTGGCCCTCCAATTGCAGTCTCAAGATTAACTATGTAACTGTAGCGGTATAATGTGGGTTCAGAACGTCGAATACTTTATGAACCCTGGCGCTGCTGCTGCAATGTTCACCAAACACTGGCTCAAGCAAATCAACTTGGGTATTTGCTTATTTTTCGCTCGCTTTTCCGACTCTAACTCGAGATTTGCTTCAGGATTCGGCGGCTTGATAACCTTTTACGTTCAAGTGTTCCTCTGTCAACGTCTTTGGGTGGGTAGAGTTCTCTCTTTCTCGGCTCGTTGAACTCACCCAGTCTTAGGCTCTCAGCAAAAACATCTACATCGTTATTCTGCTTATGTCTGTTTTCATCTTCTCGTTGCTGGCGGCATTTGTGGCGGTATGCTGGATATCCTCGCGGCTTTGATCAGTTGCTTAATATCGTCCAGACTGGTTTCACGTTTAGCGACCAGCCGCAGCGAATAAACTGGAGTGAGTATTCTTTTCCCCCGCCACAGGCGCTTTTCATGTAGTACAGTTTCGATTCACCTTGGGGTTGTCTTCGGCGGAGACCTCTTACTTTGCAGCTCAACAGCTTACTTCCTGATGGTGCGGACCCTTGGATTTCATGTTGATCCCGCACTAATACTGAGTTGGACAGAAACACTCGAAACAAGTTTTACCGCAAACGGCAGGAATGTTGAATGCCATTCTCAAACTGACGATCCAGAGCGCTCTGCCTGGCGCACTCTGTGCCATGATCAACCTCATTACTTCTCAAACTGGCGACAAGTCCAACCCATCGAATCCATCCACGCTGATCTCCATCATATCTACTGATATGCTACCCAAGCTTTACGCGCTTAGTGCAATGTGGACGCTGAATTCACGGCGCTCCATCCAACTTTCGCGCTCAACAGGCCAGAATACGAGTAGTACAGAGGGACAGAGTGGGGGACGGAGAACTGTCAACCCTAGCGGTGGACGGGGTGTTGAACTGGGGAACTTTGGAAAGGTCCAGCGCATCCAAGTTCGCACTCAGGTGCAAACTATGCATCATACAGACGATAACGTTGTGGTGTTTGCCCGTGACGACGATCTAAAGCCGAGGGGAATGGAGGAGGCCAGTCTCGATGCAGAGACCGGCTCAACGAAGATGTAAAACTACCGAATTGTACACGGAGCTTTGTTGTTGATCAAGTTCCAAAAGACATACCTCTTTCAAACTCATTTGAACCTGCCTCTCGCGTTGACCTTCTAGATAAAACTTGCCAATTGAAATAGAAATTTTTGTTGCGACGCATAGCTTTACCACCAATATACTAGTGAGTAAGCAAAGCTTATATCTGACCACCATGACCAACGGACCACCTGCCTCAGCTGCGGGTCCCAGTCGGCCCGTACAGCCTCAGCAATACCAGCAAATTGCTCCAGGGCCCCATCCACACCCATACTATGTTCAGACAAGAAATGTCGAATCGGGAAGGACTCCCTATCAACAATGGACCAGCCCGGCCCCTTGGACAGCATTGGCTGGCTCGGCTGGGAGAGGCCAGTATGTAGGCAACCCCCCACAAATGTACACGCAGCAAGCACAGCGAGGACGTTATCCCGAAAGTCATGCACAACCAAGGCCACAACAACCATCGGTCCAGCAACCGGTCAAGACCGTAGACGCTGCCACATCTCCCCCACCGAGTCCAGTTACTCCACCACCTCCAGAATATCGGCAATGGGACCGTGTTATGAAGGATTTCCTTGTTAAACTTGGGCTGAAGCAGGCTCTGGCGGGGTTTGAGACAGATCTGTTGCTGATGAACGAAGACTTCGAGCATAAAACCGTGCCTAGCGCGATGGATGAGGTTATCCAGGGGTTCACGGTGCGTGCTCCGCGTCTGCCACTTTATTTTCCACTGGAATTGCCTAGATGATTCAACAAGGCTCGTCATTACCGAAAGACAATGTGCCTTTGGAAGAGCGCAAGCTGGACTATGTGCATACGCCAAATCCGGTATCTCCAACAACTGTGAATGGGTCGCCTCAAGTTCGGATCTAGCTAATACTTCCTAGATAACCAAGTCGATTTCCGTCTTTCTTGCTCAGAATCGCGCCAAGAATGACGCGTCTAATCGTGCCGAATTTCTTCTTTCACTTGCAGAAAAAAGGAAGCAGGTTGAAGCGGAAGGCAGTGACTCTTCTTGTGCACGTACCGACGCGAAACTCATTGACCGCGATGTCCAAATGAAGTATGACATTGCGCGCAACACTGACGGGCCGCTTCGTCGGACAGTCAAGATCCCTTCGACAGAGATACCTTCAACTTCCCCTGCAACATCTCGGGCAAGGACCAAGTCAATGGCTCGAGAGGAGAAAAAACCGGAGGAAGCGGATGAGAAGACCAACACACCAGTTAATGAAAGGCTCACAAACGTAGAAACACACTTTTCTGTTCGATATGGTGCGAATTTTTTAGGTCTCAGTGGCCATCTTACGTTTATGTAGTTCCTGGCCCTCCGGACAGCTTCGCGTCGCGGCTTCAGTTCCTCGAAGACCACATCATCCGATTGGAGAAAGACTATCCGCCATGGGCAGCACTGCACTTTAACCAGCCTAATCGTGGGGTTCGTGAGCCATTTTTCAAACTTTCCCTTGCTCAAAACACTACTGCAGTGGCCCCCACCGCCTCGGGCTACACCCATCATTGTTCCCCCACAACTTCGGACCACTTCATCAGCTCCCCTGCCCCCTGCAAAGGGTGGCAGAACCAAGAATACCGGCTCAACCCTACAAAGGGCGGCTATGGAGCAATTGGCCATCCGCGAAGCAAAGAACGATCTCGCAGGCCACAGCCAGAAGCCGGTGTAAAATTATTATTAGTAGTGCTGTATTACCCAATCAAGACATGATGTTTCTTCTCCGACGCTCATGTCAAAGGAGCCTTGGAAATCCGCTCTCTCCAACTCAGCTGCTGCCTCCAGACTCTCGACAGTAAAGACTTACGCGTCCCAACGCGACTTTCGAAGCCTTCAACGCGGTGTCAACACTGATGGATCTCGGCAGTCATGGAAAGACTGGGCTGGACAAAAGATTGCGTCAGCGACGGGAGGGATTCGTGGGGGTGGGGTAATTGCGAGCGAGCGGATTGCTTTATTTCCTGGGTATGCAACTAGGAAATATAGGGCAGATAATAAGGGTGCGTGCCTACTTATACACCTGCCGATGACTCCCTTCTTACATATACCCCCAGAAGCATTCGATGTCGAGTTGTTTGTCTCGGGTTTCGCGTCCAGTCATCGGGCACCAGAGCTAGCCAGTCGTTCTCAACGAGCGTTTATTCGACTTGCCAAAGGTTGGTTCGACAACTGTGTTCATTGCGTTATTGTGACCCTTGACAGGTTTCGCTGCTCTCCCCAAACTCGATGGTACCAGCGAGCTCACACAATCAACGGAGAATTTACTTTCCTCGGTGAAGCTTCCTCCAAGACCATCTGAGATGACCGAAGACCTGGAGGTAGAGGCACTAGAACGACAATTACAGAAGATCAATCGGTCAGACGAAGACGCCGAACCACCTGATTTCCCCTCCTCGCCGATTTCAAGCCATGGGTCGGTTTCCAATGACCTGCGCCGTTGGCACAACAATTTGGAAACCCGCATAGAACCTTTCTGGTCATCCGTCCTCTCTTCTCGCGCCGTCCGTTTCGATCTCTTTGCATCACCCCTCAAGACACCCGCTGATAACCGACCAGCTCATAATAGACAAGAAGAGCATGATGCATTGCAACACGGACCTATTGCCGCTCGCGAAGTAATCACAGGAGTTGATGGGAGTTTCCAAGCGCGTTTTAGCGTTACTTGGGAAGAGATGTGTCAGCATCCAGGTGCTCTACATATCGCTTTTGGCGAGCCCGGCACAGAACATGAATTGCTGGTGACTGCTGCTTTGCTACCAACGGTGGCGGCGGCAGCATTACAGTCCTCCATTTCCGAAACCAAGCTGCTCCATATCACTCTCACACATGCGCCAATTCGCGTCATATCAGACGTCGACGACACGATTAAAGTGGCTGGGGTAGTTGCTGGAGCTCGAGCCGTTTTCCACAACGTTTTTGTCAAGGATTACAACGATATCATCATTCCAGGTATGGGTGAGTGGTATACGGGAATGTGGAGACGAGGCGTGCGTTTTCATTACGTTTCAAACGGGCCGTTCGAGCTTCTACCTGTGCTATCCGACTTTTTCCAAGTCTCTCAGTTGCCACCAGGTGAGCTCTGCAGCCAATTATCATGGCCTTGAAACTCACATGGTTGTTTCAGGATCAATAAAACTTCGCTCATATGCCGGCCGTTCATTGTTCAGTGGGCTGCTTTCCGCCCCTGCTGCACGAAAGCGGGCTGGCGTTCTCGATATCCTCCAGGCATTCCCAGAGTCGCGCTTTTTCCTCATTGGAGACTCCGGGGAACAAGATCTGGAGCTTTATACTGAGTGTGTTTATTCAGGCGTAGTTTCTTGCTTTCTGATCCCGTGAACAGTCTTGTTCGCGAGCGGCCAGACCAAGTATTGGCCATATTCATTCGCGATGTTGACACCGGAGATGTTATCGAAGATCCAATTGGTTGGAAGGCGTCAGGCCTGGTTAATCTCGACAACGAAAATCCTCCAACGTTACATGCCAGCCCTAGCCCACTATATAGTCTCCCCCCTTCCCCGACTGCGAACTCGCATAAAGACTACTTTAGCGCAACGCCGCGCTCTTCTCAACCCGATCCGGTCGTAGACATGAACACTACGCCTCGACCAGCAACTCCACAAACAGCAAATACTCGGTTTACACGCGCGAGAACATTTACTAACAGCACAGTTTCATCTACCTCATCATCTACCTCCTCCTCCGGTTCATCAACTCAAAAACTGATGCGCGAAACGGAGAAACGGCGGGACGAATTGCAACTACGAATTTGGAGAGCACGGACAGCGTTACCTTCCCACATCATGTTGAGGTTATTCCGAAATCCGGGGGAGTGTGTAGAGGCAGATAAGATATTGAGAGAGCAGAAGTTGTAAATGTCCAGTGTACACGTAAATGATCCTGTTGTAGAAATCAGCTAAGTATCGCGAACTGCCAAGCTGAGCACGTGATCGCGGATCCGAACCTGCTTTTTCTTCCTCACTTCATGCTAGTACCAAATCACTCTCTACCATGTCTACTGCCACCCTCCCGTCACCTAAACACCGCCGCATATTCAAACATACCTCCCCGATGAAGCTGAACAGAAACCGGGCGAGTTTCAGGGCTTCGGTTGGCTACGACGAGCAACAATCGAGAAAATCGTTCGGTGGCCTATCTCCTGGGAAACGTCGATTGCCTCCGCCTCAGGCTGAAAGCACTCCTCCCAGGAAGAAGGCTCGGTTGTCGAACGGTGTTTCATCGACCATCCAAGAGCAGCGACAGGATCTACCTATTGCTCGAGGTGGGTGGTTTGACTTACATTCGCTTTCATGTCAACTCACGGTTAAATAGGCAGGGAAGCACTTGTACACGAAATCTCTGCAAACGAGGTGACTATTCTCATTGGAGAGACTGGGTCTGGAAAAACCACGCGTTCGTTTTATCTGCCTCGTTTTCCCTCTTTCCTTCCCTGATAGCCGATGCCCTGCAGAGGTTCCCCAGTATTTGCTCGATGCTGGCATTTCCGGTGAAGGCACTATTGGAATAACACAACCTCGCAAGGTCGCGGCGACGTCGCTTGCTTCCAGAGTTTCGACAGAACAGGGAACACCTGTTGGAGGAAGAGTCGGATATGCTGTCCGGTTCGAAGAGAGGGTTGGGCCTGACACGCGCATCAAGTACATGACCGACGGTATGCTCACGAGGGAGTTACTTGGCGATCCGTTGTTGAGTCGGTATTCGGTTATCGTCGTCGATGAGGCACACGAGCGGACGCTGCGGACGGACTTATTACTGGCCAGTCTGAAGAAGATACTAGGACAAAGGAACGGGAAGGAGAAGGAGAAGGGAAAAGGAAAGGAGAAATACAATCCTCTCAAGGTAGTCGTGATGAGTGCGACGCTGGAGGCACAGAAGTTTAGTCGGTTCTTCAACAAGTACGTTCGTGGTCTTTCGTGAACCTCACGCTAACCCGAATCTAGTGCCAAAATTCTCTACGTTAAAGGCCGACAACATCCTGTTAAGATTTATCACACCGCTCACAGTCAAACGGACTACGTTGACGCTGCGATGCGGACTTTTTTCCAAATTCATATCGACCAGCCTGCAGGCGACGTTCTCATCTTCCTTCCGGGCCAAGAAGACATCGAATCGCTGGAAAAGTCTCTCGAGATGTTTGCCCGCCAACTCCCGGTCGATTTTCCATCAGTCAAAGTAGTGCCTATGTTCGCTGCTTTGCAACCATCCCAACAACAGGTGGTATTTGCCCCTCCACCTAAAGGGTCACGCAAATGTATTCTGGCGACCAACATCGCGGAAACATCTATTACCATACCTGGGGTGCGATATGTCATTGACACTGGAAAGAGTAAAGAGAAGCGATATCTTGCAGGCCCAACTGGAGGAGGTTAGCTGTTCCATCGAATTCCTCTCAGTACTAACCCATTCAAGGCTTGGATACACTTCTGACTCGCGACATCACCAAATCAAGCGCAACGCAGCGCGCGGGACGAGCGGGCCGTGAAGGGCCGGGTTTCTGCTACCGTTTGTACACCGAGGAAGCCTTCAAGAAGATGGCAACAGCCCCGGAACCAGAAATACTGCGCTGCAGTCTTTCACAAGCGATCTTGCAACTGATGTGTCTGGGCCAAGATATTCAACAACTCGAGCTAATGGATAGTCCTGACGATGATGCTAGTGAATTTGACCCAACTTTTTTCCGTATGACCGTACTAATCATCGGTGTAGTTATTTCTGCTCTCAAGAGTCTCTTCTTGTTGGGTGCGATAGACTCTAAACGCGAGCTCACGCCGCTTGGTCGTGCCATGGCCAGTTTCCCACTCGAACCAATTCACGCCCGCACGGTGATTGCCTCGAAAGACCTTGACTGCACTGCCGAAGTTCTTGATATTGTGTCTGTTCTTGCTTCGAGCTCGAAACTTTTCGTTGACGTCACCGACAAACGCACCGAGATCGCGGATGCTCGCAGGAAACTTGTCCATCCGACTGGAGATCATTTAACACTACTCAACACACTCAAAGCGTACCGAGCGGTTGGTAGTGAAGACCAAGATGGCGACGACATCGAAGACAAATCCTTGGGAAAGGCAGGGCGCAACACTCGTAGAGAATGGGCCAGACAGCATTTTGTGAACGAACGAACTATTCGGGAGGCAGCGAACATACGGAACCAGCTTCGTATCAGTTGTACGCGAGCGGGAATTGACTGGAAGACGAGCTGTGGCGACAAGGATGAACCAGTTCTTCTGGCTCTTACGCACGGGCTGGCCCAAAATACCGCGTTAATTACTCCGGACGGGACATATAAGCAAACAATGGGCCAGCAAATTGTGAAGATTCATCCTAGTTCGGTCATGGCTGATAAGAAGGTCCCTGCGATTATTTTTGACGAACTCGTGAGTGTTCACCTCTTCGCTTTTGCTGCCTCTCACACTTGGGAATTAGGTATATACCAATCAAATCTACGCTCGTGGCGTCTCGTCGATTCAGAAGAGCTTTCTGGCGTCAGTGGGCACGTTTAGTCGGAGGGAGGCGTAGTAGGGTTGCTACAATGCTATTCGTAGACTAGTTGTGGTATTTTGGAAGGGACAGTGTGCCACATATCAGGCACTGATTCTGTCGTTCTGCAACTCGAAGTTGATCATCATTCAGGTCACGGGACCTATACTTGCTTCCTCTCAGCCATCGGGCTTCGCGGGCTTCGGATGTCGTGCGCTTTCATGGGCTCCCGAACGTCCGCCACCACCACATTTCTCATTAGAACGACTCGACAGCCATGAATCAGCAAAGGACGGTGGAAGGCGGGCGCCGGTTTAACCTGGAAGAGTTCCTCAAGTCAACCGAACAGAATCAAACCCACGCTGATAAGTAGAGCAAACAATCGCGAACTTTCGCGCCATTACATTGGTATCCATGCGCGGTTGTCGCTTGTTTGGCTGTCTCATAATATCCTCAGAGTTAAGGTTGCAGTCAGTCTAACGACAAGTCCAGTTGAAGAGCGTTGTGTTGCTTCAAGTCAAGTTTTGGGTGCCGTTTTGCAATTCAAATATTGGCCATTGTTAGCACAAGTCCAACAAATACTGGACTGTAGATGTGTCAATCGGACGAGACGGCTGCTCACATCTATCGAAGAAGCCCCACATGCCAGTTTGCATTCACTTTATAAAAGGTGCTCCACTCAATTATCGAGAGCCCCCGTTCTTTTGGCTTCTCCCCTGCCATGAAGGTTGTGTCTCTCCTGGCGTTGCTGGGTGCATCGTCTGCTTGGGCAGCCAAAGCTTCAATTTCAGACGTCAAACGCGTCACCAACTTGGCTGTTGTTCCCAACAAGTTCATCGTAGAAGTAGCTACTGCCTCCGACCTCCCCAGCAAGCGGTCACTGGGTACTGTACGTGTCGCGGCCGTATGTCAACATAGAATTTGACTGAACAATTTACAGCCTCATGAGCAATTATACCGCTCCCTCAAGGAACGCAAAATCTTGTTCAACGTTCACAAGGAGTTCGATTCGCCCGGACTTTTCGTCGGTGCTGCCCTTACTCTAACTGTACGCCGTCTTTTACTGCTAGATCCCTAATTCTAATGTGTCTGATTGTAGAACGCTCAAGTATGCTTCCTTGTGCCACAACTATCCGCTGTTTCACACGCTTGCTACTCAGGATGTCTCCCAAGTATTGAAGGTTGATGGCGTTTTGGCTATTCGACCCATCCGTTCCTTCCCTCGTCCCAAGTGCGTTGGCGCAGCGTTCCTCCCACCCAACTGGCTCACATCACTTTAGACCTGTCCTTTCTCGACCTGGAGTTTCTCCCGGCGATCCCGGTCTGCCTGATTCCGAGTCGACACACATCATGACGGTTTGTGGGAGTCCTTTCCTCGACATCAAGCCGCTGTATCTCCTATCTAGACTGTCGACAGAGTTCACGCATTGGGAATCACTGGAAAGGGCGTCAAGGTCGGAATGTGCGTGATCGTTCCCAACTGCAACCCGTAACCGAGCTTTTTCTTAGCCTTGATACTGGCGTTGATTACACGCACCCATTCTTAGGCGGTGGATTTGGACCAGGTCACAAAGTTGCAGGAGGCTTTGACCTTGTGGGAGATGCCTATGACGGAACTAATGACCCTGTTCCGGACAACGACCCAATGGATTGTGCTGGGTGAGCATTCTTATTATCTCATTTATTGGTATTTATTTTGCGGTTAGGCACGGTTAGTCATAAGTTGGATTTGGTTGTGTCTTCTCATCTCATCTCATCATCTTGGATTTTAATTCTAGGAACCCATGTTGCGGTACGCCTTACCACGAATGACTATCCCAGAAACTGACCATCTTCTTCTTAGGGTATTGTCGGTGCTAACCCCGTAAGCGGATCTATAAATTTCTATCGCGCGCACACCCACTCAAACTCCTCTGCAGGGGAACGAGTTTAAAATCAGCGGTGTTGCATATGGCGCGACCATCTTGGCATACCGGTGAGTCCACCGTCTTGGGACAGCAATAAAGATTGAATCCCAGTAGTATTTTTGGTTGTGAAGGTTCTGTCAATGATGATGGTAGGGTATTCCGGTCAGAACGAGGAACATCTTACTTAAAAGAGCTTTAGTAATCGTTGATGCACTGCTCCGAGGTGTACAGGATGGCGCGGACATTCTGACAATGAGTCTGGGTGGAACCGATGGGTGGACAGAAGGCACTGGCTCAGTTGTTTCGTCAAGAATAGCCGCCACTGGCAAGATTGTTACTGTTGCTGCTGGCAATGAGGTCAGTTGAAGAGGTTCGTGGTCCGAGTTACAATTCAAACATTATATAGGGTGCGTCTGGCTCTTGGTTCACATCCGGTCCTGCAAATGGCATCAACGCCATCTCTGTTGCCTCAGTTGACAATGTTGTCATCCCACTGCAATCGCTCGACGTGACTGGGGTTACACACGACCCCATCACCTACTACGCCGTTAGTGATGAACCATCATAAGTAACTTTCGACGCTCATTGCAGACCAGACTTTCCCCATACCAGTGCAAGGGACATTGCCGCTTTTTGCGACTTCTAAAGATCCGACTGTTGTCGACGATGCTTGCAACCCCCTCCCAGCCAGCACGCCCGATTTGAGCAAGTTTGTGGTTCTCGTCCGTCGTGGAACATGCACATTCGTTACCAAATTGACCAATATTGCTGCTTTTGGCGCAAAAACCGCACTTATCTACGAGTTGAGACATTTCTTACCATCCGATCGACCTGGCTGACGCAAGGTCTCTAGCAACGGTAACGGATTTGCCGCCATCAATGTCGGAACCTTCACTGCTGTTCTAATCCAAGCTCAAGACGGTGTTTTCGTACGTGTCTACTTCAATTTTCAGGCAAAGTCTAATTTTTTTGTTGTTCTTTAGCTTGCTGAACAACTGGCTGCCGGGGCCCAAATCTCGGTTTCCTTCCCTCAGAACGGCGCTACGGTCAACTTTGAAGATCCCACTGGTGGTCTCGTATCCTCATTCTCCACGTTTGGCCCAACAAACGACATGTTCTTCAAGCCGGCGGTTGCTGCGCCAGGCGGCAACATTCTGTCAACCTTCCCAGTCAACCAGGGTAGCTGGGCTCTTCTCTCTGGCACTTCAATGGCAACACCTTTCCTTGCTGGAAGCTCTGCCCTTCTGTTTTCGGTCAAGGGCAAGTCTCCTCTTGTAGGGCTGACTGCTCGCACTTTATTCGAGTCGACTGCTGCTACAATCCCTTCTAGCAAGACGGACGGTGATCCGCTCCAACCTGCCACTCAGCAGGGTGCCGGTCTTGTACAGGTGTTCAATGCCCTCTTCACAAAAACCCTACTCTCAAAAGGCGAACTGTTGCTCAATGACACCGCTCACTTCGCCGGACCGTATGTATTTCTTTATCTTATCTGATTTCGTTCATGTCAGATAGGCAAAAGTTTACTGTCACCAATATCGACAAGAAGGTCAAAACATATACTCTCCGTCACATTCCAGCCGGAACAGCATTGACTCTGGATTCAGTGAGCATTTTGTCGTTATAGGACAAGTACTGGGGTTGATATATCATGTTTAGGATGGTTTTGCTGTGGATTTCCCGGTGCCAATCTCAACATCAGCAGCTAGTGTGTCGTTCAACGCCGCCAAGTTTACGCTGTTCCCTGGCCAGTCGCACGAGGTCGTGGCCACAATCAAACCGCCCAAACTCGATGCGGCGTCACTGCCCGTCTACTCTGGCTATATCTTCGTAACCAGCGGCAACGAGACTGTTCACGCCACCTATCTTGGTGTTGCAGCTTCTTTGAAAGATGCCGCAGTGATCGACAATACTGATATTGTCTTCGGAGCCAAACTGCCCATCGCTCTTGACGCTCAAGGCAACGTTCAAGACGGCCCTGTTAATTATACTCTCACTGGTGGTGATGCGCCCACCCTTCTTTGGCGCCAACTATTTGGAACGCCAAGCTTTCGACTTGACCTTGTTGATGCTGCGACGACATTCAAGCCTACATTGACCTCGCGATCGCTCATCTCGTTCTCGCAGAAACATGGCGGAGGCACCTTTGCTAAAGTCCCCATCCTTGGTCCGCTATTGGAACTCGATTGGCTCACCCGCAACGACGACGTAAGAACCATTTCATCCTCTGTTCGTTTCGTGTCGCTAAGTTGACTATCTAGATTGACCTTCTCGATAACACGGTCGTCATGACCAACACGTTTGCCAATGGGACTGTTATCCCGAAGGGAACATACAAAGTTCTGCTCCGCTCACTCAAGGTGACGGGCGATCCCAAGAACGAGGCAGACTGGGAGAGCTGGTTGTCGCCTGTCGTTGGTGTCGTCTAGCAAGACATGATAAGCCTGGGGTTGGCGTGGGACTCTGTAGCTTGGAATATATCCTGTGTGTCCTTCGTCAGCCAGCAGGTGTTGACTTTAGCCGGATCTGGAACATGAGCATCCCCAATAACTGCATTTCGAATTGTGCTAAATATGACATCTCCATAAACCTTGCAGCGTTAGGGTAGGCTATTCTTTGTCGAGCCAGACTCGGTACCCTCTTCCTCCATCCCCTGGCCCTTAAGGTCATGGGAATGAGTGAATACTCTTGCCTCGTTGTCTATGTGATGTGTGGTTTGCACCTGCGTCCGAACTTGGATATGGTTAACCTTCCCGAAATCCCCGAGCTCTACAGCACGTGCACCACCAGTCCTCCTTCCCCCGCTCTGGCCCTCGTTGCTACTCGTATTTTGGTCACTCAAGCGGGAGAGCAGTATGGTGCGCCGTGAATTCAAAGTACACATTGCGCTCAGAGCATAGAACTTGGGCAGTAGGTTGGATGTAATGATTGATATCATCGTCGACGGCTTTGCTGGATTGGCTTTTTCTCCGACTTGCGAGGTGACGAGCGTGAGCATGGCACAAATCGCGCCAGGCATCGCGCTCTGGATGGTCAATTTGAGGATCGCGTTCAATATGCCTGCAGTTTGAGGTAAAACTTGTTTCGAGTGTTTCTTGTTCAGATTAGTTTCACACACTCGCGCTGCATACGTCAGCATACCAGGAGAAAGAAGACCATTGCGCTGCAAAGCAGGATGTCCCCGCCGACAACGACCCCAAAGTGGACCGTTACTACCAAAAACACATTGATAGAGCCAGTGGCAAATGGGAGACAGACGCACTCCATGCAGATCTCGCCATAAGCCTGTCGTTGAATGTGAAGCCGACCTGCGTAGCATTGAGCTATATCGATTAACATATGGACAAGACGGGTACCGCTATCAATGCTGCGATCACTGCGAAGGTGAAAGTGGCCATCAAGGCTAGGACGATGTAGGGGTTTTTACAGAGGGCCTGGTGAAGATCAGAAAATGTTGAATAGTGGGAAGATCTTCACCCAAAGACGCTGACACATAAAGGTCTGAATGTAGAATGCGATAAAAGCGCCAAATCCTAAGGATATTTGAAGAACATTGGGGCGAATGAGACCCAACTATACCTATGTTGACCTCCTCGAGCCAGTTGGCCGTGAACATCATACCCGCCGCACGAATGTCAGTGAAGTGGGTGACATTCTGAGTCCATAGAATAGCACTACGCCAGTCCTGGGTCAGCGATGCAGAATAACCGAGAACGGCGGATGCATACATCATTTGCATTGACTTGAGCGTTGTAAAAAACAAGAGACCGAGAACGAACATGCGAAGGGCGAGCAGATCAGAATGATAGAGAGCAAAATAGTGCGCTGTTTGGGCGAAGAGCACGCCTTGAAGGAGAAGATCCCCGCCGATGGCCAGGTCCTGAGTGCGCGAAAGGTTGGCCTAGCAATTGCAAGTTGACGTACCACTGACCCAAGCGCCCAAAACATAAGTGACGATACTGGTAGGAGACGGCTGGGACATTGTTGAGCGGGGTGAAGAAAATGCATTGCTGCCCTTGAATTTAAGGTTATCGTGGTACAGGGCCATTCGTAACTTAGGGCATTGTTGAAGATAGCTCAGCCTATGCGAACTCGTTAAGGGGTCACTGGTAGCGCCAAGTTTATGCATGAACAAGTCATCGTCATCTGCGCGGGTCGCCAGCAATAACAGAAGAGAACGAAACACAAAGCGCGTCGACAGAGGAACATAAAAATCCGACTAAGATGCTCTTCAGAATACGGGTCCCCCTTGGAATGCCCTGACTTGTTTCCGATAATTTGTTTCAGCTTCCGCTTTTCCGGGCTTTTCCAAGTGGCTTGATGGATTGCCAGTGGGATGGAGACATGTCGCGGACAACTCGGAGTGCAAAGGAATCGCCACTGCGGACCCGAAACGAGGGGCAATCGGCATACAGATCAGGGACCATGATGCACAAATGTATGTTGTTCAAGAAATGATTGGAAGTCACGTGTAGGGCGAGGAAAGGATGGTTTAACGAGCTGAACCTCATGAGCATTTTTGAGTATCGAAGGTCATCTGGTATTTGAGTCGGGAACTGGGATTCAAGATAGCTCGAGGAGAAACATCGACGATGCTGCTGTTTATTTATTCGCATACGACGTTCCACCCATTCCATTCTTCGCTCCCATCCTTCAAGGCACCCAGCTTCTCATACAGTGCCTTTCCGACCTGACCCAGGCCCTTCAAGCCACCCTTCATGACGATATCCGTGATCTTGGGTGTGTTCTCTGTGTGTTCAGAATCGATGGGCACGGCAGTTGTCTTGGACAAAGGGTAATACCCAATGCGCTCAATGGCAACGACGAGAACGGCGGTACCTGTGCCAAAGCATTCAAGCAGACGGCCGGCCTGGGCAGCTTGGGCAAGTTCTGACAAAGAAAGTGGTCGCTCGATTACGGAGATCGGGCCGGAGCCGGAATGGAGTGGGGAGGAAAACGGTGATGTGGAGGATGTTGATAACGAGTCGGCATGGGCTCTCAGCAGTTGTAGCGCTGAGTCCCGCGTGATCCCAGGGAGGATCGTTCCATCCAACGGAGGCGTAACAATGGTGATTCCACCATCTGAGCCCTCGTTCGCCAAAACAGCGAAAAAGTTCATGGCACCGGCCTCACTGATGACCGCGCCTTCCTCCGGTTTTTTTCCAACATCCAAACACCATAATACTTGATCATAGCCCTCCTGCGCGGCAAGGGTCTGTGGGACAAAGCCAGGCGAGTAGTTCAAGCCGAGTTTGTATCCGCCAGTACCGCCAGGCCACGACCGCACATGCTCTGAAATGGCAAGAAGGGAAACGCCAGCAAGCGTTGGGTGGGGGATCGCAGGGGAGATCGGAAAGTAGGGGCCAACGGGTGTGACGAGGGTATATAGCAACGCTGAGTCTGACTTGCCCACACGAATCGCTGCTTCAGGTTAGGACACGACGAAGGAACAAGCTGATAAGGACAAACAGGCTTTGGTGCCGATCATTGTCGGCCGAATGTAAAGACTATGGCCATTTTCTGCAGGTATCCACCTTCTTTCGATGCTGACGAGCGCTGTAATGCATTTGAGAAGTGCGTCGGGGTCGAAGGTCTAGAAAAGATCAGCGACCATTCCGTTGGGGAACATGTAACACACCGGCAACCCCATCCTTTCCGCAGACGAGACAAGTCTCGTCATATTTTGGTCAGCGCGAAACATTCGCGCCTTTCCGTCGGGCCCAATGAATGCCTAGATAAGTCTTCATGTCGTATGATAGAGGGATTGCAGAAAGCACGCACCTTCATCCCCTCAAAGACATTAGTGCAGTATTGTAAGCAGTTGCTGCAAAAGCCGTCATTGGGCCATCGAATATCTCTAAAATAACCACCAACCTCGCGGGGTCAAGCGCTAGTGGTCCATAGGGCTTGATTTCTGGCGCTGACCAGCCAGATCCTGCAGTGTACTCCATAACCAACATGTAGTCCGTTTTAATCTGGAGAATCAGGCGTGTTAGTGTGATAATAAGACCAGAGCATCCAACCAACATCTCCAAATCCATATGTTCCGGGCGTTGGGACTGGCTTCAAGGTCTCCACATGGGTGATTTTGAGTAAGGACGCCTGGAAGAAGTTAGCAAGCATTATACACAGAGGAAAGGACGCACGTCGAGAGGCGCAATGGGGTGTGCATTGCCGTTCATGGCTCAAAATGCTTGACTAGCAAAGAAGTGGGTGGGGTACGGAGAGAACGAAGGTAAGTGACATTTTATACTTGGAGAAAAAATTTCTGGCCGCGGCGAGATAGAAATGACTCATTAGAGCGAGTCATTTCCCCAGAGTACTATGGGCGGCGCCTGGGGCCTGAAATGTTGCTCTCCGCAGCTTTCGGCTAGTCGTCGACGTTCAGTGGTGGATCAAATTTGTGATCAAAATGTGGTTCGCTGATCAGCCTGTTCTGTTTCTGTTCAAGTTGCGTTCCCCAACGAGCCAGTATACGTTTATTCTGGAACTCGGGAAACAAGCCGCTTTTACTCGCTGCACCAACCCCATTGCTTATTTTCCTGGTTGATGAACCTGTTATTTCTCCACAGGATGATAGCTTCGCTTCGCGCTTTCAAGACTGCTGCTGGGGCTTTTTCTGTTCGATAAGCTCTAGGCCTGCGGTTCTCTCTCTCTCTCTCTCACGCATTGGGGCTCTTTTAAAGGGCGCAGCTCCAGCTTTATCTGCCTTTGGACACCGGTATGAATTGTCTGGAATAACCCGTTGCACAGGATCTTCAGCTGATTTCTGTCGGCCATGCACTATACGCCTCGCTCATTACCAACTTCACTAATCCAAGAGGCAACGATGGGCATTGACTCGGGCTAACTACTGGATGACCCATACACCATAGGTCTTTGCGCCGTGGAGTTTTAACTTTAGGCTACCACGCATGTTTAATAGTATGTCTACGAATTTTGACCTGCTACCTACCATGTCAAACTTTTACACTCATCGTGTCTGGATATGTGAGTCGCAACATCATGATTTGAGACGAACAAAGAGTTGATAGTTCTTATAGTGAGTCTAGTCCTCACCGCTGCTATCGTTCTTTTCTCATTTGGACCCACCGAGTCTTTTGCCAGTGGTCTACGACTCGTTGAATTATTTCAGGTGTACAGGTCCGAGCCTTCCAGATATTCAAGGATCTGAGAATGCTGTTCAAACTAACTAGCGTTGTACTGGCTCGCGCATTGGTTGCTGATCTTCTCATTGCCGCCTCCCTCGTGCGTAGTCGCACTGGTATCAACAGATTCCAACAAAACTGACTCTATCGTCAACAAGTGTATGCCATAAAACACGGGTTTGTTGACAACACATGTACCCAACACACACTTCACTCCTTCCTTGTCCGAGCTCCAACTCCAGAGTTGTAAGTCCCGCTTCAGGATCACAAAAACGCCTCGATTGTTCCAATTTCTTGGCGATGCGCCAGGATATGATACACCTTGCGGTGTCTGGGAAACGTCAGCTTGCTTACATCATTTGTGTCGCATATTCGAATTTCGAACGGTTGACTTGCGACTCTCAACTTCCGCGAACAAGTGCGAAACCGATTCGGAACGTCATACCAAAGCTATCACCCCCAATGCAACGCTCCGCTTCAACAGGGAAATCACCACTGACGACGTAGATCTCTCATACTTGTTCAGGTCCCAGCAGTTTTGGTATCGGGTTGCAGGCGAACGATGACGAGACAAAAAAACGGGCCAGTTTCAGGTTTCCTATAGTCGTTAAACAGTTACGTGACTTCGAGAATACGAGCTGAGCCTAGTTTCAGAGACGCTTTTTTTGTGCAAGTGCTTTTCTGTCGACGAAGTACATCATATCATGAGGCGATTGAGGTAACATTGTCATATGCATTTGTTGTCTTCGACACGGTGTAGTCTTCAATCTATCCTGCTGGCCTGGATTTGGACTGTCAAATTAGTTGCGTCGGAGTTGCAGAGAAAGAGGCTGTGTCACGGTCCGCGTCACGACCGACGCTGTTTGCTCTCCTCCCTTTCAATTTCCTTTGTGTTGTGTGGCCGCTCCTTCACCTCGGACGATAGTTCGAAAGCCACTTTTGTTGTTCTCTGACAGCATTGTACATATCATTGTGCGTGGCTAGAACTCATCAGTCGACTTGGACCTTTGGTTTCAAGGTTAAATCGACCACCTCCCTGCCTTGTTCGCTTACACTCTCGACCAGATATCACTCGCTGTTGTTCATAGCCAACGAAATCCAACTCTCATATTGGCTGCTCGCCCAGTTGCGAGCATAGTATGCAATGTACTACCCACAGTCGCCTGGAATGTCGCAGAAGCTGCCAGCGCACCATGACCAGAACGTTAATCCATGGAATCGACAGCATCTCGGTGTCGGTGTTAACCCACAGGCCCAAGCGCCCCCTACTTCGCCAGGCTACACCATTTACACCAATGGAGGACTTCTCCAACACCCTCATATGGCCCCAATCCCTCACCACCACCACCAAAACTCCCTCGGCCACTTCCCATCGCCGCCAAATCTCCAGCAACAGTCGCCGGCTGCTCAGCCTATAACCCCGCATTGGTCGGAGCAGCTGATGAAGTACGAGGTACGTCTTCTTTGTTCTTTCTTTCTCTTTCTTCTAACCGATTCCAAGTCTGTGCGAGGCACACGGTCCCCCCATCACCGTGCAAGGGCGAGTGCGATAGCAGCGAGGGGCGTAACGAAGTCTGCTATTACGATCACGAATCCAAACAAGCCCCCAGAAGACGACACGCCACCGTCTCCATCCTTGGCTTTAGCAAACGCACTAAACCATCCCTCCTCCACCGTCGCTCCTTCAACCGAGAATGAGGACAGGCCGACAATGTCGAAGCCACCGGACAGCACTTGGCATCGGCTTGATATGGGCGGCGTTGGGCTCAAAACAATACCACCAACATCAGGATTGTTCGCGTTCAACTTCCTCCAATGCCTCTTCCTCAATCACAACGCACTCAGCGTGATTCCTGGGGAAATCTCCAAGTTGCGTCATCTCGAACTTCTCGATCTTTCTGGCAATGGGCTATCCTCGCTCCCACCTGAAATAGGAATGATAACCAGTCTCAAGGAACTGTTTCTCTTTGACAATCTTTTGACAACTATTCCTTATGAATTTGGGATGCTACATCGCCTGAGGATGCTGGGCATTGAGGGTAATCCCTTTGATGCTCAACTGAAGGCAATGTTGCAGAAAGACGGAACCCCCGTACTAATCGCATATCTTCGCGACTCATCTCCAATGCCAACGCCGCCTCCGCCACGACCCATTGTCGAGATCAATCCAACTGAACCTGACGCGGAGATGTTGAAGGTCATTTGCTTCAACATTCTTTGTGAGCGCGCTGCAACGACCAAGATGTATGGTTATACCCCGGCTTGGGCTCTGGCCTGGGACTATCGTAGGGCCCGGATCATGGAAGAGGTGACTTCAAGCCAAGCGGACATAATCTGTCTCCAAGAAGTCGACATTGGGCAGTACGAAGAGTTCTTCTCCAAGCAGTTGCGGGAACTAGGTTACGACGGAGTCTATGGTGCTAAGTCTCGATATCGGATGATGAGCGAAGCCGACCGACGAGCAGTCGATGGATGTGCCATTTTCTACAAGAAGGATCGGTTCGTACTTGAGAGATCTTTAATGAGTGAGAATGCTGATTTTTGTCTAGATACCAACTAGTCGAAAACCATCATATAGAGTTCAACGCCATCGCCATGCAACGACACGACTTCAAGAAAACGGATGCCATGTTCAACCGAGTACTTGGTCGTGACCATATTGCTATCGTCTGTTTGTTGGAAGATATTGAGACTGGCACAAGGACTATTGTGTCCAACACCCATTTGCACTGGGATGCCGCCTATTCGGACGTCAAGCTCGTCCAAACCGCGTTACTTTTGGAGGAGGTTGAGAAGATCGCGAATGCTTTTGCCAAGTACCCCCCGCGACCACCAGTCACACCCGGTGTTCTTGATATGGAGCCACCCCCACCCCCACCGACATATTCAGATGGCGCAAAAATCCCTGTTGTGTTCTGCGGCGACTTCAACAGCATGCCCTCCTCTGGTGTCTATGAATTCATCTCCTCAGGCTCACTAAACGCCAATCACCCCGATTTCCTGTCCCATACTTACGGCAACTACACCTCGGATGGTCTTAGGCATAAGCTTGGCTTGAAGAGCGCCTACACGACAATCGGTTCAGGTGGTGTTCAGGAAGAAATCTTGGCCATGACAAATTACACACCAGGCTTCCGCGGAGTCCTTGACTATATCTGGTATTCGACCGCCAACCTTGTTTTAAACTCGGTTGTAGGTGAAATTGACAAAGCGTATTTGGACAAGACAGTGGGTTTCCCCAACACCCACTTTCCTTCAGAGTACGTTTCTATCGCTCCAGCCCTCTTCTTCTCTAACTCGAGAATCTAGCCACATCGCTCTGACGGCCACCTTCTCAGTCAAACCTCCACGGGAAGCAGCTGCTCCGAGGCCACCACCTGTATTTTCATAAGCCGAGTCAACTCTACTCTCCTTTTCCTTTCTTTCCTTTTTGCTGCAACTATTGGAAACCTAGGGCAATATATGGTCTGGTTCGGTACTTGCTACATGTTCTTTTTCCTTTTCAATCTTGTTTACTCTTTCTCCTGAATCTTATTTTCTTTTTTCTTTGCTTCTTTTGCATGCTTTCGTCGTCGTCGCTTAGTGTCATCGCTAGTTTCTTATCGTGTAGCACTGTACAGAACCACCAAGTTTGTAGTACACGGCCTCTAACAACAACAACTATATTCCTCTCTCAATTTGTTTCCTTCACCGTCACGTGAAGAGCCGATTTCTTGTCTTTCGCCTCGATGGCGACCGTCCCTCTGGCATACACCGTTGCTGCGAGTACGCCACATAGTGGACCGTATCGCGCTGAAAACATCCTCGTCGACAACCCGCAAGAGCAGGCTAGTCGATGGAGTGGTGGGCCGCCCGAATCTGGTCTTGCTCAGTGGCTTTTATTGCGATTGGAGTCGTTAGCTGTCGTCCGTTGAGTGCCCTCTTCAATTTTCGGAAAATGACGGTCTGAAAAGTCGTCGAAGAATCTATAACATTCGGAAAAGTATGTGTTTGTCGCGCTATCTTGAAACCCGTCTTAGAATCGTTCGCCTAGTTTTCTAGTGGTGCGTCATACTAGGTTTATACACTAAATTCTAATCCTTCAGCTCATCCATGCAACATGAAGGACTTTAAGGTCCTCGTAGGATCTTCTGAAGACACATTAACCGAAGTCCTCCATTCCCAACTCAAGAACGATGCAAACGCAGAGACCTTTGACTTGCGGCACGTGAACCTCGAGGGAACTTTGACACCCTGCCGATTTCTTAAGATTATGCCGCTTAGGTGGGTCTCGTTCGAACTGTCCCAATCGTTGACTTATGGTGGCTCTAGCTCTCATGGAAATAGCTTCCATGTTTCCGTTTGGCACGTTGCTCTCAAGGGAATCAAAGACGACGTGTTTGTAGAGCAAGTCAGACTCAAATATGAGCAGGTGCGTTATCGTTGTCTTGCCTCGAGGCATTCACCGAACAAGATCAGTCTCGCGAAACGTCGGCCATGCGTTACGTTCTCAAACATCTCCGTCAACACCGTTTTCTCACACCGTATAATGCAATCCTCTCTCGATGTGGGTTGCAGGTTGAGCATCCACTTGTCACAGAGCTCCACGCAAATTTGGTTCTGAAGGGCGACTGGGCAAAAGCAGAAGAAGTTTTAGGCCGCATTTCTCAGACGGATTTATTCGACGAATACCGCAACTCGAATCAATGTCGTGCTGTTTGGAACAGGTTGATGGGTACTGACCCCAACGGAGATCGGCCTTCAGAGCGTGGAGGGCATGCTATGTGTATTGACCCTGTTGAAGATGTTGTTTACCTCTTCGGAGGGTGGAACGGGTCGACCAGTCTGGACGACTTTTGGGCCTACGACATCAAGGCAGATAAATGGCGCGTGCTCAGTTATTCGACAAGCAGAGAACGTGTCCCGAATGCCCCAAATGCGCGGTCCTGCCATAAAATGGTGTTTGATGTCAAGACTGGCGCTATCTATATGCTAGGTCGTCTGAATGATGCAGACGCACAAGCCATCTCCTCCGCGACTGCCCCTGTTCCGACAGACCCTCCCCGACCAGTTCCTGGCTGCGAACTTTACCGGTACCATACCCGCGGGCCATTGGCCGAGCAATGGGAGTTCTTGTCTCCCGACCCTCCTGTAGATATCGTCTGTTTTCTTCCTCTATCCCCTTGTTGAGTTATTTCCAGACTCGAGGGTCACCGCCACTGGTCTATGATCACCAAATGGCCATGGATTCAGAAGCTCAAGTCTTGTATATGTATGGTGGTCGCGTCATCGACAACGACTGGGCGAACACAAAATATGCTGGACTGTACAGCTATAATGTTGCAACAGCTCAATGGCAACTTTTACAGTGGGTTGCTTATGTAATTCTAGCAAGAAGCTCAATAGCCGCAGAAACGACCCAAAACTCACAACGGCGTTCAGTGGAACAATTATTCCCGCCCGACATGGTATTGAAGCTCGACTTTTTAACTGTTGTTCACGTGCTTAAGTTCCCAAGGGCATGCAATGGTTCTCGATGAGCAAACGCATATGTTGTACATCTTTGGTGGCAGGATGAAGGACACCTCACATTTCGACATGTATTCTTATGATTTGACGACCAAGTCGACACGACAGTTGTTTTCAGACTTGCAGCGGGACTATGGGCACGAAGCGTCGTTTACTGTCAGAGGAGTGATTGACCCCAAGCTTCAGGAGATTTATGTGTTCGTGCTAGACCTATTTTTCCTCAGTAACTGACAACGGAATATAGATTCTCTGGACTGGACCCCGATGACTTGAAGATCCCAACGACCTCCCCAAACCGTGTGTTTCGGTATAATCCACCGCCAGGGAAGTGGGATTTGATCCCGACTGTGACCACCTCTAATGGTGTGGCGCTCGAAGAACCTGTGCCGCGATTTGCACATCAGGTTGTGTACCATCCAACAACGCGAACTATTTATCTGCACGGTGGGAATGGCGGGCTGAAAGCTGGTAACGACAGTGCGACACCAGAAGAAATTGATCGTGATCGGCGTTTGGACGATTTTTGGCAAATGTCTCTGACACGAATGTCTCCTGAAGAAATAGTCCGCAGGGCGACTATGCAAGTTCGCAAACAGCAGTATGGATTTCCTTTTCTCGGCAGCAAAGCAACTGATAAATCGCTAGATTCCGCGAAATGTGCGAGGACGGTTCACACGCCAAAGCCCTGCGATTCTTGCGGAACAATGTCCTTCCTGTTGTGGACCAGCACGACGCGGAGGAGAATGCTGACTATCGACGACTCATGGCCTATCTTGTAACACCACCATCGCCAGTTATATCCACGACCCATCCGCACTTGAAAACACCTCTGGCAACTTCTGAACATGAAGATTCGCCGCCGAAAAAACGGTCACGACCCAACACCCCGGAGGACAGTGAAATGACGACGGAGCCTGTGCTTGAGCCTCCTGCGCCAGTCGCAAAGATGCTGCCATTCGATGTCCAACTCGTCAAGGACTCGGATGACCCCGAGGAGACGAAGAACGGGGCCATTGCAGTGTCAACGGCACGATTCCAACAGCGGAATCTATTGTTTGAGGCGTTGTTGGGATTCATCTCGGAGGACGCAAAGCAGCCTACTGGGAGCTTGGTCAATGCATTGGATAATTTGATGATCTAGTCCAGTTGCTTCCTTTTTGTGTGTCTTGCTGTATCTTGTAGCCGCAATCATTTACTTGTCACTGACCCAACTAAGTAACAGGAATTATTGAGGTGTTGAGGAACTATTGTCGTCTTGCCTTATCGTGCTTTACTTTGTGCCCACACTAGCACTTCTCGATCCTTCAACGGGTAGCTAGATTAGAGAAGACGGTTCTTGAAGGTGCTCAAACGACTCCAATCAATCTAAATTGATAGCAGATTTGAATTTTCCATACAAAATGACTTTGAGCTGCTGCATCTCTCCCTCGCAAGCCTTCACAGAGCTGGTGAGCGTGTCAACCTGTGCTTCGACCTCCGATTTGTCAGTTTCAAGGCGTTTACGGGCGCGGGGCAAGGGCATATGGATGAATGTCTCGCCAATTTTGTAGCTGGGCTGCAGTCAATTACAGCGGAGAGGAAGAAAAGGCAAATACGCAACAGAACGGGTTCATCTTCGTCCAATATCATCTCAAACTCCTCAGACAGGTCTTTGAGCGCGTCTTTTTCGTGTTCGAGCTCAACTAGTTTGTCCTTCATGCTTTGGAGACGCGTATTGAGTTTCGAGAAGGTGTTTATGCGTTGCTGGTCCTCTTTGAGGTACTTTGTTATCTGAAAGCGGCGAAAAAAAAAATAAGAAGTACGGACCCCAGGTAACTTCCTCAGCCTCGTCATTCTCCTCGTCGTGATCAAGCTGGATCAGAGCGATAAGAAGTTTTGAGGTTGATGGACTTGGTACTATACCATTCGGAGACTGTTCATAGTTGGTTCAGGTACGCGTCAGAGGCCGTTTGTCTACGAAGGGCCGAGTGGACCGTGAAAGTCAGGTTAAAACGTGACCGGCAAATGATGCCTCCATGTGATTCCCCACATTCACTTTTCTTTCTTGCCACCATGGACGTTGGCCGGGCAACTCGGGCGTACGAGGCGCTCAAGTCCCTCCTTTTCTTGTACGTCGTCTCGCGGTACGCGCTCAAGTCACAGCGCCATCTTCGCGCGCGGGGAGTCCTTGCTTCGGTCCGGGAATTCTATAGATGGATCACTCAGGTTCGTGAATTACCCGCAAGCTTATTTCTTATAAAGTTAATTATATTGTAGCAAGTCTTGCTCTTAGTTTTGCGCCTGCCCAAGATGAAAGCTAAGGTTGCGTTGGAGATGGGTCAGGCGAAACTGGACATCGAGAATCGATTGGTGCCAAAAGGTCCGGATGTCACTCGGCATCTCTCCCTACCAAAAGAGGGCAAATCCTTGGAATGGATTCTGGCGGAAATGGACAAGATGGATGACGAAATGAGCCATGCGACCAACTGGAGGCAGGGAAAGATTTCTGGAGCAGTGTACCGTATGTTCTCTTTCTTTCCTTCCGTTGTTTGGTTGTCTGATAGACAAATTTATAGACGGAGGAGAGGACTTGGAGCGCGTCATTGTTGCCGCCTACGCTAAATATGCTGTTTCGAATCCGTTACATCCAGACGTCTTCCCTGCTGTCCGCAAGATGGAGGCAGAAATTGTCGCACAGACGCTTCAGTTATATAACGGTCCGAACGGCGCTGGTACCATGACATCTGGCGGAACCGAGTCTATCATCATGTCCGTCAAAACCCACCGAGACTGGGCTCGCGCTGTCAAGGGCATCGCCGAACCTGAGATGTGTGTTGTGTTTGTTTTGTTTCCAAGCTGTCTCAATGTCGGAGCAAAGGATTATACCGTCGTCTGCCCATGCTGCCTTTGACAAAGGAGCTGCCTACCTCAAAATCAAGGTGCACACAATTCCTGTCGATTCCTACACGCGCAAAGTGGACATCAAAGCGGTTAAGCGAGCAATGTACGCATTTTACCAACTCTTCTCCTTGTGACTTTTCTCACTCATCGCTTCCAGCAACGCCAATACCATTATGGTGAGGCAAAAGACAGTCGCAATGGAACTATCCTCACGCTTTGCAGCTTGTCGGTTCAACAGTCAACTTCCCTGATGGAAATCAAGACGACATTGAAGCTCTGGGCAAGCTAGCCGTTAAATACAAGCTCGGTCTGCACGTCGACAGCTGCCTTGGCAGCTTCATTATACCCTACCTCGAAAAGACTGGATTGTCAGAGGGCTCTAACGGAAAATATAAGCTCTATCCATGCGACTTCAGGGTTCCTGGTGTTACTGCGATCAGCTGCGACACCCACAAGGTCCTTTTATCTTATCTCTGTTTTTGATGGTGGCTGACGACATTCTCCAGTATGGGTTCTCGCCAAAGGGCACTTCAGTCATCATGTACCGAGACGCTGAATTGCGCCGTCATCAATACTATGTGTCCCCCGACTGGGCGGGTGGGGTTTATGCTAGCCCCAGCCTGTCTGGCTCACGGTCTGCTCTGCAGTCAATATTGTTCTTCGATTCTAAACAAACTTTCATAGACCTGGAGCTTTGCTCGCCGGAACGTGGGCCGCCATGCAGTATATGGGGTCGGATGGCTACTTGGAGTCATGTCGCTCAATCGTGACATGCGCACGAACCATCGCTGACCGTATTGTCTCTTCCATTCCCGAACTCTACATTCTAGGGTCCCCGCCCGCATCACTCATCGCTTTTGGATCGAAGCATCCCAAAGTGGATGTGCTTGAGGTCGGCGACAAGATGTCGCAGCGTGGATGGCATTTGAACGCCCTGAGCAACCCTCCGGCTGTGCATATCGCCTGCACTGTTAGTTCTTTTTAAAGGCGAGCAGGAGACGTGACTGACGCGAAGTTTTAGCGGCTGACTGTGGGTAAGGAGGAAGAGTTCATCGCGGACTTGAAAGATTCGATCCGTGAAGCGAAGCTTCAACCATCAGGGCAGGGCACGATGGTGCGTGTGTATGGTAAGCTGAAGCAATCTTTTGTTACTCGATTAAGCTGACCACAACTGCCAGGATTGGGCAAATCAAGTGCTGTTGGGCCAGCGATGGTTACGCAGTTGGCTTCTGCGTATGTCGATGCTATGTATAAGGCATAATCGGACTTGTTTTCCCACGTACAAACACAAACTTATACCCATTGTGAGGAATGTGGCAGAATTTATCGCCCAAAAGATGTTGAGGAAAGAGTATGGGGCTATACGAGGTTTCTGCTTATCTGGGAATTTGTTTGGACGAAAAAGTATCTAGCAAAAATGCAGAACAGAAGCTCGGGAGATTTCCGGAAGTGCTGTTGATTACATACGCAGTTTGCACGTGCTTCGGAGTTTCTTGTTCATCTCCTGCAACAACGATGGTCTAAACACGCTACAGACCAGACATCTGTAGATAACCAGCTAGGACCGAACAAACAAATGCAACAAGAGGTTGCTATCGGTCCGGATCGCGCCTATTTGGTGTCGTTATCTTGTTCTCCGTGGGCCGGCGCGACTTTGAACCGCCTCATCATTATGTATGTAGTCGCGACCCTCCTTCGTTTCCTTTTCGCTTCCACCCCCGACAACCGACTCACGCCCACCAGAACTTCCCTGCACCCAATCCACCCTACTTCCATTCCGCAGAAAGCAGCCTGTGACGCTCTGACCCGGCCAAGCTAATTGTGCTGGGATCACCTAATTCCGGCTTGTTACAACCCAGCCACTGCCAGTTGGCAGCCCCATTATGACATTCTCTTTAACTTCTAGGCCACCTTCTCCTACCAATAGTAGCCACCCACAAATACCGCAAGATGGCCACTCTGGGGTTTCTACCGACTCTCACCATCGACCCGCATTTGCCGACGCTGAAACCATGAAAGAGCGGCCTGTGTGTGGTTCCCTCTCTCGCTGGCTCTTCTTGCTGACTGCCAAGCCTGCTAGTTTCTGGAGATTCGTCTTGACAACGATGTTGTCTACCTCAAAGGAACAGGCAACGATGTCGAGCCCGCTCGGCTGACTGGCCATGTTGTCTTAAACCTCGCCGAGTCCACACCCATCAAGGAGATAACTCTGCAGTTTCGCGGCAAGGCGCGGTTGCCTCCCCCCTCCCCACGACTCGTGCGTGTTGTTTGTTCCCCTATCACAAAGGATTGGTCTCAAAGATAAACAATGACAGCTCGATGCACTCTGTGGCGACCTATGTGATATGCAACCATGACTGGTCGTTCCTCGAGGGAGAACGCAAGCACAGCCATACCCTCAAAGCGGGCCGCCACTATTTCCCGTTTCAACTCCAAATCGGGGGCTCCCTACCTTCAAGCATAACCACTGGGGTATTCGGCGGCGCCTCAGTAGCCTATAAGCTTCGCGCACATGCAGTTCGACCGGGGCTCGTAAACTCTAACCTTCAGACTACCCGGGCGGTTCAAATCCTGCGTGCCTTTTCTGCAGAGGCACTCGAATATCAGCAGACCCTCGAAATCGAAAATACGTGGCCAGATAAACTGATGTACTCGATCATGATTCCACACAAGGCCTGGGCAGCTACAGACACGTTGACCGCCCTCGTCAAGTTCAGTCCGCTCGTCAAAGGCGTCGGAGTTGTCAGTGTTGCGAGCGCCATTCACGAGCAGACAAAAATATATGCAAGAAACACAGTTCAAGAAACAACGAGAATTGTCGCGTCGGTCAAACATGATATCATTGGGGGGAAGGCTGTAGAAGTTGTTGACCGGCCCAGATGGACGATGGGTACTCCTTCCGCTCCGAGTGCCTCTCCATCAAGCAACACTCCTCCCCTACAGACCGCGAGTGGCGGATATTTCCCCTCTTCGAATGCCCAACCCGAAGCTGGACCATCGACACAACCCGAGACGCTGGAAGTGGAGCAAGGCCAAGACGATGTGGTCACTTTCATAACCCTCCAGATCCCCGCCTCGGTCACGCCTACACATCCGCTGGAACCTATCAGCGTTTCCCACCGCTTGCGATGGAGTATTCTAATCATCAACCCTGACGGACACACTTCCGAGCTTCGCTGTTCACTTCCTCTACATCTTCTTGACCGCCGATTGTTGAAAGACGCTCGTGCTCATACCTCTGCGACCAGGCGGCTTTTTGTTGGGAGGGCCAGAACGCCCCCCAGACGACGAAGAGGAGATAGAGCTGCCCAGCTACAAGGCCCATGTTCGTGACCGTGTTGCAAATATGTATCTTCCCGAGGCTGTCACGGTTCGGGTCACGAATCCGTTCATGGCCGCCAGCCCTGGTCATACGCCCCCAGCAAGCGGATTGCAAACTCCAAGTGCACTTGTCTCCCGTTCTGGCCATGCGACCCCCATGCATCCTCAGTCACTCTCACATCTTCCTCATGCACCTGGCGATTCCACTCCTCTTGAGTGGATAAATTCCGAGCTTTTGCTGTCTGTTCAGACAAGCTCTCCGCCAACAGAATTTCCTCCGTTGCCAGATAACGAGCGGAGCCGACCTCCCAGTGCTAGGCCTAGTCGACGGCCCAGTCGTGCTCCCAGTCCTGAACGTCATCACTTGACATCTGATGCGTTGATGGCAAACGAAACATACGTCCATAGTAGCAACGCCAGTCGCAATCTTCATGCGCTTTTCAGCGTCTCCATGAAGCCCGCCTCCGCACATCCTCATTGGCCTGGTATCGGCTCCCGCTCTACCTCAAATCTGAATTCGTTGAACGATAACTCACATAACCGGAACCCCACGCGCTCGAATGGTTCTCGACCCCCGGCTGCTCCCGAATCAACCACACCCACCAATTCATCACTCCTGCTACGTGCATATACGGAGGTACCCAACTACTCCGTCGCGGCACGTGGATTTCTCGGCGGCGTCCAGCCACTGTCCAGTTTACAGGGCTTACCCTCTTACGAGGAGGCAGAGCGACACGTAGGGCATATCGCCAGCAACCACGGAGCGCCAGTCATGCCTGCTCACTAACATTTGCGCCTTATTCGCATTCACTCCTACATAGACTTTGCATTTTATCTATAGACGTATCTAGACTTTTCCCTTGGCCTCAAACAACAACAAACAAAAAGGTATATATCGAGTAATGACTGTTCGTGTAGCATTTGCATTTTGTAGTTGTACTAGGGGTCTTCGGCGTAGACGCCGAATCCGTAGACCTTGCTTTGTCGTGTGAACAGGAGAGTGGGTATAGGCTGTGCTTTGAGGTATAAAATCTGCTGACCCAAGTGAAGTTGTTACGAGGCGTATTGCGAGTTATGAACACCGGGCAAAGAGACTAAGTGCGATTTGAGTGTGCCGCCAATTTCGGGATTGCTTTAGATCACCGGAAAACACCGTTGTGGACCATGCAACTTCTTTTAAACGAAGGAAACATTTGTGTTAAATTAAGTCATCGACTATGGAACCCGCTCTTACTTACGGCGTGCCCCTCCCTCCATACATGCAAAACGAGACCATCGTTTTACAAGTGGACGACAGCACACGAATGCAACGAGGCTCGACAGAGGTTCGGCTTGTTAAAGACATAGCCGCCAATACCACAGGCAGATTCTGCCTCAAGTTAATTGGTTCTTTGAGAGTTATAAGTGATGACCCTTATTCGGGTGTACACGGACAAAAAGTGGGTTTTTTCTTTCTTCAGACATTTTGCGGCGTTGTTCATACCGTGCAGGTTCTTATTCTTTCGCGGCCTGACGGTATTCACGGGGATTCATTCCAATCTACCCTTAATGCTCTAGCCCAACTCACCGGTGGGACGACGCGCGGTATCCGAGTGAGTAGCGTAAAATGTCGGTCATATTCAAGCAACTTTGTCCATTGCAGTCGCCGTTCTCAATTCGTCGGTGTTTTGTTCAAGCTTCTGGACGGTCTTCGGGTCGCATCCTCGTGGAGTACGGTGACAAGACTCTCAAGGTTTGAACAGTGTCAGTGTATTGGAAGACTACTAACCATACGTCTTTTAGACCAAATTAGACTTGAATCGGTCCCGTCACGTACCACTAGCAGAGGCGGACTGCCCGATTTTGGAACCCGGAGCGCTTATTCATGTAGAGGCTCTTATTGCTCGTGAAGATCAGCCACTTTACGACGGGGAGCTATGGGAAACAGTGAGTTATATGTTTGTCAGGAATTATTGTATAAAGTTTTGAACATTGATTCGATAGAGCTGGGTTCTCCGGGCGTTAGTTGTACGCCACGTGTACTCTTCCGGGGCTCCTCTGTAGATGACGCGTCCTTTGTTTGATTCCCGGTCGTTTGCTCCTTTGTTTTGCGTTAGTTTTTGTATGCAACTTTTGAACATGACGTAGAATCTCCTACTCGGGTTGGGTGGGGCAAGGGGAAAGGAGGGAAACCGAAAACGTCAACCATTTAAGAAGACTCGTTGCGAGAGTTGCGAGAGCAGTATGGCTTCCTTCCTCGAAAACAGAAACCCCTTGTTCGAACGAGAGGAAAAGTTGTTGTGTCTCGAGAGTATTCCCAGTGTTACTCCTGAGGGGATTCAAGTTCGACGCATCATGATGGAAGGCGGCGACGTACAAAAACCGTACTCGTTGTCATTTTTCGGTAAAGTGGAGGCTGTTTTCACAACCGAGGACAAGGGTTTCGTACGTGCTCCCATTGAGAAGGTTTTCTTTACTGACACTGTCATCTAGATGCTGTTGATGGGACCTCCATCTGGTCCGTTTGGAGGCGGTTTCCGTCGCACGGCCCTGTTCTTAGCTGACGTGCAACGCACGTGGAGGAATTCCGTACACGCAAGTGCTATCCTCATGTTGAATACCTTTCCTAACTCCGTATCAGACACCTCTACAAGTCCATTCCTGTGTACAGTTAGATTATATTGAGCGTGCGGACAAAATACTGGTGTACATCGATTCCAACACGTCGTTGGTGAGTTCGCAGTCTGTTGCAGGGTTTACTCGAGTTCAGTAACTTAAATCCCTGACAGAGCAGCAGCATTTGGTTCACTCCTTCTGAGCGCCGTCATCTTGACACAGACGTCCCGTTTGCTCCTTTGGATTGCGCCGTAGTGGAGGCCGGGGCACTATTGAGATGCGAGCTGACAATGTACCGGCAGGATACTCCAAGTCTTGGGGGCCGAGTGTGGAACACAGTTTGTCTCCGTGTGTGTTGGAGGAATTGCCTTGCCTAACAAAAATTATCAAGGCCTGGTTTTTAGCCGCAAATGAAGTGGTGCGCCGGTACCGATCGAAGGGAGGGTGCTCCAATACTGTTGGTCAAAGAAAAGGCAACACTCAGGCGGCGACAAAGGAGGTGGGAAATGAGCGGTCCCGTAGCAACGGTCGCATAGTTTTCACCCCTGGTGCTTGAGTGGTTTGCGACTATTGGTTGTCTTCTTAGATTCCTCTTTGTTGCGTCGTAGGGCCAATGTCCCGTAGAAAAGGTGATGTTATTCTGCGACGTGTTTCACCCAGCGAAGGTTTAAATAAGGTGGAGTGTACTGTGAAACGGAGGAAGTGGAGAATAATTGGAGGTGTGAGAACCGTGACGGTATCACCTGTGACAGAATTTGGCGTCACGTGGGTTATCAACTCTACCTTTTTCTACTTCTTACCGGGCTCTGATGGCGAACGCTTGCATTTTGTGTAGGGCTGCACATACAGCGTGTGAGGGGGACTCACCCTGTCGGAGATGCGTGGCAAGGTCAACAGTACACGAATGTGTCCCGTCCCCTCCCGTTGCTTTGAAGGTAGGTAAACAGTGCAATGGGTGGTATCAATAGCTAAGACCCCCGTTAGCGCTCGACTCCTGTACAGCGACGAAGACATAAATCTACTGTGAAACAACGCGGAAAAGGTGGGACACCGAGTGTCGCACCAAAAGAAGCGAATCGTACCAAAATCCCTCGACCCAGCAACGCTTTCCTATTGTTTCGGTTAGTGGCCTGTAAGATTGTGGGTACCTTACACATTGTTCCAGAAGTGACTGCGTTCGCCAAACGAGGAGCCACCCGGAATCATCTCAAACACTCAAATCTAAAGTCATAGGTCAGCTTTGGAAAGAGTTTCCGGACGAACATAAGTTGCCTTACTTCAAGCGCGCCGAGGACCTGAGAAGGGACCATAAAGAGCGAATGTGCAGTTCCGAGTCGATATTCGCTTTGAAACGGAAACGCCGAGGAGGGCGTCTCAATTCTCGCGACGAAGACGATGGCGGGCAGCGGAAAATCGCATACAAAGCAGCGCTTAAGACAGCTATTATCGGGGGAGATAAGACATTGGAGTTATGGGGGCTTATGGAAGGTAGGATTTGGGGTTATATCCGTTTTTTGAGGGACTGATACCGACAAGATCCAACCGCAAATCACAACTCCGACGCGGAAACCCTCCAGTCCGTTTAGGCCAAGGCACGGGTTTAAAGGTCAGTACCAACCTATTATTTTTTATATATTCAACCGAGCAGAAACCGTACAGGCATACCCAACCTCAATGGGGAAATTGATTCACCAGTGGTTTGTTCTCTAGTGATTCGGGAGGCGGGGACGAGACGTTGGGTCGATTGCGATGAAGGGTTGCCTGTCGGAGACCAGAGTTATAGTTTAATGGGCCATGTTAAGTTTTGTTTCTTAGTGCCGTTGAATGATCAGCGTTTAGCTCAGCAGCACGTGCGTCAATCACCGGGTCATTTCTTTTTGCCGGCCGTCAAAATGCCAATAATCAATCTTTAAATGTCATCTGATCTCAGAAGTCGCCTCTTTGTTATGCCACACAGTTAATTGGGAGTGCTTACCTTCTTACTACCATTTAATGCTAAAAGATCTAAGGAAAAGCGGATTGAGTTGCGCGTTCGAATGTCCTGTTAAACGGGTGGCTTATCAGTGCAAGCAACATGCAATGCTACGCTCGCTCGTACTCCTTTCAAGATATGAAGACAGTCATCTTTGGTCCATGTATGGACATGGTATGTAGGTTCCGGATGCTTTTTGTACAACCATAAAATGACGGTGAATGTCAGCTCTTACTGGTTTTGTGTTTCGTTCGACTTTCAGGATAGAATCCAACTTCGCAAAAACTTCAATATGAAAGAACTGAAGATGACTCCGCAGACCCAGTATAGAGTGTCACACGCGCACAGGATTTGTCCTTACCCGTCATCACTTTTTCGACTCTGACCATGGAGTATCCTCCCTGCGGTCTACACCACTACTACCAGCATTTCAAGCGCTCCCATACGGGTCCTGGACGGGCCTTCGGTATGGTTGACGCCCGCACAGGTTCGTTTTTCTTTTAAGACATTGTAATCGGACCCATTGACAACAACTCAGGAAGAGGAACTTAACGACGCTTGTGGACATTTCGAGGGACCTATCGGCAGTGGTCTTTTGGCGCGAAGTGTGTGGACCCCAATCGCGTAGGAGTTTGCATGGTGACTAGGCTGTCGCTTGCTGATTGTTTCCTTTCGGTATAGGCGTCTAGTTTCTATCAGAGGTCAGCCAGTCTCATCGAGACAATATCGTTGCTTATTTAAGGACAGCCTTAATAGCCCACGCAGAAACCCATATTGCTATTGAAATGTGGAGCAGTTCGAGAAGGACAGAGCGCAATATCTTCATCAGCAATTTCATCGCCTGCAATTTGAACGATTGCATCGCGATTGTACAAATCGCTACTTTCATTCGCCAGCTACGCAAAACTGCACGAGCTGCTTGGTGTAGGCGCTGCATCCCTCTAGTATTGTAAACTAACTAGCTCTAGTACGAAAGATTCTTGGGTCATACAGACCGTCGACGGACGTTGCTCGTGTCTATTGCGTCGTTCCTTCCTGGGTCAACAACTTTGAAAGACCGAACGAGGAAGGCTGCATTTCACTGCCGGTTCTCAGCGTTGGTCCCAAATTCATTACTTACCAGTCGCGCGCGGTGGTGCATCCCAATTACTCGTTAGGACGAGTCCCGATTGATATCGTCCTTTCTTCAGACGACGGCGCGATACAAAGGGTAGCCGCAAATCCATCTTGCATGGATCTGTACATACTCTCGCACCGTCGTTTGGCCATACGAGACATAACAGTACACCGTCGAAAGCTTACCCGATGACCCCGATCTATACAACTATGGGCTTTCCCTCGTTCCATGTGGCTTTATCGACGGCGAATTCGGGACGAGACTGTGGCGATATCGAGGACCTATCCTTCCTTATCGAATTACTGATTTGTTGGACAAGAATAAAGGTAGGTATTAACGCACTATGATGAGGAAAACACTCACTAAAATTTTGCTTTGAAGTGCTTAAACTCGAATACACCCTCTGTCTAGCCGGTAATCGGTCTACTACGCCTTTCGCGGTTGTAACAATAGACCTCGAGGAACATAACTATCCTGACAATTCTATCGACGGCATGACTATTTTCGAGCTCGAGGGTGAGCCGTACTCCGACTCAGCGCCCCAAGGAACGGAGTCCTCTCTCTCGTGGCTACCTGGAGAGAACGAAGGTTATTGTGAAAGTCAACAGTCCTCGTTACCAGAGGTGCAAACAGTTTTATCATTATCTCCGTTTGAGGCTTCTTACCAGTCATTGCAGGGAAGTATCAAAAACGACGAGAGAGCCAGATCAGTCCCAATGGTCTGCTTGCCAGACTCTGCGAGCACTTCCTTAGACAACATTACTTTGGACCGTTTATGGCAACCGTTTCCCGAAGCAGAACAACGCATGTTCCAAGCGATGGAGGAAAACGCACAATCTCAATTTTACTGTCGTCGCCTTGGTGGGATACCCCCCCCAATCCTGGACACAGGACGACTTGTACAGCGGCTGCCATTTCTCAAGCGTAGAACAGAATACGCCTGGTGCTACTTTTCCCCTCCCTCCAGGTTGGGACTTTCCACTGGTAGAATACAACGTATCTACATACTCCACCCTTTTGGGTTGGGATGATCCCTTGTAATCTTTCGCTTTTCATTTTATATATCCCTGTTTACTAAGAGAATCGAGACATATAAAAAAAAGAACGAACGTCGCTCGACGACCCCTTTTTGCGCCACAATTAGTGTCAAAAAAGGAAGACAGGTTACGAAAAAAAAGACATAGTACACAACGAAGTATAGGGAAGGTTTAAGAGACACCCGAATTCTCCTCCACCACCTCGTAATCTTCCTCTTCCTCCGTAACAGGCGTGTGGTTCAGGGGAGCAGAGTTGGGTGCAGTACGGTTCTTCTCCTTAGCGCCTGCGATGCGGCGGCGCTTAGCTGATTAATGGTTAGTG